AGCTCCCTGGCAGCTAATGCTGCATGCCAGATTCACACGCCTCCAAACTCAACAGGGAAACTTTAAGAAAAATGTCCCGCGTAATCAAGCATTTTACCCCGCAATAATCATTCATCAATCAACAATTGCGCGCAAATCCTGGCGGGGCTGATAGTACATTAGACAAAGGGGAGAAATAAACTCGTAAATGCAACATGTTGAAGTGAAAAGCAACTACGTAAAACCACATTACGACGGGGGGAGGAGCCGCTGCTGCTGCTGCTGGACGAGGAGGGAGGGGGAAGGCTCCGAGGATCCTGGAGTCTCTGAGGTTAACTAAAACCTGAAGAACTAGCATCGTGGCATCTAGCTGCTTCATATTTATCCGTTTGATGACTGAACAGGCTCTCAAACAGCGTTAGCTGCGTGAGCTTTTCAGATCCGCGGTCCTCTGTGTAAGCATGGCTGCTCCTCTGGCTGTTTGCTGCTCACAGCACCACATGCCCCCTTCTCCCTCCCTGGATCTGGCCACAGTGTCACCTCTGCCCCCTACAGGATCGGTTCCAAAGTGTTTACAGGTCTGAAATGTTGACACAGGATGCACAAGAGCCTTGACGAGCCATAGAAAGAAAAAAACGAAAAAAAAGTGAATGAGTTAATGACGTAATTTTAACATTTCAGTTAATAACAATGTAAAAGAAAAACATACTTTATAATTATGTATTCATATAATACTAAAATTATAACTTTTTTCCTAACCTGCTGCTTATATGTGGAGATTTGAAATAAAAGTGTTCTGATGATGTATCGGGGAATCAAGGCCAATTTTACTAAATTAGACCAGTTTATGCTGTAATGATTAATCAGCCAGTTACAACTAATCAAGTAATCAATAATCAATAACTATCAAATAATTGTAAAAAAAAATGAAAATAAGTAACTGCATTTGTGTGGATTCACAGTGGATTCACTGCTTCATAAAACTCATTTAGAACACAATATAAAAATTAAGAGCAGATATACAATTCTACAAGGAAAGTAACTTACCAACAGTACCATCCATTGGCATTGCTTGGGATGCAATGAAAGCGTTTCTCCGCGGCATTATAATTCAATATGCTTCATTTAAGAAGAAACAAAGTCAAATCCAATTGTCAAACTTAGAGAATGCAATTGAAAAAGAAGAGAACAAACACAAAAGGGCTATTAATCCAAAAAATCTGAAAAAACTTACTCAACTGAAATTAGAATATAATGAAATATTGTCCAAAAAGACAGAATTTATGCTACATAGAGCAAGGCAAAACTATTTCGAATCTGGGGAGAAGGCTGGTAAACTACTTAGTGCCTATGTAAAACAGAAACAATCGAATTCGATAATATCAGCAATACAATCAAAGGATAAATTGGTAACTGAACCCACAGAAATTAATGAACAGTTCAGACAGTATTATAAGGAATTGTATACTTCAGAATGTTCACCAATGGAGGTTGACCTGCAAGATTTCTTTGAAGACCTGGACCTACCCAGATTAAATGAAAAACAAAGGGAAATGATCGATTCACCGATAACTTTAGAAGAAATTCTCAAAGTAATTCAACAACTGCCAATTGCGAAAACCCCTGGCCCAGACGGCTTCACTGCAGAATTTTTTTAATGTTATTCTGCGGAACTGGCTCCAGTTCTTTTAGCCATGTTTCAAGAAAGTTTTAAAACGGGAAAACTGGCACCATCCTTGGATCAGGCTATTATAACACTAATTCTTAAACCTGGGAAAAATCCTACAGAGTGCAAAAGCTATCGTCCAATTAGCCTGATGCAAACTGACTGTAAGATATTGTCAAAATTATTAGCAAATAGAATAGATCAAGTTATTAGTAACCTAATTCATCAGGATCAAGTTGGATTTATTCTGAAGCGTAGCTCCTCAGATAACGTTAGGAGACTATTAAACATTATGTGGAATGTACGTGACACTAACAATCCCACAGCTGCCATTTCACTCGACGCGGAAAAAGCTTTTGACCGCGTCGAGTGGAGGTATCTGTTCTTTGCTCTTCAAAAATTTGGATTTGGCCCCGGTTTGGAAAATTGGATTAAAACCTTATATAGAACACCTCTCGCAGCAGTCCAGACGAATGGCATGATCTCTCCCTATTTTGAGCTAGGAAGGGGGACAAGACAAGGATCCGGCTTGTCCCCAGCCTTGTTTAATCTATCACTGGAACCATTGGCACAAGCAATACGTAAAAACCCACAGTTCCCAGGAATAAATGTTGGTGGCATAGCTCATAAATTGATTTTATATGCAGATGATATTCTCTGCTTTGTCACTAATCCTGAATTATCCACTCCTGCCTTACTGAGAACTATTGACGCCTTCTCTAGATTATCCGGGTATAAAGTAAACTGGACTAAGTCCGAAGCGTTGCCTCTTACATCAAACTGCCCCCAAACACTATTTCAGGCCGGACAGTTCCAGTGGCCTACAGAAGGCATTAAATACTTAGGAATCACTTTCCCTACTAATGTAGATGAAATAGTGGAGAAAAACCTGGATCCATTGATGAAACAGATCTCTATGGATGTGGATAGGTGGTCATTTCTCAACTTATCCCTATGGGGAAAGGTCAATGTATTGAAAATGTCATGTATACCTAAGTTGAATTATATTTTTCAATCGCTTCCATTACAAATCCCAATGAAATATTTTAAAAACTTTGACAAGATGTGTTCAAGATTCCTATGGGGAACTAAACGGCCACGACTACGACTTGAAAAATTGCAAGTGCCAGTGGATTGTGCGGGATTGGGATTACCTAAACTGCTGTACTATTATTATGCTTTTAACCTGCAACACCTAACAAAATGGTATCTGCCACCAGAAAGAGCTCCACCATGGCTTCAAATGGAGAAGGAGGCATGTTTACCTTACACTCCATTAACATGTTTGACTACTCGCCTGACTCCGAAGCTGAAAAGTCACCCAGTCATTACTCACCTGCAAAATATATGGAAAAGTGTAAACAAAATATTTAAAGTTGAAATCTTTCTCAATACGGATGCAAGTATCTGGTCAAATCCTAAGTTACGCATTGGTAAAGAGTCATTCTTGTGGAGAAATTGGTTGAATAGCGGAGTCAAAACTCTAGACGATCTTTATGACAATAGCATTCTAAAACCTTTTGAAAAAATAAAACAAGAATTCGATCTTGAACAAAATAACTTCTGGCAATATTTGCAGCTCAGAGACATGTTAAAATCTGTGTTTGGCCCTTCATTCACAATTTTACCTAGATCAACTCTTCTTGATGACATATATAAATTGTCTCTATCAAACAATGCAGTATCTAAGTTGTACTCTAAAATCATACGACATAACTGTAACTTACCAATTATATTGAAAAGTATATGGGAAAAAGATTTGAAGATTTGTTTCACTACTTTGGAATGGCAACGAATCTGCAAAAATTTCAAACTATTGTCCAGAGACGTAAGAATTAAACTAATACAATTTAAGATTATTAACCGTTTCTACTGGACACCAATCAGATTACATAAATTAGGTCTTAAAAGCACACCAAACTGTTGGAAGTGTCAAAGCTCAGACGGTACCCTATATCATGCACTGTGGCAATGCCCCAAAATTGTAGAGTACTGGAATACTGTCCACCATTTCATTCAAGAGATCACAGGTGACTTCTTTGAGTTTTCTCCCCGACTTTATGTGTTGGGGGACCCGGCTGTTGTAGAACAATGTAATAATGCACAGTTCATTCAAACGGCAGTAATGATAGGTAGACAGGTAGTCTTAAGAGAGTGGAAAAAATCCTAGAGCCCCACCAGCTGGAGAATGGTTTACAGAAGTAGGAAGAGTAGCCTCTTATGAACAGCTTTTCTATAAGAAAAATTATAGGCAGGAAGAATACCTAGCAAAATGGGGAAAATATCTTAATTATATTACACAATAGTACACTGTAGAGTGTGACAAAGCTGTCACTGTGTTATACTATGTTATTCTTACTGATTTATAAATGTAACTCCTGTTAAGGACTATTATTATTTATTTATTTATTTTTATCTTGTATATATATATATATATATATATATACAATTATATATTTTCTTATTATATATATATATTTATTTATTTTTATTTTATTTTATTTATTTTTTATTTTATTTTATTTTATTTTTTTTGTGAATATATGTCTAAACTTTCGAGTGTGATATGTATGTATTCTCATTGTCACCTGTATGTATGTATATAGGTTTACATATGTTTATTTTTTACTTTTTATCTTAGTTTATTTTATTTTTATTTTATTTTTCCTTTGCTCTTTGTTATCTTATTATTTATTATGTATTATGATTGTATTTTTATTTCTATTTTTTTTTTTTTTTTTTATCCCCGATCCCCTCCCCTTCCCCCCCCCCCGCATGATAAAACACAATAAATATCTCAGTCATAAAAAAAGAACACAATATAAGATAAAATATTCACGTTTGAAACAACTACTAGATTAAATCAAAGGAATAATCACTGTACTTATTAATTATCAAAACAGTTAGATCGTTAGCGCTATTATAGTAAAACCTTGTTGTAGAAAACAACGAATGTCTTTGTTCAGCGCATTCAGGACCTGGTTTCAAGTGTACACGCTCCTGCAGGCCTAATGAGGGAGTCAACGTCTCCCCGAGGAGATCTCTATCTAAATAAAGATGAAAAGGTCCTTTACATTGACGGAAGCTGATTGATCTCTAGTGTTTAATCACACTCTCTGCTCCTTGGAGCATCGGGGACAGAAGATGTGAAGAGTGGCATGAGTTTGTTTTGGAGCCTTCATACTTCCAAAAAGAACGTCCATAAAGACCTTTCAATACGGATCATATCAAGGACAATGGGCTGTTTGGTGTGGAGGGCACTACATTGACACAACAAGGACTATAACTTACTGGAGACATTCAAAGCTGGTGAATTTTTGACTTTATAGAGAAAGTCAAACATCCTTGTCTCAGAATGGCCGAGGAGCAGATGGAAGAGGATGAGCTGGTGGGAATGGGGCTTCGGGTTTCTCTCTCCCCAACACAGACAACCATCTACATCATCCTGGTGATTATGGGTATTCTGGGAAACGCCACGGTGGTGGGAGTGATCGGGAAAAGTGTTATAATGGGTCGAGGCGGTGGTCGCAACTCAGATATAATCCTCATTAACATGTCCCTGTCCAACCTGCTGGTGTCCGTGATGAGGAACATACTGCTGATCCTCTCCGACGTCGGGCTTGAGGTATTTGTGAAACACACTGAAATCCAGAATACAACCTAATGTAAAAATGTTTTCTTATGAACTTTGATTATGAAAACATACACATCATTTAAAATGAAAAAGAACATCTTTTTGTACATTTGAGGAGATACAATAAGAACCAACTTCTAAAAAAGTAAAGTAAACTAGTCAAGATGTTACAAAAACAAGCTGTGAGCTTAGAAAAGTGGTTTCATTATAAAGCCCTAATTGCAATCATACAATCACACATTTAAATGGAAATTTAAATAAATGTAGCTTATATTTTATGTGGTAACAACTGAGTTATACAAGCTTTTAAATGATTGATTGTTTATTCAATCACTCACTGTAAACATGTGTAACCTGCATTCCTGTTTTTAAAATAGCACTTTGTGTCCAGTGTTATTACTTGCAACAACAAAAAAAGCTGTGTTAGCTGCTGTTGTTGCATGATTTCATCTTTGAAACTGGCATGTATAGAACAAACACTAAATGTTAACATGTAATAATGCTGACTTTTACAGTCGTTAACAAACAATATGTATTTTATTAGAACGTATTATCATTTTGTATCTTGGGCATGGATAGTCTTTGTGTCATTTAAAACCAAAATCTTGCTTACAGTTTATTTAGGTTTGTACTTTTAGAATATTTATTCCAAACCTGTGAAATAATTTCTCATAACATATACAATATAAACCTCTATTTTTAGCGTCATAAAGAAGCAGGTCTAAAATCTCCAACTTAAGCATAATGAAGAAGCGAGAATTAAGTATAAAATGTATGTACCATATACCGTATTCTTTGAAGGTGTGGGACAAAGTACATAAGGTGATAGATACAAGTGGTTTGAAAAGGTTTGATGAAGCACACAGTATATGACCCTTCTCACCCATTCAACAGACGACAACACAAGACACAACACAAAATACACTGCACTAATGAATAACGGTTATGGACATTGGTCATCCACTCCTTCGACCAATGTCTCTATGTGTGTGTTTTTTTTATCCTTAATGTTTGAATTGACTTTTCTTACGGTTTAGAAAAGTCCTCCGAGATAACTACTGTTGTGATTTAGGGCTATACAAAAACTGAAACTGAAATTGAACTGATTGTATTGTATTTTGCAGCTGTATTTATCGAAAGAGTGGTGCCAGATCATGATGGGTGTGTGGGTGTGGCTGCGCTCGGTGAACGTGTGGTCCACCCTGTTCCTCAGTGCGTTTCACCTTCAGACTCTCAGACGCGTGGCTCCTGTTATGGGCAACATGAGCGGATTCCACGGACCCCCCAAGACTCTGCTGCTCTCCATAGGCTTCATCTGGATCTTCAACTACATTTACAGCATCCCTGCCCACATCTTCTCCATCAACGGAGGCATCAACAGCACTGAGGTGAGACTCTGTGAACGCTGTAGTATTAAAAAGCACAGAAGACAAGCGACACCAAGGAATCCTGTGTTTTAAAACTGAAGGAGAGGGTGCGTAATAATAACATCAGACATAATTGTGTGGTTAATAGTTTTTGTTTCCTAAAAAATACAGTTTTGATAACAAAGGGTTTATTGACACCAAAGAACTGAAGCAGCTGGAATTAATTATTTTCAGCTGCTTCGATTTGAATGGGCCAAGATTGGTTACACAGACATTTTGTGAGCGCTGAATCTCAAATACACTGCAGGACAATTAAAGATTCTCTTATTAAAGCTCATATATCTTATGATTAGTCAAACATTGATCAAGATAAATTTCAAAGATTATTTTGTAAGTCTATCTATCTATCTATTGTTCTATCTATATATCAATAATAACAAGAATATAAGTAATTTTATAAATCTTATGAAAGACAAATTGCATAATATTGCACTTTAATGTTGTTTATGATCAAAAACAACATTGAAAAGTTCTTTGTTTTGAAATAAATAATTCAAGACATTTCCTAAATAATGCATTATTACATGCATTGAACGATTTTGGATGTATCCATAGTATTATCATCAAAGCTGGATAGCTAATATTGGCACATTTACAGTCATGTTAATAAATATGTACTGATCCTGTTCAAAAAAACGAATGATTAAAATAGAACAAATAGAAGTTTGTTTCTGTTTGAGACTAAGCTTAAGGAGTTCTCAAGACAGAACCATTTTGCCGTATAAAGAAAGTTCACAAAACATTATTTCTTTGTATGTAATTCCAGTATATTTTACACAGACTCTGATGTTGGTGAGCACCACAACACGCCCCCTGCTGGGCTGTATTTGGAACTTCCCTTCCAGATTGAGTGGCCTCTCATATGCTACCACCTCCATGGTCATCCACGAAATCATTCCCATTATTCTGATGGCCCTGACGAACCTGGCCTCCCTCTACACCCTGTACACCCACGGGCGGAGGCGCAGCTCTGTGAAGGACGCCCCAGTAATCAAGAGGATCCCGGCAGAGAGACGGGCCGCAAAGGTACTGTACAGTGTATGGACTGCATCATTATTAATATGACATTCTTTTTACTAATTGAGTTTAATGGTGGCAGGTTTGTTTTTTATATCAATTAATTCAAATGGTCAGAGTAACAGAACAAAACCTACTCACCCTCTGAGTAATAGCAATGATAGTTTTTGTTTTGAACCAAAAAATACAGGTCCAGGTTTAATTTCTCCCTATTATAATAATAACAATAATGCACTCAAAGACGCTTTACATGTCATTATTCATTCACTCCATACACGGTGTTGATAAACTACTACTGTAGCCACAGCTGCCCTGGGGCACACTGACAGAAGCGAGGCAACCAGTATGTGCCATCGGCCCCTTCGACCACCACCAACCATTCACACACACACCAGAAGCATTCTAGGCAATGGGGGTGTCTTGCCTGAGGACACAACGGCAGTTTGGCACTTTACAGCCGCAGCCGCCCCACTGTGGCACCTGGTGTTCCCAGAGATTAAGTGTCTTGCCAAGGACACAACAACAGCAGACAGTGGCAGTCGATGGTGAAAGTCGGGCTCTAACCCACAACCGTCTGGCTCAAAGGCAAATGCTCTACCAACTGAGCTACTGTCGCCCATTATCTCTGTGTTTATCATTTTGTTTGGTGGGTCAAATGAGCACCATGTAGAATTCTCCAAATTCATGTTTTAAATTTTTACTTTTTTCTGAATGATTATCTGAATTAGTCTATACTTACAAGGGGAGACAGTGGCTCAGTTGGTAGAGCATTGGCCTTTGAGCCTGAAGGTCATGGATTCGAGCCCACCACAAGGCCTACTTCAAGACTCCCACTGATCTTTGCTCTCATGTCCTTGGGCAAGACACTTAACTCCACTTTGCCTGAAGCCCCTGCTGAAAGATCAAGGCTCTTGTTGACTCACAGTGACTCAGTGAGGGGCTGATGCTCTGTGTACTGGGTGCAGCTCTGACTTCCCCCCCCCGACCCAGAAATGGATTAAGGGGAAGAAAATGGATGGATGGAGTCTGTACTTACAGTGACATCTGATTCTCTATTTTACATTTTGTGTACAAAGGTAGGGTTGATTCTTTTTCTTGCTGCTAAATTACAACTATTGAAAAAGTTGTCATGAAAAAAATCAAAACAATTACTTCTCATAGTAATGTGTCATTGAGCAGATAGAAATCATTCCGTAAAAAAAACTAAATCAATGTCAATACAGTGCCGTGCGAAAGTATTCGGCCCCCTTGAACCTTTCAACATTTCGCCACATTTCAGGCTTCAAACATAAAGATATACAGTGCCTTGCGAAAGTATTCGGCCCCCTTGAACCTTTCAACATTTCGCCACATTTCAGCCTTCAAACATGAAGATTTTAAATTTTAAATTTTTGTCATGAATCAACAACAAGTGGGACACAATAGTGAAGTGGAACAAAATGTATTGGATAATTTAAACTTTTTTAACAAATAAAGAACTGAAAAGCGGGGCGTGCAATATTATTCGGCCCCTTTACTTTCAGTGCAGCAAACTCACTCCAGAAGTTCAGTGAGGATCTTTGAATGAGCCAATGTTGTCCTAAATGACTGATGATGATAAATAGAATGCACTTGTGTGTAATCAAGTCTCCGTATAAATGCACCTGCTCTTTGATAGTCTCAGGGTTCTGTTTAAAGCGCAGAGAGAACCATGAAGACAAAGGAACACACCAGGCAGGTCCGAGATACTGTTGTGGAGAAGTTTAAAGCCGGATTTGGATACAAAAAGATTTCCCGAGCTTTAAACATTTCAAGGAGCACTGTGGAAGCAGTTATATTGAAATGGAAGGAGAATCAGACCACTGCAAATCTACCAAGACCCGGCCGTCCCTCCAAACTTTCATCTCAAACAAGGAGAAGACTGATCAGAGATGCAGGCAAGAGGACCATGATCACTCTGGATGAACTGCAGATAACTACAGCTGAGGTGGAAGAGTCTGTCCATAGGACAACAATCAGTCATGCACTGCACAAATCTGGCCTTTATGGAAGAGTGGCAAGAAGAAAGCCATTTCTCAAAGATATCCATAAAAGTCTCGTGCAAAATGATATGTTTGGCGTAAAAGCAACACAGCTCATCACCCTGAACACACCATCCCCACTGTCAAACATGGTGGTGGCAGCATCATGGTTTGGGCCTGCTTTTCTTCAGTAGGGACAGGGAAGATGGCTAAAATTGATGGGAAGATGGATGGAGCCAAATACAGGACCATTCTGGAAGAAAACCTGTTGGAGTCTGCAAAAGACCTGAGACTGGGACGGAGATTTATCTTCCAACAGGACAATGATCCAAAACATAAAGCCAAATCTACAATGGAATGGTTCACAAATAGACGTATCCAGGTGTTAGAATGGCCAAGTCAAAGCCAGACCTGAATCCAATCGAGAATCTGTGGAAAGAGCTGAAGACTGCCGTTCACAAACGCTCTCCATCCAACCTCACTGAGCTCGAGCTGTTTTGCAAGGAAGAATGGGCAAGAAGCGGAGATGGGTGAGGATGAGCCGCTCCATGGTCTTCATCAACTGACCTCCCACCTGATGAAGACCATGGAGCGGCTCATCCTCACCCATCTCCGCTCCGTGGTCAGCCCCACCCTGGACCCGCTGCAGTTCGCCTACAGACCCAACATCGGAGTAGAGGACGCCGTCATCTACTTCCTGCAGCGGACGCTCTCCCACCTGGAGCCCGCCGGGAGCGCTGTGAGGGTCATGTTTTTCGACTTCTCCAGCGCTTTCAATACCATCAGGCCGGCACTGCTGCGGGGGAAGATGGAGGACGCGGGAGTGGACAGTAGCCTCACTGCATGGACCATCAACTACCTCTCAGACCGACCACAGTACGTGCGGCTGCGCAGCTGTGAGTCTGAGGTGGTCGTCTGCAGCACTGGGGCCCCTCAGGGCACTGTCCTCTCACCGTTTCTCTTCACCATCTACACCTCAGACTTCACACACGACACACACAGCTGTCACCTGCAGAAGTTCTCCGACGACTCCGCCATCGTGGGCTGTGTGTCTGAGGGGAACGAACTGGAATATCGGTCGGTTATCAAGGACTTTGTCGACTGGTGTGAGCGCAACCACTTGTGCTTGAACACCAGTAAGACCAAGGAGATGGTCATCGACTTCAGGAGAAAACCACTTTCCCACACGCTGCTGAACATCCAGGGGGAGGACATTGAGCTGGTGGACAGCTTCAAGTACCTGGGTGTTCACATTAACAATAAACTGGACTGGTCCCATAATACAAACGCCCTGCACAAGAAGGGCCAAAGTCGCCTCTTCCTTCTGAGGAGGCTGAGGTCCTTCGGAGTGAGCAGGCCTCTGCTCAGGACTTTTTATGACTCTGTGGTAGCTTCTGCCATTTACTACGCTGCCGTGTGCTGGGCCCCGGGCAGCACAGAGCGGGACAGAAACAGACTGAACAAGCTGGTCAGGAGGGCCAGCTCCACTCTGGGCTGCTCCCTGGACTCTGTGGAGGAGGTGAGGGACAGGAGGGTGCTAGCCAAAGCCACCTCCATCATGAACAATACCTCCCACCCACTGCACAGGACTGTAGAGGAGCTGAGGAGCTCCTTCAGTGGAAGACTGAGGCATCCTCAGTGTAGGAAGGAGCGCTACCGCAGGGCCTTTATCCCCACCGCTGTCAGACTGTACAATAAGTCACTTTAAATGATCACTGTGTGAAAACCTGCACTACTATTGACACTGTTTCCAATTGACACTTGTCACTTTTGTTGTACATAATTATTGTCACTTTATTGTACATATATCCTGCATGTAACATGTTTGCACATTTCCTCCCTTTGCACAATCTGAGTGTTCTATCCATGCCAAATGTGACATGTGAATTTCTCCTCTGTGAGATAAATAAAGCAATCTTATCTTATCTTATCTTATCTGAATTCCAGCCTCTCGATGTGCAAAACTGATAGAGACATACCCCAAGCGCAAGGGGGCCGAATAATATTGCACGCCCCACTTTTCAGTTTTTTATTTGTTAAAAAAGTTTAAATTATCCAATACATTTCGTTCCACTTCACGATTGTGTCCCACCTGTTGTTGATTCCTGACAAAAAAAATATTTTGTATATCTTTATGTTTGAAATCTGAAATGTTGAAAGGTTCAAGGGGGCTGAATACTTTCGCACTGTATCAGCTTTATTTGTATAGCACATTTATAATAACACCAGCTGCCTTTGTGCTTCACATCCACACAAAAACAGCATTGAAATACACAAATACATGTCAAATGTAAAACTGTAAAAGCCAAGGCACAAATGTGTCTTTAGACTGGATTTAAAAACCTTAAATGAGAGAACTTCTCTAATGTACAGGGGTCACTATTCCACAGATTGGGAATGTCAACAGCAAAGGGGAAGTTGTCTGACCAGAGTTTTATGTCATGAGCCCCTCTCATGGGCGGCACGGTGGCTGAGTGGATAGCAAAACAAATTGATTGAGAAAACAAATTGATTTAGTAAAGCAATTTCTACCATATGTCAGCTAAGTGCCCAAACTGTAGGATTATACATTATTTACAACTAAAATTACCATTATTTTGGAATTTAAGAGTAAATCCATTCTCCATTTAGAAATCTTAATCATTATATTTTGGTGAAATGTGGAGTTTGTCATATGCACTTGAAATCAATGTCCAAATGTCTGACAGTTGACTCTTTTGTCTGCCTTAGGTCATCCTTGCTCTCATTATGCTGTTTATTGTTTCCTGGGGAACCAGCATCATCTCCGTCAATTATTTCAACTACAATAGAGGCTCGTCCTCTGAGTTTCTTCTGGTCATTGCGCGATTTGCAAACATTATTTTCATCGCCTTTTCACCTGGTGTTCTGGCAATTGGCCACCGAAGACTGCGCTCTTTCCTCAAATCACTGCTGAGCCACTGAACTGATGTTTTATGTTGACATTTAAATATTCTGTATAGCGCATATTTTTGGTGTGATTTTACATGTGTTAATATGTACAACAAAATGATATGTGTAGAGAACAAAGACATGTCCAAGGCATGTCTGATTACTAAAAAAACAGTTTCACCCAAGTTTATTAGTAACAACAACATGTATAGCAACATAGCAACGACTAAAATACAAAATACTGGCATTACAAATAAATGTTGATATTTAGCAATCAGGCCTCGGACATCTCTTTGTTCTTTACATTTTAGCCAAATGTGAGCCAACAAGCTCCCAATCGTCTCTGTCTTCAAAATAGGTAGGTACACGTAAACTCTACTTTGCACTTACAAAGATAAAATCAAGTATTTGTCATGTGGCCTTCATTTCTAAAACGTATATGGACATCCCATACTGGTTAGCAAATATTGTTTGACCCACCAGGAGGCCCTTCTACATTTTGAAATGTCAATGTCAATAACACGTCATCGACATTCATGTTTTTTTTGTCAATAACGTGTCAATAACATGAAAGATGTTCAAAAATCTTTCATGTTATTGACTTCTTTCATGTTCAAACATGTCAATAACATGAAAGAACTCATAGCAATTGCAAAACATGTTATGGTTCTGGTCGAGTTCATATAATGTGTGTGCGGATTTTGTTATTCGTTTTTCTGTTTTATTCAATTGAAACAAATCTATAGCTTTTTGAGCTAAACAAATACATTGGTTTGTCTGCTGAAGGCGCCAAAGTAGCAGAATTTCTTAATAAACTCCTGAACCAGAACACTTTCTATATTCTGGCATGACTTCCCATAAAACATTACCCGACTTTTTCTTTTCTTTATTTTATTTATATTATTGCTTATCTCAATCTGTCAAAGGACTCCACCTTTGAGATTGACATCAAGTGTATGATGAAATTGGGGCCTAAAGGGTTAACACATTAAGTCTTTTCTTTCACATGTATAATGTTTCTCTCCTTTTGAACATCTGAAACCATTTGTTTACCTTGCTCTTCCTGCATCTTTGATTCTTTCCAGCATTTTAGCTCTTCCATCCTACGCAGTATCAATCCTACAATCTTTCTCCTTAGTTTCACATGCCCCAGAGCCACCACCAGGGGACTGAACCCGACAAACAGAGAAGCAGAGTAGTGTGCCACAGTAAGCAACCCCTCTGCATGGTGCCCTCTGTCGTGGTTGTAGTAGGTCACAGCTGCCACCTGCAAAACCCAACACCCCACAAAGAGTGCCACCAAAGACATAATCACGTGCCCAGCCTTACGTTCACTGGACACATGTTTGCTCAGGTCGCCTTGGCTCCCTCCTCCAGCTGTCACCGCTCGGATGTGCTTGGCTAGTGCATGCAGAGTCACCAGGTTTGTACAAATCATCAAAACCAACGGCAAGACTTCGTTGAGGGCCAGTGACGCAGATGCAAAAGCTGAACCTTCCTGGTCTGAGGGGAACTCCCAGATGCAGCCAAGAAGAGGTCTGGTTGTGCAGCTGATGACCATGAGCTCGACCGTGGCGTTACCCGTCACATGAGTGGTGTAAAAAAGCGCCGGAAGAGAGAATGCCAGGTTGGCACCCCATACCACAGCCAGAACAATCCAAACCCGCCTCCGCTCTTGTCGCTGAGCCAGAAGTCCAAAAGCAACATGCCGGCGTTTTAAAGTGGTGCAATGGAAGATGCTGAGAGCCAATGTGACCCAACACCCCACAGCTCTCCACCAAACCCACAAGAGCATGAAGACTCTGCACCATCCTGGGGACAGCGATACCGCCAGGCCAAGGTCGGATACAAAAATAGGAACAGTTCTGAAGAGAGAGGTCAGAAGGTTGGCCACTGATAGATGGACGAGAATGGTGTCAGGGGAGGAGAGGCGGTGAGATGGACTTTTGATGGCTGATCCCAACACCTTTACAGAAAGAGAGGACACATTTGTGAAACGTTGAATCAAAGACATAAAGAAACTAAATAAAAAAATCTTTCATTCTGAAGATGTAAGATTTAACATGATTACCAACCACAGTAACTGTTACTTTTGTTTGTAAGTAGGATGGTCAGCATTTTACAAGACATCCTATCCTGGTTGTCTTTACCAACAATAGTATAAAGGGGAATATATTGGTCATTAGTAGAGCCACGCTACAATACCCCTTAGAATAATCTGACAACAAAGAATGCATTGACTGGAATCTCTTTTCTTGTATGTTGAAATGCGGCGGCACGGTGGCTGAGTGGATAGCACTCTCGCCTCTCAGCAAGAAGGTCCTGGGTTCGAATCCCGGTTGGACCAGGGCCTTTCTGAGTGGAGTTTGCATGTTCTCCCCGTGTCTGCGTAGGTTTCCTCCGGGTGCTCCGGTTTCCCGGTCTGGCATGTGCCTCCTGTACTGGCACCCCCACTCCCAAAAAAATAACAATTGTAAACCGCTTTGAGACTCTGATGTGCAGTGAAAAGGCGGTATATAAATAAAGATTACTACTACTACAAAGGAAAAGCATTGGTAATGGCAATGTGAAAATTCACAGGTGGCAGACATCTAAACCTTCTGGTTTAGATGTCACATAGCGTTACATAGCGCACTGATGAATTCCAATAGTACTTCAGAGGTGTTCTGGATGCAGCGCAGTTCGTGAATTCACTCTTCTCTGGGATTCGAACATTGGCTGAAATTCTCTTGCCGTTAGCTGTTTCCAATGCATATCCAGTGCTGCTCTGTCAATGCACCATTCTTACTCACACATCTAGATTAAGACTATTCTCAAGTCACAAAATCAGTCAAATTTTGTAAGCAATATCTCACCACAAAAATCACCAAAATGTTTCCCAAGATGCCAAAAAGCACTAAAAATCCAAAAAGAATAGCTTCAACGGTGAGGGCCTCTGACATGGCATCCCCCTGGAGATGGCGACATGAACAACACAGCCTATTTCAGTGTTTAAATAGTTTCATCTAACTACCCTCCTCCTATATAGATATCAAGTGCACACATGAATGGAATCTATTGAGCATTGACTCCACATTACATGTTTATATCCATCAGAGCATGTATTTTCCTCTTGTTCTGTCAACATCATTTTATGCTGTCTCATGGCAAATAGCTCTTCCTTATGTTTAATAATGTGTGAGGATGATCTGTTCTGTGAGCGAAATCCCAAGTCGGCAAAAGACCAGCAAACACGTCCCATGTGAAATAAACCTTGAGCACTGTGAGTTTTGGTGATGCAGCACTTTTACTTATTGAACTAATTGATTGTTGACTGAGAAGGTTTCGCTGAGGATTAAACAGTGATAAATCCCTAGAGAAGTTGTCCCTTGACTCTAATTTTCAAAAAACGAGTGCCCTAAATAATGAGTTGGTATTACAAATAGACCAAGTACAGAATGTTTGTTTAAAAAAAAGTGAAAGATTTTCAGATGTGGCACATCACCAGCATGGATTATTTGTACCTTTTGGATCCCTACTTTGTTAATAATCCCATGGAAACAAGCTGGAGGAAGACCTTAATAATGATAATAAATGTTATGTTTCAGCACTTTTCATAAACAGTGTTTACAAAGAGCTGCACAGAACAATACAAATAGCCAATAAATCATATCAGCCATAACAATACAATGTCAAAATAATCTAAAGTAAACACTTGGCATTAAAAAATAGCAACATGGATAGGAGGTTTTTATTGATGTGCATTTTTTTTATTTTACGTTTAATAACTTACTTTAATAACCATGAAGATTCAATAACCATGAATAATTCAATAACTTTTGATCATGATCATGTTTTTGATTCTCGATATTGTCTGTCACGGTTAGTGTGGGCTGGTCTCAATTTATTAAGTGAGATACTTCACTATACACACTTCATATGGGGCATTCAAAAGAGATGCCCCTGTGATAAAGTAAAGTAAGAATCCATACAGCCTACACTGGACCAGGTTCATCCAGTCTAAATTGTTATGGTTGAGGAAATAAGTGCTTTGTGAAACAACCCCGAAAGAATGCCAGAGGCTGCCACACAACCCCATGGTGTTCTCATGGAGCTCACAGCTTTTCCAACATGTAAACGCACTTTTACCACCTCTTCATGTCGAGGCTCTGGGTGGGAAGATGACTCAGGGTGAAGCGAGATAACAGCACTACAAATATTCAGTACGTGCACACAAGCACACGCGTACACACGTGCTCGCTCACAAACACCCACGCTTCACACACGCATCCACGCACCCGTGAGTCCAGGGCGCGCGCTCTATCCTGCACTTGCACCGCGGGCTTCAAAGCCTTTGCGTCTACGTCAAGCCAGACAGGAAGAAGAACGCCAAGACACAGCCGGGTCCTCTTCTTCTCTCTCCACAGAGGTACGTCTGAGTCTTGAGCTCATAGACAACAATCCAGTGGTGTGTTTCTTGCAAGGTCAAATCGAGGAGATTCCCGCATTCAAATGTGCTCTCTGTCGCAGATGCCCACATCACGTCTGTGGAGGCGCGCTCCGCTTCACCCACTTCGTCGTGAGTGTTGACTAGGAGCAGATCAAATGGCAGACATTAGAGCTCCACTTATAAGCCTCATGCTCTGTGATTGAGAACACTGTGAGTGAAATGAAACTGCAGCTCGGACATTCTCTGCTCACTCTGTGGGCAGTGTTTCTACAATGCACATCACAGCAGACAACATCTTCAACATCTTCATCACAGGTGAGCACCAAGGTTCATGTGGAGACACTCCTGAGCAGGAGTCAGGACAATGACTCCAACTTAAGGAATGGAGACCACTCTTCCAGAAGAAGGAAAGCTGCAGAATCTGAGGACCATGTCACTTTAAACAGCAGCAGAGCTACTGTTATTCCTGGAAGGTCACAGAAGTCTCAAAGATTGAGAGCAGAGGATGGAGCTTCGCCTCTGTGTGCCTATCGAGTGATTGAAGGGGGAATTGGAGGGCATCTCTGCTTTCGACACTCACTGCCAGAGTATAAGTGCCAGAAAGAACATTGCAGGACAGTGGTGTCTTCGGGGAGTTTTGTGGCACATATTCTCATCAATGGCAGTGTACTGTTACAGTGGAAACAGTCCCCAGTGAAAAGACAAGGCAATAAAACAGATGGTCAAAGCATAAGCAAAGATCAAGTGTTAAATGCAACAAATCCTGTCACAGTTGTGAGTGGGAGGAGTCACAGAAGAGGGGGCTTTGAGCTGAGTTGTTGGTGGAATGGCAGTTACACTCAATTTGAATGCACAGGAGTTCAACTGGCTCAGGGATGCAGAGACTATCTGCTGATGGACTTACATGAGAATATCCCCTATCGCTTCTGTCTGCGCTCGCTGGACAGGACCAGGCCACAGTATGGCTGTGTAGAGTTCATCCTGCCTCCGTCTGGGATGCAAGATATAGTAATAGCTATGACAACTGTGGGGGGAGCCATTTGTGTCATGCTGGTCATCATATGTTTGTTAGTTGCATATATAACAGAAAATATTATGAGCCCAACCACAACGCACACTTATTCCTACCGCACACATTCTTGCCATTGAGTGAAAAGTATAGGTATACGCTTCATGCCATGTGAATTAACTGAAGCACAATACTGTGGCTTATTTCCTACTAACAGTCTTGTTAACCTATACTGAAACAAACTGTAACATCCTTTGTATTGTATAACAACTAATTCTGTGAACTGGGAGTTTAAACACTGTGTTAAAAGACAGCATTATTTTTCTCACTGTCAGAAGTTAAAATAATTACTGAACAAACTGTTTGAGGTCAAGCCACATAAAAAAATCTCAATGTCTTTAACAAATACATTAAAGCTGCTGTACCTATCTTTGTTATAACAAAAGCTATCACTTGTTTTCACATTTATATATTTTTGGCCTCTGTAAATCATTCCAGCCCTTACTCAGCCAATCAGCTCTTAGTATGTAAAAGATCCAAAGTTTGTACAAGATAAAGACTGTATGGTGTGGTCTGAATTGTCAACAAAAAACATTTTTTAAACAATAATCTTTCTGTTGCACAAAAAAAAAAAAGCTAAGAACTGCATTATTTAAGCGAGTGGAAAGGGGTCTGGACAATGACCCCAATCAGAACTCAAACCACAAACAATCCATCTAACTAGTTCCTCGCTGTCAAATGCTATTTCGACTACATTTCCACATGGATATAATATTATATCAGACTATTTAGACAGGAAAGTTAAAAATAGGGGACCAGTATTGCTCAATCAATCAGCTCTAAGCCCAAAAAGTGGACATTACTTTAGGTAAAAGATAAAAAATGTACTTTTAAAATCAAGCCAATATTATGGCCTGATTTGTTCTTTTTGTTGGGATAAACAATATGTACAAGGCTTTAAAGGTTCTTTTAATAAGACGAGAAAAGTAAAGAAAGCTAGTACTGCTAAATTACCTGACATGTTTCGGCGGTACACGCCTTCATCAGAGGTGACATGTGACGCGTCTCTTATCAGCTGTTGTTGCCGGAATCGGTCCCCGTAGATATTGGGTAAAAAAGTACCCCAGCTTTCAAGTTGACACTTGTCCCAAGTCATGCAGTTTATGAAATTCCACCAAATACTAATGAAATGTAAGAAACTAATGCATTTTTTTGTTATAGTTTTGAATATTGTGGTTATGAGCAAATATATATATTAGGTTGAATACAAGTAATGGCCCTAAAAATGGTCATGTTTAAACTTTACAGAAAAAATGTGAGTCTTTTTACAGGGTGTATGTAAACTTTACACTGCATAATATTGGTGATTTGAAATACTGTGTCAATTCTGTTTCTGACAATGGTTTACAGCAATATAGGCCTCCCAAATAAAATGGCTTTGGTTTTGAACTATCTTCAGCTTCTGCCATGGATTCTACTGGTTCAGTCTTACTTACCAGAGTTAGGATGAAGTGGTCATTAGTCAAATATAATGTATCTTTATTTACATCAAATTGGAAAAGTTACTCATTGTCTACCATGCTACCCCGGAGGTGGCAGTGGTTAGTGCTTGTGCTTAACAGCAGAAGGTCCCAGGAAGGAACCAGGTTCATGGTTCCAAGACATTTCTGAGTGGAGTTTGCATGTTCTCCCCATGTCTGCATAGGTTTCCTTTGGGTTCTCCGTTTTCACCTTTTTACTGAGACGCTAGAGTTTTAACCAGTGATCAGAGTGTTATACAAACTGAGAGGAGCAGGTTATGAATAAAGAGTTGTCGGATGGCTGGTCAGCCTCCGCCCTCGTCAGTATGTAAATGTACTAATTATATATATACACAAAGACGCACTCATTCAGATTCACAAAAAAACAAAAAGTGCAATAAGTGAGGGTGTATCAGCAAGATATGCACAGAGAGAAGATGCATTCATTCAAGAGAGGATTTATTCGTACCATAGAGAGGAAGTCCAGAACACATTCTAGAACAGTAGCAATAAAGGGGGAAGAGAAAATATTTAGAGGATAACACAAATCTTCTGAAGTATAATAATATAATTTCCTTTCACCTCTGCTCTCTGATTGGACACATAAACGCGTAGACCCCGCCCCCAGATGACGCCATATCTTTATAAAACACGCAGCGCTCTGTCGCCATTTTAGTTTCCTGACTCGAGTTAGATTCTCCTGCGCAGTAGCTACGTTTCTATTGTTTGTTAGTGTACATATGTTAGGGGTTACCTCAGCACTTACTCACTGACAGGGACAGACTAGCTCATTACCGTCTATTGTTCTTGTTTACAGCCGGAGACGTGATGCCGAGCCACCCTCTTCGTGTTGCGGTTGTTTGCTCTAGCAACCAGAACCGCAGTATGGAGGCTCACAATATCCTCAGGTAAAGACGAAGAGCAGGGCCAGGACTGGGTCCAGGACTGGGTCGACCCCCGGGATCACTGCTGCCGTGTCCGTGCCGGGGATAAGGATCTGTTTGTGATACGCCGGGATGGGCCAGGCCTCTGCGCATTAAACAATGAACACGCTGCTCCAGCCACACTCAGGCCGTGTGCTGTTGTTCTGATGTGTCCGGGAGGCCAGGGCCCGCACTTCAAAATCCCTCTAAACACGTTTTCTAGTTTCCTTTTTGAAGTCTTTTAAGTTTCTTTGCCTTTGGTGATTTCCCCATACTAATGGTCTCAACACCGCCCCCTACAGGCTCTTATTATTTTACAAACGCTACTTTCTGAGTTTATATATTTCCATCTGACAAAGGGCTGAAAGGTCTTTGGTCTCAATTCATAAAATTCATGAACGATAATGACGAGAAAATTAAAGGGTGTTGTGATTCAACATTGTATAACTGTTCTTCTTCCAACAGTTTTTTTTTTCCTTGTCTTTCAGCAAACGTGGGTTTGCCGTCCGTTCATTTGGCACAGGGTCACATGTGAAGTTGCCAGGCCCTGCACCGGATAAGCCAAATGTGTACGACTTCAAAACTACATACGAACAGATGTACAACGACTTGGTTCGCAAGGATAAGGAACTGTATCCCTGTACTCGCAGGGAATGTTTGAAACATCTGTACAGAACTTTTCTATTTGTAATAACTTAATTCCAGTGTGACATAATGTTGATAGTGTAGATGTACTGATATGTTGAGCTATAAATTCCAGGTAAGAAATAATATGAATTTGTTGATGGAAAAAACAGCAGTTTGTTTGCCATCATGAAAGCTGGAGTATAAATTAACAGATAGCCCAGAATTGACCAATCACCTCTTGAGACTGGAACTGTTCTGTAAGTTATATTGAGGCAGAACCCAATTTTTATTTGTTTTTTGTTTTACACGTCTATATTTAAGGTGTTATCCTAATCATGGCTCACAACTTTCACTAACTCATTACAAAAGTAGTTCCTGTAAGTAATTTCATGTTTGCAAGCTAAAAGTAGTGACAAGAAAGCAAGAACTTTTGTTCTAAAAGCAACTTGACAGAGGGATTTTTTTACTATACGCAAAGCGGTCAAGATCAATGACACTCAAGCTTTAGTGTAATCAAAATAGTGTTATAGCTTTGCAATCAGTAACATGTGTTCTAACTTTTGTGGCACGTGACCCTACGCTGACACTTTTGGGAACCTATTCAATTGCATTGGATGCACATTCATTTACGGAGTAATTTAATTGTATGAAATTATCCTCCAGCTGTAAACTAACTGAACTGCTGATCATATTTTCAGCTATATGTTGAAAAGTATATGTATTCTATAAAGCTACCTCAATTACAATACTGAAACTACAATGTGAATATTTGCTTTTTTGGTATGGTATAAAAAGCATGTTTTCTCTGATGCGCATGCTCAGACCATTGTTTCAGCCTGTAGCTCGAGAGCAATAGAGCCAAGACTTTCGACACATGTTGCTACACGACACTGCCACTAGATGGTGCTATTGTATTTGTAAGATGCACGTGTTGACTTTTATATGACGCACATGCGGGGTGCGTACTTCTCATTTAGAATGGAGCTAATTGTCATTCTTAACCCTTATTAACATAGTAACATTTCATGTCAGCTCTATAATATGTAGTGTCATTTCTGTCGATGGCTTTTCCTTTACCCTGTTCAGATATACGCAGAATGGTATTCTTCATATGTTAGACCGCAACAAGCGCATCAAATCAAAGCCGGAGCGCTTCCAAAGCTGCAAGGACAAGTTTGACCTGATCATCACCTGTGAGGAGAGGGTGTATGACCAAGTGCTAGAGGGTGAGAATGGGGCGTGGGGAAAAACAACAAAAATATTGATTTTGTTGGTATGTATTTTGTAACCCTGCACTTTTATATTCTGTTTATGTAGACTTTCACTCCAAAGAGGAAGAGTGCTCGCAGCCTGTGCATGTCATCAATGTAGATATTCAAGATAACCATGAAGAAGCCACGCTGGGTGCCTTCCTTATTTGTGAACTCTGCCAATGTGTGAGTGCTCTTTGATCTCTATGAAGATGAAGACAGCTGTAACATATGATGCACATAATGTACCCCTTAATCCATAGCACTGATAAAGGTTTTGTTTCTCTACAGCTTCAGCACACTGATGACATGGAGAATGAAATTGACGAGCTCCTACAGGACTTGGAAGAAAAAAGTAAAAGGACTTTTCTACACACAGTGTGCTTCTACTGAATCAATACAACATGCAATAATCACACGTCCCAATACGAAGCATTCAGGGCCCTCGCTCGTAGGTGGCATCACTTACAGTGCGGCTGTTAAAGCTTGGGGCCATGAAAACTGGACTGAACAAAATGGCTGCTGTGATGAAAGTGGATCCTTTGGGTGAAAAATGTGACCTCCGGGAACTGCCTTTTGGGTCTTGGTCAAGACCATATTGAGCTTCTTGTTGTACAGTCAAATGACTCAACCATGAAACTTACAATCAGCACAGGTGACTCTCAAATTAATTTTGGTGAGGCTTATTATTGCAGATGACCTTTTTTCTGTACATTTATGTTAGTCATAAGTATTTAGTTGTTTGCCTCAAATGACCAGGATTATATATTTATTTCTAAAGAACAAACAAGTCCTGATAGTGATGTTGAAAATTACTGCAAGTAACCAAATGTATTTTCTTTTATAGTGTGTAAATTCATATTGAAGGTACACCTGTATTTCAGGGCATCTTTCTTTTGTAAGTTGAAGTTATTTTGCTATAAGAGCTGGAAAAAGAGTGCCTGATTTTCTGTATGAATTCTACAAAAAAGTAATTTGTCGGTCTGTTTATATTAAAAATCCTAAACTTAAATCCATTGATTTAATTTGACAGTGCAGTAGAATGAAACTAGAAAAACAAAAACGCACACCAAGTTCTTCTCATGAGGTGCATGTGCTGGAGCAGAAATTAAATGTGGAAAATACACAGCACACTCGGATAGATGTCCAAAAGATCTAGTATTTATTAACGTTAATAAATACTAGATCTTTTTGACATCTATCCGAGTGTGCTGTGTATTTTCCACATTTAAGTGCAGTAGAATACCACACAAATAATGAAACGTTACTAGAAAACATGCCCAATATTTCTTTTATTCAATTGAATTGGTAATTTGTTAAATTAATAAAGTTGGGAGAAAAGGTTTTTGTATTGTTTTGGTCCATCTCCAGTTTGACTGTCCTCAAGTCCCAGAATGTTTATCTAAAATGTCCCTCTAACCCCTGGGTTATATTGACCAGCCACAGTGACTTTTGAAAAATAACCTTAATACTTTTATAGGGCTGTATTTTGACGTCTTTTTACCCAACCCTAATTTCTACTTTAAATCACTGGTGGGTAATTCTGGTAGCGTAACTAAAAAACTTGTATTGGAGATGCTGAGAATTTCTGGATTAAAAAGTGAGACCATTTAAAAAAAGAAAACAATTACAAAAAGTTAAATTTAATCAGTTTTACACAATACATTATTATATATTAGACAGGTACTTTTGGATTCCTTGTAAAGAACAGTTCAGTATATTTATTATACTAGAAAGTAGAATTACAGACACCTGGCTCCCAGTACAGAGATCTTCATATACACGGCAGTCTGAACAGTCCGTGGTCAGACTGGAGTCCCGTCTTTTGGAGGTTCAGAGTCTTTCTTTTCAATCTTGTCTTCAACGGACTGTGCCTCCTCTGCTGTACTTTCACTTTTGGCTTCATCTGTCGTCGCGCTGCTCTTCTCCTCAGACACAGGAGGCACAATGTCCTCAGCTGCTGGAGAGGCCACAGAGAGGTCCTCAGCGGCTGGAGAGGCCACAGAGAGGTCCTCAGCGGCTGGAGAGGCCACAGAGAGGTCCTCAGCGGCTGGAGGGGCCACAGAGAGGTCCTCAGCGGCTGGAGGGGCCACAGAGAGGTCCTCTGACGCAGGGGCCACAGAGAGGTCCTCTGACGCAGGGGTCACAGAGAGGTCCTCTGACGCAGGGGTCACAGAGAGGTCCTCAGCTGCAGGGGTCACAGAGAGGTCCTCAGCTGCAGGAGAGGCCACAGAGAGGTCCTCAGCTGCAGGAGAGGCCACAGAGAGGTCCTCAGCTGCAGGAGAGGTCACAGAGAGGTCCTCAGCTGCAGGAGAGGCCACAGAGAGGTCCTCAGCTGCAGGAGAGGCCACAGAGAGGTCCTCAACTGCAGGAGAGGCCACAGAGAGGTCCTCAACTGCAGGAGAGGCCACAGAGAGGTCTGCTGCTGCAGGAGAGGCTACATTCAGCACGGGGGTGATCAGGTCTTGTGCCTGAGGAGCCTCAGCAGGAGGTGGTGTAATAGTGAGTTCCTCAAGAGCTGGTGCGGCCCCACTCAGGAGAGGAGCAACAAGGTCTTGAGCCTGAGGAGCCTGAGGAGCCTCAGCAGGAGGCAGGGCAAAGCCCATCTTTCCCCCACTCACTGATGCCTCAGGTTTTGGGGGGGTCAGTGTAGATGCGTCCTCTTCTGCATAGAGCCAGTCCATCTTCTGACGATGCTGTTTGACCGCATCATCGACCCGAGCATCAATCATGGCCTCTGTCAGGACACCATCTGCAGAGGAATAGGCTGCAGCCTACCAAAGGGTTAATAGAGAAAGTGTCAAACTCCACTTTTTCTGATAAAACACAATCATGTTTCATGCCTCATACCTGCCAAGCCACTCCAAGCTTAGAGATCTCACGCCCCGACATCCCTTCAGTCAGAGTAGCAATCTCTGAGCACTTCTTTCCGTAATCAAATTGCGCCAGCTTCATTCTCCTACACAAAGATTATATTTTACCCTCTTTTTCTCTGAGTAGTTTATATAGGTATTCAGTTTACTTACTGCCTGCCCCCAGTCGCTGGCTGAAGCACATATTTGTCAAAATAAAGGCGCACAAGCCTCTCCCTCTCATCAGGACCAGGGAGAGCAAAATTCACTATTTCATCTATTCTGTCATTTATGGCCCAGTCAAACTGCTCTGGCTGATTACTGGCAAGAACTAACATAAATCTGGAGATAAAAATATATATATTATAAATGTACTTCAGACATTTTACATATTTTTTTTCATTCTTACTTGTTGCTCTGTTCACCTGTCCGGTACAAAAAGGCATTCAGTGTTGCTCTTAGATCTTCACTAATCTTTTCCTAAAGAATAAAAGTGACAATTTGTAAAATAAAGTGCACAAAAAAGAAAACACATAACAGCCTATTTTAAAAATAGTGGAGTTTTACCGTTGAACGCTTACGAAGGAACGCATCAGCTTCATCAACAAAAAGTAGAAGTCTGTAAGCACAGACGTATATGATTTTATTATATTCAAATTCAATTAATGTCTCCAAACGTTAAAAACTCACCCACGCCGACTTGTATTGGCCCAGTCAAATACTTTATGCATAGCTGTTACCCCATCACGACCCATCGGTGCAACGTCTCCACCAGTCATGATGGCATAGTCCATCCCAGAATGCATTGCCAGTTTCTGCATAGGAGATAGGGTTTAGTCACGCTAAGAACTAGCATTCTGCATTAAAAATTTGCATGGCTTAGAGATATTCAAGCGAAGCACCTTAGCAAAAAGAGTTTTGCCAGTACCCGGGGGGCCATACATCAAGATATTTCTGTAGAGACCATGGTTTTGTCTTGTGTTTCTCGTGGCTATTGCAATGTCACGTACACGCTCTTCTAGAATGGGCTAAAAGACAAGAATATGATTACATGTTGCGTATGAGAAAAATCTGGATTTTATGTGAGGAAGGTACTTACACTGAGGACCACTCCTTCTAGTGCATCTTGAGGTTTACTTTTCAACCGCTTGGTGGTCTAAAGTAGGGTAAATTTAGAGTTTACCTTTTTCAGACATGTTGAACACATTGAATGGATTCCGCTTAAGTCACAGAGTCAACGTGTAGCTACCTTAACTGGATGTTTAATGGCCTCAGCCACAGTGAAACGAGACGTCTCTCGCACAAGGGATGGCTTCCCAAGTCTTGCTTCAATGTAGCGTCCAGCCACTCCAGTTGCATTACGGGCTGTATAGACTCCCACGGCCAACAGAGTCAGCCCGGCCACCTGGAGAGGACATTTCTTATTGGGAATGCAACAGCCTATATGATATACTTCAACACAAATGTAACTTATTGCTGGGTAATAATGATATAGTGGAGAAAAAAAAAGAATCAGGGAAGCAGCATGCTGGATGGAGGGTACCCATGACACTGTGTTTCAGGGGTTTAGGATAAATAAATCACAATAATTATTTTTGTTATTATATTATATGTTAGCACATTATTATCACATTCACATGCCCCACTCAAGAAGTTAATTAAACATACTTTATATACTTTTATATTTTACTCACTGTGGCTGTAACTTTGTCCCAGTCTGACACAAAAGCACGAAATCCTTCTCCAAACACAGCACCTGCAGTTCTGAACGAAATGGAGGACACTAGATATGCACATGTTCAAACTAGTGAACAAAGGAGCTTGAGAGTCTTACTTTATGGATTCCAGAACAGTCTGTCTGTGTTCAGCCGCCTTAAGTCGAATTTGCTCACGAATGATATCAGCATTCTCCCTTTCAACACGAGCTCTTGCTTTTGCTTCTGCTTCTATTCGCAGAAGTTCGTTTTTGTGTCTTAGCTCCATCTCATGTTCAATAGTTGCTACAAACAAACAATGTCAAACACATTCAGAAGAGTGAAGGGAGACTTGTCATATGTTCATGATCTACCTTTTCTCATGGCTTCTTGCTTCTGCACAGACTCCTCCTGTTTGCGGAGGTTATCCTCATTGAGATGTTGCTGTAACATAAAACCATGGAGTTTGGGGTTTTCTTTTAAAAGTTTTCAAAAACGTTTAAAATGTGCACTGACCTGTTGTCGAAGTTGTTCTTCGTATCGCTGTCTGGCCAGTTTGTCCTGGTACTGTGCTCGCTATTTGAAAGATATACAATAGATCCATCTTATACACAAATATTTAAAGCAAATTGATAAATAATTTTGACAAGAGCAGTCAAGGGGTTTGTTTTTGGTGGTAATGTAGCAGTACTCACAGCTTGGTGTTGTCTTGTCTCCTCGCCTAGAGTTTTTCTTCTCTCTTCACCCTGAAGTTTAATCTGATCACCTTTGAGCTGCTCCACAGCAGCTTCATACTCCTGTTATTAGAACATAGCACTGCTATACTTGACATTTCAACACAATGGTCCTTTGTAGACCGTTGTAGACCTCTGGCAAAATATCTGCCTTATTATAACACAAACAATAATAATTAATCAGTTTTATATATCGCGCTTTTATGGACACTTCACATGTCATTGCTCAATCACTCCATACACCATGGGGATAAACTACTAAGGAGCCACAGCTGCCCCAGGGCACACTGACAGAAGCGAGGCAACCAGTATGAGCCCTCGGTCTCTCTGACCATCTCCAACCATTCATGCCCACACCAAAGTCATTCTAGGCAATGTGGGTGAGGTGCCTTGCCTAAGGACACAACAACAGTTTACAATTTACAATTTACAGCTACAGCTGAGGTATCCCATCACAGTACTGATCAGGCCTAGTCCTGCTTAGCTTCAGAGGTCTGACAGTATCTGGGTTTCAGTTGGCGCCACAAAACATACCACTTACTGCTGATCAATAAGTATTGACCACATTATTCAAAAATAACAACAATCTATAAAGATGGTTAAGAATGGGGTGAGAGGAGAGAATGTATTGTTGTTTTGCACCTTTATTTTAGTTTGATGTTCCAACTGTGCAGTCTGCTCTTGCATACGGGATAAATCAAGCGCCTCCTTGGCATGACCTAACAAGACAGTAACAAGAGAATTGTGATCAAATCTGGTGCTTCACATTAAGACAAAAAACATTACTTCGTAATAGTCTAGTGTCCTTAACACTAGTCATTACTCGTACATATAGAAACATGAATGTATGAATAGTGTATTGGACAAACTTTGGTCTGTAGACACGCACACCCCCTCGCCATGGCCTTTGAACTATGTAATGAATGGAGGGGTGTGTAAAGCAGGTGGTACATGATGTACCACTATCAACGCTTCATTAAAAACAAATACCACACATCATCTATACATCCAGAGGGTCGGCCCAGCACTTACGGGACTTGTCGAGCTCCTTGGCTGCCTGAGCAGCTCGCTCCAGTCCTGTCGGGTCGAAATTACTCCATTTGTCCTTGGGTTTATCTCCCCCACTGCCTGCACCTCCACTTGGAGGTGGAGGAGGCGGAGGCTGACCGGGGACACCCGGAGGCTCGGGTTGTCCTCTGTTCAGACCAAACAGCCACGACATGTCCGGCAGAAGGAATAAACCACAGTTTCGCCGGTTAAAGACGGGCTCTGTGGACTGTGCAGCTGGAGATGTCAATGCACTTCCTCCACGCGTGGTCACTCGGATGCACTGTGCGCAAGTGCAACAGCGAGAGCGTCACTTCAAAGAACAATGTGTCTGATTGGCTGGTGCTGAACATGTTGACTTCCTATTGGTCGATAAACAGCTGTCACCACGTACATAAAATTCGTTTCCCCTCCCATTCTGTCTTCATTCGAGTTTATAGAAATGCCGTCTTCCTTGTCCTTCTGTCTTTCTTTAAGTGACCTTGGTAGCCGTAAATTTCAATATTCAAAAGGTGTTTAACTATCTTGAACTTTACTTTAAACCACGAGCTTCGTTGACACAGAAAAAGTAATTCCAATGAAGGCTAGGAAATGTGTTTTTTACAAATTGGGACGCAACCATAGACCATAGCAACACGTCTCGCGCATTCATTCAAAAACCTTGGTTACAGCATACAGTACAGACATGGATCTATTATAATAACGCGCAGACTGTAATGTTGCAGCATAGCCTTATAAATTCATGCGCATAGACCAATTCGGTCAATGGGTGGGGTTATGTATTATACATGATACTAAATATTACACTAAAACATTATTATTATATATATATATATATATATATATATATATATATATATATATATATATATATGTGTGTGGGTGTGTGTGCATACAGTTACATACAGATAGTTATTTTGGGCGCAGTTACCCTGACCCTATGAATACGCCCGTATTCATAGGGGTTCGAACCCCTATGTTCGACCCTAACCCTAACCGTAGCCTGCTTAGATTTCCTCCGGGTGCTCTGGTTTCCCCTACCACTAAAAATTACTTTATTAAAAGTAATAAAGTGCACCTTTCCCTTTAATACACCAGGTTTCATAAATGAAAATGCACTCATAGTTAAGGATAATTATAACTTCATTTGTCGTGCCTGGTATCATTGACTGACTATCCATCAAATACAATGATTCATAACGAGATTGAAACAGGGCAATCAAAAGGTTTAATACAAAAAACACTGAAAGACAAAATATATACAAAGAATGTACAACATAATTTCACACATGCAAATATTTTTTGTTTGTTTACAATGCATTCTACAAGAAGAGCAGGGTATCTTATAAATCACTCTTTGCTCCCTTGGCCGTATAAGATGATGGTAATGGAAACGGACTTAAATATTTATTGCAGGTAAACTACTCGGGACAAAACACCAGGAGGTTCTTTGCCATCGCCCAGTGCTGCACGGAAACCCTCTTGCTGTCGAGCACGAGCCACTTTGGCCAATGAGAGAAATGAACGCGGCTCTGTGATGGCCAAATCACTGATGATATGACGGTTGAGCTGGACACTGCTCTGTATGGACAAAAAAAGACAAAGAATTTGTATGGTAAAGCCTTATGGAATAACTTTTAAAAAGATATACACACACAAATCTTATTTTAAGATATATATTATTCTTATGCGCGTTTAATATATAAATAACCATACACACATTGCACGCACACACAAACACAAATAATCTCACCGACCTTCACCAAGTTATGCATAAGAGCAGGATACTTCATCCCATGCTCTCGTGTGGCTGCTGCTATCCGTGAGATCCAAAGCTACAAATGATATAAAATACAAATTGTTTAGTTCACACCACAACAAAAATAACATCATCATCATCAGTATAGTGTGATGATGAGGATTAAAGTTGACATTGCTGCTCCCTGGTGTTGCATTGGTAATACGTAAGTTTGTTCATCGACTCACCGTCCTCATGTTGCGTTTCTTTAGTTTTCTTGCTTTTGTTGCGTAGACAAACGCTCTTCTGACTGCCCGTACGGCCAATTTGTAGCAACGATTTTTTCTGCCTCTAAAATGCTATTTAGAAACAAACTATGAATAACAGAGTATCATCAAGTGCTGCCTATAGGATGACATCTACCAGGTTATCAAAGAACACGTGACAATGACCAGGCAAACGTAATCACAGAAAGGCACGTGAATGATGAAATACAATTACAGAATAATCAAACACAATTATAAAAACAGTCACACATCCTGAAGATGGCTAAAATACAACACTAACCCGGGCATGTTTAAGGACTTCCTGGACTTTCCAATATCTGTCAGGTCCACGGCTTCGTATCCAGCATGATAAAGTTAAAAACACCATAGTTCCCCTATTCTAGATTAAACTGGATTTATATTATAAGAAAAAAGTAGTTTACTAGCAGTGGTCATGCGAGGGGTACGGTCTCTAGTCTGTGAGCATGGCGACTCCAAGGACAAAGGTGCGTTTGATATAACTTTTAGGAGACCAGTCAGCAATGGACTTTAAAGACTACATGTAAGACGTAACAACCCCTGCATAATAGAACTAACGTAATTCTAAGGATCTGTCACCAAAGTGATAGGAGTTTTCGTTCTCGTTCACACCCCGACAAGTAGGTGGATTTAATGAATGTAATGTTGGTGTTCTGTAATATCTGGTGTCTAAAGAGCTCGGTGTCAAAAGTGAACAGACCCATGTACACGTGATATACATTCAGTCAGAGTTGCCAAGTCCGCTTTTTATAGCTACATTGGGCTCTAAATGAAACCAGTAGTAAGGGCTGAAACATTCACAAAGACAAAACAAAGACTTGAAATTGATATTCAATAAATATTCGACAAATACGTAATGTGGTCAAACAAGACATGACGACCAAGACATTATCTATCTATCTATCTATCTATCTATCTATCTATCTATCTATCTATCTATCTATCTATCTATCTATCTATCTATCTATCTATCTATCTATCTATGTACTTACTCACATATATAACATTAATTATCATAATTATTAATAATCATAATAATAATAACAATAATATAATAATAATGCTGACAGCTTATTCGCTTATTGTTCTCAAAATCTGGCAACAGTGCTACTGCAGGTCGGAGTCAATCCAAAATGTCGGCAGCAAGTCTCTCGTCCTTGAGCCGCTGTGGGATTTTAGCCTTTCGTTCTCATCCGGCGATTGTGGTAAAGTAACTAGTTAGTAATTTCAACAACCTTTACTTTCATCGCTTGGTGTGGCTGGGTTGTAAAGAATCAAAAAAGCTTGTTGATGTAACGGAGTGATCGCTGTGATACTGCTACTATGCTAACATGCTAACATGCTAACATGCTAACATGCTAACATGAAAACATCCAGCCTCTCCCTGGGTCAACAACTGTCACCTTAGATGGCTTTTAAAGATTGCAACGTGTTGGGAAGGAGAATGATGCGTGTTGTAATTAATCCTTTTGAAACGATTAATAACAATGTATAGTCTGTATTATCCGAGCATTAACAGGCAAGGAAACTTGTTTTTTACACTGTACAATGTTAGAAAATAGACATACGATTAAATTTGATTTAAACGATGAAACTAAGTGCATATCGGAGGAACAATTGAATATGTAACATTTTGGGGGTGCTTGCAAATAATGTTCTAATTCAAACGTGAATGGTGCTCCTAAAACTTGTTTACAATGTGTCAACTTTCTAATGGTCTGCAAGCCTTTTAATATGTTGCTTTTTACAATGAGTTTGATAATGGAGATCAATTTTGAACCAAAACATAATAATTTGCACATTTTTCAATACACATTAGCCATATATCTTGAAGTGTTTATCTTGATGCCTTTTCCTGTAGGCGGCCCGATGGGCTCAGACAGCAGCTGCCCCTGCTCCTCAGCCAAGAATAAAGAAGTTCCAGATTTACAGATGGGACCCAGACACTGCTGGAGACAAACCCCGCATGCAGACCTACGAGATTGACCTAAACACGTAAGCAACCAAAATAACAGACTAAAGACATGCCTTGAATTTTAATAATAATAATAATACATTTAATTTCAATGAAATCTCAGAGTGCAATCTCAGAGTGATTTTATTTTACTCTGTCTTGTGTTTTCAGATGTGGCCCGATGATTCTTGATGCTCTTATCAAAATAAAAAACGAAATGGACTCGACTCTTACTTTCCGTCGTTCCTGTAGAGAAGGTTTGTCATATGAATTTATGGGACATGATCTGGCTGCTTTAATATATATAGATTAAAGATTTGTTGTTTGTAATAAACACTGGGTAGGGCCGGGCGATATGGCAAAAAAGTAAAATCTCAATTTTATTTCCTGCTTTGGACGATTTAAATTTTAAATCGATTTTCATTAAAGTCGCAGAAGACAGACTTTGCCCTTAAGAATATTTTTTGATCTTTCCGCTCAATATTCAAGTTTCAAAGATATTTTTAATTTGTTTCCCCCAATACGTATTATAAAAGTCTTTTACAGACTGTGCTGATATTGCAAATATAATTCATGTGCTGCTGGAACTCTCACAATATCCTTCATTTGATTTAACGAATTTCACATTTTTCACAAATTTGATTTTTTTCAAAAGACGATTAATTGCCTAAATTTGATTTATTGCCCAGCCCTACACTGGGGAGTTAACCATAAATAAAATGTTTAAGTTAAGAATTTTTATATTTTTTGTAACACACCTGCATGTGAAAACCTGGTCCTGTCAGACCTGTAAACCTAAGCAGAACAGGGCCTAGTTTAGTACCATGATGGGAGACCTCTGGGAACATCAGGTGCCACAGTGGGATAGCTGTTGTTGTGTTCTTGGTAGAAGTTTGGGGTGGTCTTGATACTCAAAATCCTCAATTGGATTTTCAATTTTAGGGGATGATTCGATTTCGATTCTCGATTTATTTTCTTTTTCATACAGCCCACTGTAGCATAATGTAGCGTGGCTCAAGTTAACAGCCTTTAAATGTCCGAGCCGGCACAAAAGCCGGACGCTTCAGCTGTGACCGAATAGCGCACATAAAGTCTGTATAAACAACGGGTGTTACCGACTGCTTCCGCTGTCTTTGATTAGCGGGTACAACTTCTCACAGGAGTACGTAAACTAACTTTAATGTGCTCTTGTCATGAATCTATTAGGCTCTCGTTTACCGTTTTTTTAAACTGTCTGGGTTAACCACGGCTGATCAATATCAATAAAAAAAAAATCTAAATCGTGACACCCCTATTTCTCGGGATAGGTACTTCCCTCAGATTACCTGGAATAAGTCTGGTGTGTGTAACTGATTGGTAGAACTCAAGTGGAGCCAATGTCACAGATTAGTAGCCTTGCTGCTGTCAGCTCTCGGGCATCTGTGGCTACATTAGCAGTTTGCCATTATACCATGTGTCAAAAACCATGATTCAAATACAATTAGTTTTTATATTCTTTTTTAATAACATGTGAAGTATTTTCCAGGTATTTGTGGATCTTGTGCAATGAACATCAATGGCGGGAATACGCTCGCCTGTCTGAATAAAATTGACTCAAATTTGAGCAAACCAACAAAGATTTACCCCCTGCCACACATGTATGTGGTCAAAGATCTCGTCCCTGTGAGTAAAGCAAACTTGCACAATCTCCACTATTCTCTACATTATTTTTCCCTTACTGTCATTTTTGTTCTTTTTTAGGATATGAGTAACTTCTACGCTCAGTATAAGTCTATTGAACCATATCTAAAGAAGAAGGATGACTCCAATGAAGGGAAAGATCAGTACTATCAATCAGTGGAAGACCGACAGAAGCTGGTATGACTCTAATTCACTTCTTGTGTTAAGTATTTACAATATTAGATTAGATTCAACTTTATTATCATTACAAAATCAGAACAATACAACAGGGCGGCACGGTGGCTGAGTGGTTAGCACTCTCGCCTCTCAGCAAGAAGGTCCTGGGTTCGAATCCCGGTCGGACCAGGGCCTTTCTGAGTGGAGTTTGCATGTTCTCCCCGTGTCTGCGTAGGTTTCCTCCGGGTGCTCCGGTTTCCCCTACCACTAAAAATATGTACAATAGGTCTGGCATGTGCCTCCTGTACTGGCACCCCCACTCCCAACAATTGTAAACCGCTTTGAGACTCCGATGTGCAGTGAAAAGGCGGTATATAAATAAAAGCTTACTTACTACTTACAACAAAATGCAGTTTAGCATCTAACCAGTTGTGCAATAATGCAGGTATAAGATAATTACAAAACGTTAGAAGCATATATGTAAGACTGTACAAAGCTGCTATTGGTAGAATACATAAATTATATTACATGTCTAATGATTGGTTGTTTTGTAGGATGGCCTGTATGAATGTATCTTGTGCGCCTGCTGTAGTACAAGTTGCCCAAGCTATTGGTGGAACGGTGACAAATACCTGGGCCCAGCTGTTCTCATGCAGGTAGATTTAAGGATTTAAATCTAACTTTAAGGCTTTTTTTATTTGGTGTCTAAACTGTAAATGTGTGTTCTGTTTTTAGGCGTATCGTTGGATGATTGACTCACGAGACGAGTTCACAGAAGAACGTCTGTCCAAGCTCCAGGATCCGTTCTCTCTCTACCGCTGTCACACGATCATGAACTGCACCAAGACCTGTCCCAAGGTATTTTAGTTTACTGTATGGTCTGTAGACATCTCTGAACTTTGAGCTGGTACTTCCTGTTTATTTATACTTCAATTATTAGAACAAATTAGAGCTTTCACATTTATGTAAGCTTATCCTGGTATTTATTTAACTGGTGAACACGACTTCAAATAGAGAAAAAAATAGTTTGTTGAAAAGATACTGAACACTAACCGACAGTGAAGGGCGTGTTGCCATGGTAACACTTACAGTCTGGTGGAAAATATTAGCAGTTAAAGTTTCACATTACAAAAAATTCTAAAATGTAAAAACGAAACAGGGGAAAATATTTGTAGATCAAAATGTTTCTATATAGACATCCCATATAATTAGTACTAATGTATATGGTATAAAAACACGTTAAATGAATTTGCGTCTGACTCCACAGGGCCTGAATCCTGGAAAAGCTATTGCCGAGATCAAGAAGATGATGGCGACGTACAAGGACAAGAAAGCAGCTGCAGCCTGAACACTCCGCGGCCAACTTCCTCGTTTCCCTCCAAAGCCGAATTACGTTTTCATTTGAATTCTTGAGGTCTATTGCACCATTACAGCACCTGTCGTACGAGACGCCTGTGTCAGTGAGGATGTGGTCGGATAAATTATACGCACATGTACAGCCCGAATGAGAGCGAGTGTGAGTCTTACCTGTAACTGTAAAATAATTATCTTTTAAAGCCATTTGCTTTTCTGGCCTCCTGCTTCATATTGAGGTCGACCTGGGATTTTTGCAACATTTCCAAATTTCAGTGGTAGCTTTTGATTATTGTTCATATTTCCAGATCTCACATTGTAACAGCATTTTATCTTTTGATGGAATATTAAATATGTAAATGCAACTGATATGACGCCTGGTTTTTGTTTGTTTTTGGAAACATTAATCATTACAATTATCTAATAGAGATAGTTTAACTAATGCTCAGAGAATATAATGACAGATTAAGGTACTCTAGTTTTCAGGGAATCAAGTTTGTGGATCTTTGTCCTGTTGGACACTTTTTTTTTTACATTTAAAAGTAGAATACTTTTGTTTAAAGCTGTATATAAGGATATTCCCAAATTTTAGGAAAGAACTGCTCTCTCCCCTTTTTGAACAAGCATACATAACCAGAATGATTGACAATTGGGGGGACCAATAGTCTTGATGATCCACCCAGAAGAAGAAAATCCTCTTATACCTTCAATTCTCAAACACTAACGAAACCTAAATTTCTCTGTTCTCTCCAAGGCTGCAATGTATGACTTGTGAAGTGACATATATTTCATGTCTGATTAGAAAAGTTCTCTGTCTCCAACATTTTGACGCTTTGAGTTGAGAGATGATTGGCTGGGGGAGGTTGTATGCAAAAAGTCTGATCAAAAGCAGTGTGAAAACTTTTGATAGCCTGGCTAATAATAATGCATTGGTTTTATATTGTGCTTTTCAGGACACTCAAAAAGATGCTCCACATGTCAATATTCATTCACTCCATACACTACAGTTGTGGTTGAAAGTTGGTGAATTTACTGGCTATTACTGTAGATCTTACACTATAGACCTGGACCAGACCCCAGAGTCAGACTGATCCAGCCGCGGCCCGTGGGGGTCAGCTGGGGGTCCAGGTCCGGCTGGGCGGAGCCTGCACGTGTGGGCTGGTTCTTTGGTACAATGTGGATGTGAGACTGCAGTCCTGGGTTCAGTGCGCACATGAGAGCGAGGCGCAGTCTGCACATCATAGAATAATCCTGGGTAAGTGCACGATCTCCAACCTTGGCCTTTTCCATGTTTTCTAACAAACCTGCAGAGCATTTCAAACTCGCTTTGAGTTGAAATAATCAGCCACGTTATTGAATAGGACACGTTCAGCATTTTGATAACATTTGAAAACTTAACCAAATGCATTGTGTATGTGAATATTGTCAGCTTTTCTATGACGTGAACATAGATCAATATAGGAGGCTGTTTTCTCTGGAGAGGAGCGGGAGGTGGGACTTGCCTGCGCGCTACAATGAGCATGATCTGTGCCAAGAAGAAGGAAAACTATACAAGAAAAAAAAAGTACCTCGTGAATGTGCTGGAGGTCGTTGAGGCCACATGTTTGGGACAATGTATGATTTTTACGCACGGTTGAGCTTGTCATGTAGTAACAGACTTGTAAACGGTGTCATCCCTTGTGGCTGTCCTTAAAAACTCCACTAATGTGTGTTTGGGGGAGACTGGAGTCTGAAGAGAAGAGTGAAGTGAAGGGGGGTGTAATGGCTCCCAGATGTTTGCTGTGGAACCATATGTTTTTCCCAATAGCCACTGCAATGGGATGCACAAGAAAGAATGCCCTTGAACAGATTTATTCATTCACACAACACCAACTTGTCCTCTCTCTGTGTGTGTTCAAATGCAATGAGAAACGCACCCTCAAACAGCCCTGTATAACAATATTCAATGGATTTTGGACTTCTCAAATGGTCTCTTAATGCAAAAGGACCCCTGGGAATCTTATGTTTTCCAGGTTTGGTAAAATAATCAGCATTTTAACACCATTTTGATTTGATTATACTTATGGGCTATGGGCCTCACAACATTGACAAGCAACTCAAAGTCCCAAATACACGAATAGATGGCCCTTTATGTACTGCCATTGGTTTATTCAGAATGGTGAAGGATAGGCCAAGATCATGACGACAACTTCTCCAGATTTTTGCCTATCTGGAAAAGTTATTGTATAGAAATATACTTAGTCTAAAATCTATATCCATGAAAAATATGGAGTATTTCAAAAGTGTTGGTTGTAGTGATGTAGAGACAGACAGAGAAGAAAAACAGCAGCAGCTAAGGGAGGGGAGAAGGGGGTCTTTACGTCTCTTTTCCAGGAATCCGTGCAGTTTTGAGCCCAGCCTTAAGTTGAGTCCTGAGTTTGTCACGAAAAAAGGAAAAGTAGGAAACCAGAGATTGTTCTTCAAAGAGGACAGACGTGCCACATTCTTGCTGTCACTGTTTGGGGCCATTTCACAGACACCGAGAGAAGGGGGTGAGGGGTGAAGCAGGGCATTTAGGGGGAGAGTGGTGGGGGTTGGATATGGAAGCAAATTGGGGTAAAATTGATGTTGTTTGTTCTGTTTAAAAAAAATATGTTTTGATAGTGTGAAGTTCAGTCTACCTCCACGAGCAACCATGAGAGTGCTCCTGCTGATCACTCTGCCAGGTAAGCTCCAAACAAAAGCATCATGAGTACAGGGGTGTCCAAACTTTTTAGTAATAGCCCACCAGACTTTCTATAGGGGCGGGCCACCATAACTTTAACACTTTATGGTCTGGATGTTGGCCGTAGCTTTAAAATGAGATATGACACGTTGACATTGGTTGAAGTTGGCTGAATGAAAAATTGTCAAAAGAGAGAGGAGTCAGAAGTAAACATGGGGAGGCAGCGTTTCACATTCATGCAGCTAAAATCTAGAGCAGTCTTCCAGAAAATGTGAGACAGGCTTCTTATTTGACAATGTAACAATGACAATGTAAACTAACAATCTACTATTTTAATGTAGTAGTGTTATAATTTACGATTTTAATTTAACTGTGTGATTGCTTCTGTTTTGTTTTGTTCAGCACTTTTAGATGCCTCACTGCAAAAAATGATAAAATATGAGCTTATAATTGCTTGAATTGAGTGTTTTTATCTTAATTTGCGTACATTCTGGCCAAAGGGACATAGCTATTTAGTGTTGTTTCAAGGACTGTTGCTTTATTTTCTCACTCCAATGGAGACATTAAAAAAAAAAAAAAATTTTCAAACTCGATAATGTTCTTTTGTCCCATTGGAAAATCTTGATTTAAAGCAGTCAGAATGTTCTGAAGATACTTTTTGTCAAATTTCAAACTTATTTTTAATCTTTAGTAGTAACTTTATCAGTATTTGGTCTCAGCGACTGCACACTGAGAGATAATGCATTAAACGTAAACATAATTGGATTGTGTTAAGGCTGGAGTACCAAACTAAACTACTATGTGATAAAATACATGTCTAGTACCAACCCTCACTCAGCCAATCAGCTCTCAGTATGCAAACGATGTTCTCTAATAAGATGTGGACCGATTTGTTTACAAAATGTATTAAATAGACAAAGTTAAGTAAGTTTTTCTTAATGTTTATGTGAAGTACCTTGTCTTCTTCTACAGCGCTGATCGTGGCTCAGGCTCAGTACCAGGAACCATATCCTTATCTGGGTACGTTTGTTTTTGTTTTACTTCTGACAGGAACTCAAACCTTTGTTGTACTCTGCATCCAGTCAGAAATGTCTTGAAACCAGAGGACTCTGTAGTTGCGGTGGGAACTGGCAAAAATGGGAAGATTTGATAGAATTGAGATATTTTGGCTACATTTCAATAATATTGCGATTCTCTACCATTTTGCATTACAGCAAGTTTTGCCTTTTGATTTGACCCTCATATTAGGGCTGCACGATATATCAAAAAAATATCGTTATCATGATATTGGTGCGTGCGATATCCATATCGAATTTCTCCACGATAAAATATATATATATATATTATTATTTTTTTTCCTCTATTAAAGACAACAGAACTGACAGACACATCAACATTCAACAAGAACAACAAACAAACAAAAAAGTATATAGATATATGCATTTGAAGTTCATTGATGTTGTGCATATTTTCTGTTATTTGTCTCTTTCAATGCAGATTGCAATTTTAGGTGAAAGACAAAAATATCAATAATACTAAACAGTCATATTAAATATCGCACTAAGTTCCAATATCGTGCAGCTCTACCTCAAATTCTTCAAAGGTATAGAAAATATTGAGAAAAAAAAGACTGCTCAACGCATATGTCACATTTATTATGGTCTGCAGATGAACTGAAATGCAAAGCTCAGGAGGGTGGTGCAAAACGTTATCATTGAACATTCAGGACACAGGACTTCATTACAGACGAGATCATTATTCTCTGACTCTCTCACATGAAGCGAGTTCCCTGCACATAACTTAGTTATTCAAATACAATAGACTAGAGCCTATTGTACAAAGAGCAGTCACAAAAGAGTAACATACATTTCTTCAAGAAGTAAATGTTAATTAAATAAGGTAATACTTTGCTCTACTGTTTAAATTTGATTGTGTGCGCAAAGTATTGCAATACTGAAAATAATTCATTTTTCCTTATAGTCTAAAGTAGGTGACTCTGTCTCAGTCTAAAAAACCCAAAACGAAGATTCAATATGAAATGAAGTTTTACTTGTGTTATGTGTTATTTAATGTGTATTTTAGTTTATTGTTCTCTCCTGTGTCTTTGCCCCAGGACACCAACACCTGCGAACACACAAGAGTGATGTCATACCCTTTAAACACATCAGGGATGTGACATCACTCTCGTTACAGTTTTATGGCCGTAATGTCCTGTTTTATCTTGAGCTCGTTCTCATTCCGTCTTCTCTTGCTTCACAACAGACCCAGTCGACTATGGACTAGATTATTTTCCAGGTAATTTTCAAGATGTTTTTATGTTTCAAATAAATGCTTTAATTTTACTTTTACTCACAGTGATGGAAGAAGGACATATTCGTGTTAAGTAGAAGTACAGATATAAAGAAAATAATAGTATTGACAGCCCTTGATAATGTACTGTACTGTAATTGTACTTGAGTAAAACATGTAAAGTAACAGGATTTCATTTAGTCGTGTTCATAAAGAAAAGTGTGGTTAACAACAAGACACTTAAAACAATCGTTTGTACAACATTTGTTTATTTCACTTCTAAACAATGAAATGTTGTTCTGCCCTGAATCACAAGTCGTCTCAAGAGAACTTTGTCAATTCCCAACAACAGATTAGAATTGTGGCTCTGACTCTGAAGGATATGACTCGATGACACAAAGTGGAAAACCTAATTTTAACCATTTCAAAAGTATGTTTGACTTTTAAGTGCAATTATAAATGTAATATAGAAAGTGTAAACAACTTCTTTAGGTAATTAAAAGTAAAAAATAAGTGTCCACAGTATAATTTATTCAATTGTTGAAATTGTTACATCACTTTTAATTACATTAACCATTAGAGTTTTATACCACACTTTTCAAAGTGAACTCAAAGATACTTATGTTATTTGATTCTTCACAATTAGCACCATCTGGTTTCATGCAGATTATGAAATGTTTAAGTACATATGTCATTGATTTTCTGTTGGTATTTTATCTTTATAAGTTTTCTCACATTCCATTACTGCTCCCTGGCCAAAGGTTCTACGATGATAGTAGTAATAGTTCATTGAGTATTCTTCCCTGTGCTGCAGAGAATCCAGACCTGAAGAGCTCAGACCCGGGGCTGGGGACTTACCAGCAGCAGGTCCGACTGGAGCCCGTTGTGCGTCCAGAGAAACCTGGTAACTTTCAACATCACAGAGACTTAGACTGTGGAGGATATCATTCTTAAAATTGGTTATTTTTGGTCATAGATTCAGAGTTGGAGACTGAGCCCACCGAGCCTGGACCTCTTGGTAAGAAAATGACATTAACTTTTGAATCTTAAATGGCTTCGTGAAGAGGTGGAGATTCTGATTATTCTGATGACTTGATCGAGGGCAATAACAAAGCACTAATAAATGTGTTTAATGTGTGTAATTGTAGTTTGTGATAAATTATGACGCAGCAAGATTTATCACAACACAATCCAAAGAGCAAATAGGATCTTCACAACGATTAGACTAAAACTATTTAACTACTTTGAAAACGTATGTCGTCCCATCAAATATGCATCTCTGTGTGGAATATGTTTGTACCAGTTCCGGGTGTTATGAAATCATTGTGGCGCTTTCTCTTTTAAACAAATTAACAGATTATTTTAAATTCTGTTCAAACCTCATTGCAAAAAAATCTGGAGAAGTACGAAAGGAGAGAGGTGTGGGGTCGGAGAGTGTTTGGGTCACATAACATTGTGTTGTGTGACTGTTCCTTTGTATTGTTTGTATTGTTCTGTTCCAAATCGTCTCGTCTTTGTTGAAAGAAGGAGATGGGTTTCTGATGGAGGATTCTGAGCTTCCTCCGTTTCGTTTCAAAACAGCTAAAAACTGTTTTTGCAATTTATATTTTATTAGTTTTTTTTCCAGTCATACTTTAATCGATATACATTCAACAGACAATACAAGCACAGTTATTTGAACAAAAAAATATATAGGAGAAAAGGAGAAAATAAACAAAAAAAAGACATATACATAAAAGATACAAAAATAAAAAAGAGAGAGTTCAAATTAAATCTAAAAAAAATAAAACAGAAAAGCAACACAAAATGTATAACGGATCTAATAATAAAATAATTGTCATGATTAAGGCTGTTTTGGGTTAGGTTTAGGGTTTTTTCGATTTGTATTCGTAATGCACAGGTCTTGAATTAAACATCTTGATTGATTGTGTTTGCTGGAGCAGACTGCCGGGAGGAGCAGTACCCGTGCACCAGGCTCTACTCGGTCCACAAGCCGTGCAAGCAGTGCCTCAACAGCCTCTGCTTCTACAGGTTTGTCCCACGATTATAATCTATCACCACATTCTCCCAGGCCAAACTCTGTCCCTGTAACATAAACACATGACGTTTGGTTCAAGCATGAGAGCGAGTTTTGGCCTGAACTTAACGCATTTATCTCAGGAAAGAAGTGATAGATTATAGATGTCAGTGAGCAATGCATTTGTCTGTTTATAGATACTTGTTTAGTGATACTTGAGTGGAGTGTATTGAATGACCTAATAGAAGTGTCATTGAGGGAAGTCAGCTTTTCAACGATCATCTGTTTCTATTCAGTTTGCGACGGGTGTATATCGTCAACAAAGAGGTTTGCGTGCGGACCGTGTGTGCGCATGAAGAACTGCTCAGAGGTAAGTTCTGGATGCTCCTCCGTAACAAGATTATACTTTGATTGGCTTTGTCTGAGAGAGGTTGGCTTTTTGGGTTCCATTCACTCAAACTACAGATGAGAATGGGCATGGTACAAATAAACATTACACCTAAAAGATAAAAATCCAACAATATTATTACAGCTAAGGCCTAATATGTTTTATAAAAATTAATTTGTAACTTTTCACAAAATACTTTAAAAACATGATTAAATATGTATGTGCCACAGACTGTATACGGCCTATGGTACTGTGTGTGCTTGTGTTGTCTGTTGGGTTTGATGGATTTGTGTTGTACCTGTTCTGAAATATCTTGATTGACAAAAATAAATGTGAAAAGTGTGTTCATCTGGAGCATAAATACTCGTGTTGCATGATTATATTAACAAAGATTTGTACATTTAATTTAGTTTGAAAATAGATAAAAATCAAGACACATTTCACATCCATGAATCACAGATTTTACTAAACAAAAGGGTTTACAGGGAAAAATAATTTCTCTAAACAACATTCGGTCAGGCATTACTTTGCACTAAAATTCTTTAGAGACACAATCTAGTTTTTTTTTTTTTTTCATATTGTAAAATGTATACAATCTTTGAAAACCTGAGATCTAATGTACATAATGCCTGAAGAAAATAAATACTACTCATTATTATGTATTTTATTCTCTGTGTGTCGTCCTCTCTGTAATTTGTGTTATTTGCTGTATTATTATTTATTGCGATGTAATTGTATTTATTTTAGAGCTACTGCAATCAATGTATGTATTCTGAGATATTTGTTAGTTTTCGCTAAAAACTAGTAAAAGCGATGATTGTTTGATTTTGAGGACCACCTCGAAATTGAGAGGACGACATTTCAAGGGGATATTCCTCTCAAAAAAATTCCTCTCTTAAAATGTTCTATTTTATTCTTTTACAAGTTTAAAGTGATACATCAGGTACACATGGCCATATACAAACTGGGGCAGCTGAGTAAAAACTATAAACATACAAACAAGTAGTGTTAACCATCTGTAGTACAAATATCCAAAATACAACACTCGTCCATGTCTGGTACATGTCTCCAATGAGCCAGTCCTAAAGATGGTGCTTTTCATGCGTATCCACATCCACTGCTGTAATTCCCCTTCGTTGTTGTTTGCAGCGGACCTGTGCCGGGACCAGTTCTCCCGTTGTGGCGTGGCGGCTCTCAGCGGGGGCTGCGGGTCGATAGGAGGCAGCTGTGGAAAGAGCTGCGGAGGCTGCTGAACTTCAGGGACAATATTTGCCCAAAAACTGCCGCTGCCCAACTCCTATTGAACATGTTTTACTCCTGTGTTGTGCACTAGTGATGTAACAAAAAGTCATATTGGTCCATTTTAAACTTAGCTAAGTTTGACTAAATCTCAATTGGACGCTCAAACTCCTACCAGCTTGTTCTGTTGTCCTGAGTAAAGGATGGGCCCTTACAGTAAGAGTGAGAAAATGATTACAGCTTCAGGTTCATTCTTGTGGACCATGTAATAATAATAGGAAAGTTGTTACATCCCTAATGTTTACTTCACAGAATTCCAGTCTTTTGTAGCTTTAAAAAAACGTGTTTACCAAAGATCTAGAGTGTACTGAATACATTTACTCCGCTGACATTCATTGGTGCTACAAAACCATCACACTGGTGCTATGAAGACTTTACATGCACAATGGTATTTTGTACAATATTAATCTGATGCTTTGTTTTTGAGTTGTTTGTTTTATAGCAGTGATTGTTATTGCAATGATGACAACTGTGCACTGACCACTATTCAATTATAATTTCTTTTAAAGCTTATGGAAATGAATGACTCAGATCCAACCAGACAGTCCGAAAGCTCATTTTGTCTTTGAAACGTCACATAAGCCTCTGTACTACTGCTTGGAAAATAGTCACTATAAGGACTGGAAATAAAACATCACTTTTCTAATGATGTGAGTTTGTTCATTCATTCTTTAAGCTTGTACTGCCAGGTGTTGGCGGTCGCACACTTTGACAGCAAAGGAAAAATTAGTCAAAAATTGCTCAATTTTGGCAAAATGTGTCTTAATCTGAGCATATTTTGACTGCTTTAAAACAAGATTTACAACAGAGCATATCCTGACTTTAATCTCACAACGTCTGACAAAAATAAAATAATCAGGTGACCCTTATGCTCCGTCGTAGTTATGCAAAAAAGATTTAAATATATTTTTACCAAAGTTGAAAATACATTACATTCTAAGTTGAATACTTCTGCAAACCGACATTCCCATATCTTTTTCTAAATTAATAAAACCATGCATTATTTAAAAAAAAAAAAAAAATACCATGATTTATTTTTCTTATCTATGTCTTTGGGATGGTGTTTAGCTCAGTTGGTAGAGCATTGGCCTTTGTGCCTGGAAGTCGAGGTTTTGAGCCCACCATGGGACCTACTCCATCTGCTCCCACAAATGTCTACTGTCGTGTCCTTGGGCAAGACACTTAACCCAACAATGCCTGAAGCCTCGCCAGAAATGGGTTTAAGATGAATGAATATATAGATTGTTTGTTTTAACACAAAGACACACACCAGAAAAACTTTGCTTCATGGGGTATGATTACTTTTCCAAGGCACTGTATAACAACAGATGTTACACTGATGCTGATTCAGTCATTTATCTGATGGAAACAATACAATTATCCATCTTCATCCAACACAGCTATGAAAAACAAATCCCAATGTTCAAAAAGTAGTATCTTTTTAATTAGAATACATATCTTTCACTACTATTCTTAATAATTTTGTTGTTAGTGGTTAGATTGTAAACAATAGTAACTAGAATATATAAAAAAGAATACAAAATACTGGTTTAAATTAGACATAAGTGGGTTGTGCTTGATTCATCACGATAATACAAGTAGTGCCGTTTAAAGTTCATAATGCTGCAGGGTTGAATGTAATATTTTCATTCTCACATTATGCCCAAATTCAGTCAAAGAGGATCCCACAGAGGTTCGGGTTGCCTCCACAATAAAAAAAGTTACAAAGTTTGTGAGAGTAAAGCTCGGATGAAGAGCAGATGTGATGCAGTCGGTGTGTCATGGCGACCGCAGCTGCCTCTCATTTCAGTAAACACACACACAGTAGTTACACACAGAACGATAAGACATCACTGGCTCGTTCTCTTCAGTCTGTGACATTTGTGCGGAGAATGTTTTCCCTGGATTCAAGGTAATAGCTGGAGGTGTAGAAGTACATAGAAAGAAGCCGTCTGTTTCTATGTGGTAGGAAGTAAAGTGGACTGAAGCGATGGATGACGTCGTTTCATCTCCTTCTGTAGCTGCTCCTTCAGAGTGGACACCTGGGAGAAAGTAAAGCTCATGTACAATCATGATGAGGTTGTGGAATTTCTAAACAGAACGAGAGACACAAATAATGAAATAGAAAATATACAACCAGAGCTGTAATACAGTCAAAATGTGGTTTATTGATTTCAGAACAGCGCTATTCATAACACTGCGCTTTACACTGCAAAAAGTGATATAAGATAAATGCTTGAATAAAGTTTTTTGAGTATATTTTGAGTATATTCTGGCAAGTTTTATTTCAAGAACTGGTGCTTCAACTATATGTTTCTTGCACTAGAATATACAGTATTTATCTTTGCTCCTGATGCTAAAGTCAGGAGTTTTTTGTACTTAAGTTTTGCTTCTTCATCATGCTACAGTTGAAGATTTTAAGAGTTATTTCCTTATTATGTTGGATAGAGATTTTAGAGTTAGAGATTTTACTTTCTTTTCTTTTAGTATAGAGTTATTATTCATTTATCTTGCGCTGTGTGCTCCTTATTCAGCTCTGTGACTTGTGATGCAACACTGAAATTTCGAATAAAGGATCTCTTAATTTTAATCTATTTTTTCTAATTCCAAGGGAGGCATTGTTTGTATTTTTTAAAAACAAGATCATTTTTCTTGTCGAATTGGCAAATCTTGTTTTCAAAGATGCAGTCAAAATGTGCTCAAAAGAAGATACTATTAGCATTAGATAGCTATATGGCCTACGCAGACACTGGGAGAACATGCAAACTCCACTCAGAAAGGCCCTGGTCCAACCGGGATTCGAACCCAGTGCTATCCACTCAGCCACCGTATTTTGCCAAATTTGAGCAAAGTTTGACTTTCACTTTTTGCTGTGTACGAGAAACACATCCTTGTTATCAATGTGCATATAAAGAGATGGCAATGGAAGGTTCCATACGAATTACAATCAAATAAATGGCATTTTTTGTATTTGAAATTAGATAATTGTACCTAAAATATGCAAAATTGAGCTTGAATTGGGGAAAATGAGTCTTGATTTGAGTCTGTACTGACATGTGCTACAACTTGACGATGAGAGCAGTGAACGGTACCTGCTCCTCCAGTCCCTTGACGCGGTGACGGTGAGCTCTCTCCCTCGTGCCCAGGCTGCGCTCCACATCCTTCAGATTCACCTTCAGCCTCTCGGCCTCCCGCAGCGCCTCGTCTCGCTGTCGACTCAGGTTCTCGCAGACACCGTGGGACTGCTCCATGTCCGACAGCTGTGTCTGCTCACAATAATAATAATCTTTGATTTGTATTTAATAAGAGAAGCACAGTAAAAGATCCACACTACAAAGATCACTGTTAAACTGGAGGAATATAAAGTTCTTTGTACTGGTATTTTCCAAAATGTATCCTATGTTCATGCTATATTATATAATCCAACTTGTATTATACCTGTAAAATTAGTATTTGCTGCTGTGCCTCTTGCAGCTCCTGTTCCACTGTGTTGAGAGATTGATCTAAGCGGCTTTTCTCTGCAGAGAGCCGCATGGTGCCTTCCTCAGACTTCAGCTTCTGACGCTCCACCTACACAAGAACATCTAAATATTGAACATCTCGAGCTGATTTATGTTGTAAATGTGTCACAATGTGTAAATGTGATGACCTTGTCCAGAGTGTTCCTCAGAGCGTTCTTGTCCTTCTCCAGCCTCACAGCCTGCCTCTCTGAGTCTTTCTTCTCAGTCTCTAACATGGCCACCGCCCTCTGGAGGCTGCGCAGCCGCTCGTCCAAAGCAGGCCGCTCAGTTTGACAGGACTCCAGAGAGCGCAGAGCCTCAGACAGACTGGCAGAGCGCAGACGCAGAGTCTGAAGGACAAGTTACATGGTTTCTCTAACAATCATCTACAGCATGTGTTGAGATAATGCCAGTGGGAGTCTCACCTCCTGCAGTTGGTTGATCTCAGACTCCAGCTCTTCTCGTTTGAACTCACTGTGTTTGAGTTCACTTTGGAGGCTTTGCACTTGTTCACTGAGAGCAGCAGTATGTCTCCTGCTTTCAGATAAAGATGCTCTGGTTTCATCCAGACGCTCCTGTTGGAACAACAAACAACATGAAGCTTTACTCCGTCCAGCCCTCAGGTCTTGGTCCCTCACTCACCTGCAGATGCTGCTTCTCCAGCTCTGACGTGGTCAGAGACTTCTGCAGGACTGAGAGGCGGTTCTGAGAGCTGCTCTGAGCTGCTGTGGCCTCACTGACGCTCAGGTTCAGCGTCACAGCTCTCTCTTTCAGCACATTTTCACTTTCCTGAGCTCTGAGCAAAGCTTGACTCAGTCTGTCCACCTCCCTCTGAAGCTGAGACAACCGCGCTTCACCCTCAGCCACCTGCCGAGAACAGAGGAGTGAAACTACGCAATCACTCCACATCAGTCAGTGAATCAAAACTGCACCTGTTTTATCAGAGATTCATGTCTCTCTTGGACCAGTTGGCTCTCCACCTCTTTGTCCCCCATACTCAGCCTCAGTCTCTGCAGATCTCCCTCCAGACTGCGCCTCCCCAGCTCTACCCGAGTTGCCCGGGCCTCTGCTGCCTCTAGCGCCTCCCGCAGGTGTCTTCTTTCTCCCTCCAACCGCATATCGTCGGCTCGCTGTTTGTTAAGCTGTTCCTACAAAACAAAAAATGCTATTATAGGCAAATATTAGACATTAATTAATGTCCAGAGATAAAATAGTTCACAGTTACATTAATATTCCAAAACAGTCACATGACTGTTATGGAATACAGCACTCTGGGTGTGTGCCTGTGCCATATGTTGTCATGTTGTTCTGGGACAATTGGCTGCAGGACTCTCAGAGGGACATATGTTGTTGTCATATTTACCTGGACCTGTTTCCTGTTGGCCTCGGAGGCCTGCAGAGAGCGCTCTAAATCCTTCACTCTGTCAGCCAAAGCACGTCTGTCTCTGTCTGCTCTCCTCACAGCCTCCTCCTGCTGCTGCAGCAACATCTGAGTGGAGTTCAGGCGCTCTTCCATGGCACGCTTTCCTACAGTCAGGTACATTACAAATGAGTAAAGGAAATACCTTAAATGTGTGAATCAAATATCTGACCTTGGTGACTTTCTTGTAAACTGCTCTGGGTCAGCAGGAGGCGGTTCTGAGCTAAGTCTCCTTGGGCTTGGAGATCTTTAAGCTCACGCTGTAGGCTGCTCATCTGTGAGCGGACATCATCCTCAAGAAAATACAAAATATGAACAAAATGTTGTAAATGTAAATTAACAAAACAACAATTCATTCTGTCAATGAGCCTCACTCTCTCTCTTTGAGCCTCTCGCAGCTCCAGTAGGAAATCCCTGAGTCCAGTTCTAAGTGAGTCTGAGTCCAGATCCGAGGCAGACAGGGGTGTGTCGGCTCTATTCGGAGACGTTGGACCAGAGCCCAACGTGTTGTCAGGGGTGCTAGTACGCATCTCTGTTCCAGACCAAGGAAGAACACATTAGTGCTAGTGAAAAGTATTATATCTACTCTGTGATACAGTATGATTAGGACACGACCACAGCTCTACCTTTAGGTGGCGACAGAGAGGAGCGCAGAGGAGAGATGCTCTGGTGTCGGGACATAGGTGAAGTAGAGCTGCCTCCTGGACTCCTCCCTCTGCCCCCTCTGCTTGCTGCCCCGATGCCCAGTGTGCGTGAGAGTGTGGACTGCAGGCTGCTCAGTCTGAACTCCAACTCTTTCCTGCTGATCTCAGAGCGGGACAGTTCAGCCTCAGTGGCGGCTAGTCGTCCCTGTGCCTCGCTTAGTTGCAGACTGGACTGACACGCTTGGTCCTGGGCTGACTGAGCGCGGAGGGACAGGTTTTTGGCTTCGTCCTGGAGCTTCTTCTCACAGCCATGAGCCTCCTGCAGCCGAGCAGTCAGCTCCCTCTCACAGCTGCGCCAGCACGATTCAGACTCCAGCAGCCGCTTCTGAATGAGAGAGAGCTACACCACAAACACAGCATGAACACACCGGTGCAACAGGGTTAAAGGGTTTGTGGCACCCACCTCTTTCTTCAAGGACTCTCTTGTCGTCTCTGCCTCATTTAACTTCTGTTTAAGCCCAAAGACCTCTCGACTCTTATCCTCTTCTCTTTGCTCTTCTAGTGAGAGCCGAGTCTGCAGCTCAGCTAGCTCTCTGCTCTTTTGCTCCTTTTCTGCTTCCAAAACCTTCAGCTAAAAGACAAAAGGAACATTCACAGATAAACCTTTCTTACAGACGACAGAGCTTCCTTCACACATCTCACCTGTCTGCGAAGCTCCTGCAGCTCACGCCTCGCCTCCAGTCGGGACCTCTCCACGTCCCGCAGGCAGCTGCGCAGCTCCGTCACCTCCTTCTGTGCAGACGACAGGCTCTCCTCCACCACCAGCAACCTCTGCTCCTTCTCCTCACAGTTTCGCCTCAAGCTGCCAAAAGCAAACCACAAGCTCATCTTAATTCCTTATCTTGTTTCTTGTGAGTGAAAAAGTCCAGCAAGAGAGCAGCTCTCTTGCTGTACTTTTAATCTGCTTTCATAATTTTTATTCTGCTACAATATGATTATTTTTTTTAATAAGTTTTAGTGATTTTGACAACTGAAGCATGTGATATGTTTGGGGAGGAAAGAAAAAAAAGAATAAGAGAAAAGAAAAAGCATCTTTTCTGTACCTATTGTTGGCTCTATCAAGAAGATTTAGAAAAACTCCAAACTCTCCAAATGAAATCAAAAGGACAACACGGTAAATGACCAGTGAAAAGGATGGAAATTCTATAGTTGATGTAAGCAATTTAATTTCCAAAGCTAAGAAAGATGTTGTTCACCATCAGAAATACAACTTTCAAACAGCTTTCAGCCACTGTCTTCTAGCGAGAAAAGGGAAAGTGGACATTAGAGGGATTTAAACCAAATTTCTCACCTGGTTAAGCTATAAAAGGTACAGGTAGTGCTTTATGTGAAAGGTTTGAGATGCTGACAACAAGTCACCACCAATGATCCTCGTACCTGATACGGTCTGTCTCTGCACTCCTGACCGTCTCTCGGAGCAGAGCGTTGGATTGGCTCAGGGTGTCTCTCTCTTTAGTGATGTCACTGAGGCTGCGGCGCTGCTCGGTTGCCTCTCTCCTGAAGTTATCAGCTGAATCCTGCGTTTGGTTCAGACAACGCTTGGCCTGCAGTAAGTCATGTCTGAGCTGCTCTCTGGCCTCCTCACAGGCCGACAGAGAGGATCTGCACTGCTCCAACTGTAGGAAGGACACAATCTGTTCATCTAACAGTTTAGTCACATTATAAAGTTATAAAGGTATACCCATTATACATTTATAATGGCATGTCAATATCATAGACTGTAAATAAATATATACAATTATTTGTACTCTCACAACTGTACTTATTATATTTTATTGTCACATTTTAAGGGTTTACCTCTTTTGAAACCAGATCCGCCCTGGACTGGTGATCGGTGCATGTCCGTTGAAGTTCACTCAGCACGCGTTCATGTGCAGAGACTGAATCATCAAGCTGAGACTGGAGCTCATGCACATCAGCGGTTAGGGCTCCAACTCTGATCTGTGGAAATACAACACAAAGTTCAATATGCTACTCATTATATTATAATATATTATAAATATATTATAAAATTTGCTAGATTCTCCACCTGCTCCTGCTCTTTGCATTGAGACACCTCTCTGGTCATCCTCTCGACATCCAGGATTGCAGTGGACAGTTCAGTCTGGAGACTTGACACTTTCTCACACAAAGCTGCTTTCTCTGCTTCCTTTAATGAGAGAGCCTAAGAAAAGCAGAGTCATAGAGTAATTTATATTAGAACATTATCACATCTATTAAAGACGTTTGCTGATGATAATGCAATATTGAATAACATTATCCCAGATGCTCAATGTTGTTTTATAGTTTGATACATAATTAAGTATTTGTAGTTACAGCAGTACATAGAAAACAGATGTAGACAAGGTGCGTTGAGTCTTTTGCAAAAACTACAGGTTGCACAAAAAGTCTCAAAAGACAAATGACACAATTTTCAAATCCAAATCTACACAAGCATCACTTCTATCAGTTCAAAAACTAACCCAATAAATAACAACAAAGTTCTTATGTTGTACCTGTTGCTTCTCAGTCTCTGCTTGAAGCAAACACTGGTCTCTCAGGTGCTGGACGGTTCGTATTTCTTCCAGAAGTTCATCTTTCTGTCTCTGGAGTTTAAGCAACTGTTCATCTGTGTCTTGTCTCAGTTTTCTCATGTCTGCCTCATGATCCATCAGCAGGTTGTGGCGTGATGTTTCCTGGAATATAAAGAACATATTTAAAAAAATTAACACATCATCAGATGAAGGACCTAGCCAATACTACATTGGCTAAACAAAGGACTTAATTGATTCACAATTGTCGAGAGGTGCAGACAGGATTCAAAGACAGAAATCCCTCAAACTACTATTGGGATTGTGAGAAACAAAATTTTGACTTGAATTTGAAGAGTATCATATGCTTTATCTGACAAGGAGCATGGGCAGATTGAAAGGTTTCATCGGTTCCATTGGACCCACCTTCTCCGAGATGAGCCTCTCTATCTCCTCCAGGTGGTCAGAGATGGTTTTGCGCAGAACCAATTGTGCTTGATTCTGGGTGTTGATTAAAGTCTCACTCAAAGCCTGTTTCTCTTTTTCAAGTTGAGTAACAGCATTTTCACCAACAGAGTGAGCTTTTTTCAGTTCAGCTAAACAAAACAAGGATTCAAGATAAACAAATTATAAATTAGAGCTACTGTAAATTAAACTGAATTATGCAAAACAAACATGAACAGATTCAAGATAACTGTGTGGCTGTAGTTTTGCCAACAGTCGACTCACCTGCTATAGTCTCAGAACGGACTTTGAGTGTTTGGTTCTCGGTCTCCATTTGTTTATAGAGAGACTCGATTTGAACGAGCTGCTGCTGGACTTCAAACAGACTGGTCTCCAAGGACTCCCGCTCAGACCTGGATCACACAAAATAACTATTCCTGTAAGATGTCAATGTTGATTAATATTTAAGGCATAGTTGGCCAATTATTATAACCTGGAATAACATGCGGTGGAGGGCAGGTATTCAAGATAAAAAAATCATGAAATGGTTCTAATCTCTTCACTTTTATGCTCTACTATTACTCTCACTTTGTGAGAGTAATAGTTGTGTATTCAGTCACAAGTGACTGAATACTGTTCAGTTCCAAAACAAATGTCTCTTAGCCAGTTTTTAATAACAGAATTGGTTGTTTGTCAAAATGGGTCTTATACTTATCTATATATTCTGCCCACATAGACTTAATAAAACATTACATTCCTCCTCATGCAAAACTGAACTTGATCTTATCTTTACGTGATCTACAGCGTAGTACTTTTTTACAGGTGAAACTGTAATTTAAATACAAATGTGAAACTAATATATGATATGGACTAATTACATGCACAGTGACTTATGCCAAGCCTTTGTTTATTATACCATACTTTCTAACAAATTTCATTTTGTGGAAATGATAATTGAACGAAGTTTACGGATGGCTAAGGCCAGGCTAGTTTATATTATCATTTTTTTCTGAGATGTTTTATCTGAGTTTTTATAAGCTTTGAGCCATACTTAATAACATTATAACAAATTAAGGCTTTATATATCTCACTTTGTGTGATGAGTCTGTCATGTATTAGATTCACATTGTAAGATGAATTACGGAGGAAAATGAAAAGAAACGTAAACCATATTCAAGTTTTTTTAAATTTTCAGGGATCACTGAGGTGACTTTTCTCCTTTGGCCGTGTGAGGAAATGTCGAGCAAAATAATCCCAGACGAGGACCAGTCTCAGACCTACATTCCAAATAGAGACGTGAATTTGCCCAAGTCTGAAATATGGTATTGGTAAGAAAGTAGATGGTGAATGAATGCGTTACCTAAAGGAAGACACCTCTTCAGACAGAAGGGAGTTTTCTCTTTCAGAGGCTGCCAGCTGCACCACTAGAGCCGCCTTGTCCCGGGCCAGTTCAGCTCGCCCCCGTCCCACCTCCTCCAGTGTGGCCTCGTTCCTCTGCCCTTCTCCCCGGACTGAACTCAACTCTGAACTGAGTGAAGTCACCTCTCCACACAGCTGCCACACAAAGCAAGGTTAATTTTGACTGAGATACAATTTTAATGTGTGCCCGTCCACTTTGTGTGTTTTTATAATCGTTAAACATAAAATAATAGTTTCCAACTGCCAATAACAATAAAACAAACCTTACATTCATTAACACTGTCTTGTATTTTTCCCACTCTCATTGGTTGTCAATTGATCCAATTCAATGCTTTTGATGACATGACCCTCTCTCAGAAGACATGGGGAGACCATGTTGGAAACCACACCATCCATCCATCCATCCATTTTCTACCCTTTAATCCATTTCTGGGTCAGGGGGGTGGCAGTCAGAGATGCCACCCAAGTCTCATAGCACCAGCCCCTCACTGACCCTCTGCAGGTGGTGAGTCCACAGGAGGACGGCTGCTCTCTGAGTGTGAGCATAGCCTTGATCTTTCAGTGGGGGCTCTGGGCAAAGTGGGGTTAAGTGTCTTGCCCAAGGACACAACGACAGCAGTCATCAGTGGGAGTCGGTGGAGAAGGTGCAGAGGTGGGAATTGAACCCACGACCTTCTGGCCTTAAGGCCAAACCACACCACTACACAATAATCTGTTGTTTTTTTTACCCTTTTTTTGTATGGAAGCTTAATCAAGTTTATTTTAGAGAATTTTAAAATAGTTATCACAGGGAATGATGTCGTTGGCACTCCAGCATGATTATGCAAATATAAATGAAATGATTGTTTATTGGTGTCATAGATTCTCAGATAGAAAACAATCTAACAAAATGCATGCAGTGTCTTCCTCCCTGTGTCCAGAGACTCTGAATCAGGATTCGATCTAAGCCAGGTCTCAGACAGCACTGGCGAGAACCCTGGTCATATATCAAAAATGCATAATTCATTGTAATATATATAACATAAATATCCGTTCTTACCTGTGAGACTCTCTCCTGCAGTCTCAGTCGGTCTCCTCTCAGACTCTGCAGCTCGGCCTCGGTCCTGGTCTGGCTCAGCTCTGCGTTGTGGAGAGACTGCTGTAGACTGATCCTCACGAGGTCTAGTTCCAGTCGCTCCTGCTCCAAACGCACAAGCTCGTCTCTAATCGTCAGCTTCTCCTGCTCCACCTCACGCTTTTGTGTTTGAAGAATGGTCTTTTCTTCTTCAAGCTGCAAGACAAGAGACAGAAACCATCATGATGAGCAATAATTTATTTACTTTGTAAAGTCCTTTGTAAAAAATTTTTTTGAAAGGTGCTGAAATGGAGATATGAAGTATTATTATTATTATATTATTATTATTATTATTATTATTATTATTATTATTATTATAAGATAAGATAAGATATAATTTATTGATCTCACAAAAGAGAAATTTACACTCAAGATTGTGCAAAAGAAAGAAATGTGCAAACATGTTAAATGTAGGATATTATGTACAATAAAAAAGTGTCAATTTATAAATTGGTAATCAGAAACAGTGTCGAAATAGTAGTGCAGGTTTTTCAGTCTTGATACAGTGACTTAAAGTGACTTGTTGTACAGTCTGACAGCAGTGGGGAATAAGGCCTGCAGTAGCGTCTCAGTCTTCCATTGAAGGAACTCCTCAGCTCCTCTACAGTCCTGTGCAGTGGGTGGGAGGTGATGTCCATGATGGAGGTGACTTTGACTAGGACCCTCCTGTCCCTCACCTCCTCCACAGGAGGAGGTATTATTATTACTACTATGGTGTTATTGCCACATCATATGATGGATGGTATATATTGTGACATACATTTCTCCATTGTGAGATCAATAAAGTAATGGTCTTATCTTATGTCTGGAAATAAAAATAAATGATGCTTAAAACAAGAATAGATGAATTTGCCTGGAGGATGTAAGAGTTGAGGTCGACTTTGTCCTGGGTCAGTCCCTCGTTTAAGTTTCCCATTTTGGTCAAAGAGTCTCTGAGCGCTGCCTCCTCAGACTGAAGCTTGTTCAGCTGCAGTGAGAGCTCTGCATTACGACTCTCCACCTGAAGCAAAGAGATTAATCAAAATGAACCAAAAAGGGGAAAATAACAAATCAGTCATCAAATATGATTCTGAATGTCTTTACTTGGGCCAAACCCTTGGATAGTTCGTCCTTTTCTCGCTGCAACAGCTGCCGCTCCACCTCCCCCTGCTGGTGGCTCTCCTTAACTGCAGACAACTCTCCTCTCAGGGTTGAGGCGCGACTCTCGCTCTGCTCCCACTGTTTCTGCCTTTACATGGAAACCCAAGAAAATGCATCTTTAAATAAAACCATGCCATCATTCCGGAAAACCAGATATTACCAACGGTGGTGATAAACTACTAATGTAGCCACAGCTGCCCTGGAGCACACTGACAGAAGCGAGGCAATCAGTAGGTGACACCAACCCCTCCTATCAACACCAATCATTCAAACACACACCAGACTCATTCTAACTAATGTGAGTGAAGTGCCTGCCTAAGTACACAGCAACAGTTTGGAACTTTACAGCCGCACCACTGATGTCTTCCATCACAGTACTAATCAGGCCCTATCAAGCTTAACTTTGGAGGTCTGACGGGATCTGGATTTTTACATGCAAGTATGGCCACGTGCATGCATTCAATCACAGCCTATGATGATTAGGTTATTAAACATGGTATAGGCTCTTTAAAGGTACACTGTGTAGTTTTTACTCCCTTCTAGCGTTGAGATCATATATTGCAGTCTAAGGTACTACGGTAGCTTCGAAGGACAATATGTTGTCTATGACAGTGGTCCTCAACTCCCAATCATTCAAACCGGGCTGCCAAAGAAAAAATCCTTTAGTTTGATAATTGATCTCTCCATACGTCTTGGTTACTTGACATGGTAGCACTAAAATGTAAAAAAATTTGACAAGTATGTCAAATGTGTTGATTGTTTTTGCGGGGATTTCGTGAACTTTGCATATTTGAGGCTTGTCCCTGAATACGTTTTGTCAAAACTTGTGGACATGCGCTCGGAGTGGGTCAGAACATCCTGAGACCTGTGTTGCAGATTCTGCCTTGTTCTCATTACTGTCAGTGTGAAGAAAGTTACGTATTGTTCAAGTGTGAGTCTGTTCTGTACAAACTACAGCAATGTGCCTCCTGTTGTTTTAACTCTGCCTTTGCAGTGCGTGTGGTTTGCGATATTGACACTTTGCTGTTATGACGCCGGTTTCTGGAGGTTTGCAAAATTCTTTTTCTGAAAGATTCTTGTTTGGGTTGTTCTTTTACATAATTGTTGTCCTCCATGATACTTTCTTCAAACTTGTGAGGGCACGGTGGAAGCAGCAATATTAGTAGCGCCTGTGAAACGAAAACACGATTCTCGCATCTTTTTAGTTCCTTATCAACCACTGTATTTCAAGATGCCGCATTGACATGGAGAGTCCCCCAGCCTCATGTCATAGGCATAAATTTGACCAATAAATATACAAACATTTAAAAACACGGTGGAGGTAAATATTCTTAAAAAGGTCACATTTGCACTCTGTGTTGAAAAAAATACACAGAGTACCTTTAAGGTAAACTTTACATAATCGTCCCTGGACCTCATCAATAATTCCTAATGTGTAAATAGATAAAAGTAGATCTGTCCTTTAGTATGAAACCGGCCTTACATGCGCTGAGCCTCTAGCCGGCTGCGGTCCCTCTCCAGTGCAATGGCCTCTCGTTCCTCTCTCTCTGCATCTCGTTCTCGCTGGAGCGTGGCCACAGACAAATGCAGCTTTTCGCAGTCCATCTGCAGCAGTTGTTCACTGCTCTGAGCGGACTGCAGGGACTTCTCCACAGTCACCTTTTCACTGCAGAAACACACAATGGTTAAAAACTTCGAACCCAAACTAATCCAAGCTATAACAAGAAATTAGCGCTAAACTTAATAATTAAAGGTCCCATATTTCGTTCTTCTTTGTGCTTCAAGGTTCATCCTAAGCACATGTGTGAAAATAATTGGGATGATCCACCATACAACACTCAAACTTGTGAAGCGAGTGAATCTCTGGTCCTTTGCCGGTGAGCCCGCCTTCTCCCTCCCACTCGGTGACATAGCCTCACTGACTTTATTGTATGTTTGGTGTTTGCTGGTACAAAGCAGTACTAGATCTGAGAATAAATATTGTCATATTAAGTCCTAGGTCCTCGTTTCAGAATCGGGCCGTAATTATTTGGTTAACAGTAGTATACGGCGAGTTAGTAGTTACAGATCTTGGCTCCTCGTTCGTATCATTTGTAGTGGGAATGACACCAAGTTTAAAAATCAACTTTTGAGTAGGTCCAGTGGTAACTGTAGCTCTGGAAGCAGTTTTGGGTGAAGTGCCGTAGCCACATTCACTGCACTGCTTTGTCTTTGGGCCGAACAGCACATATCACATATTGTCACATATTTACAACTGAAACAACATAGTCGGGACGCGCTGATTCAGGCACAATTGTGGGCGTGTCTGTTTGGATTTCTCTCCCTGTCAATCACTACTGAGCACCTCCTGGATGCTTTTGCAGCTTTTGCAGCGAATTAAACCAAGGTGTTTTGCTGCCTCTACAGAATGAAGGAGAAAGCAAAGTAAACTAAATCTTGAGGGAATCACTGAAAAAACTATTTTGGGCATTGGTATTAAGACAAAATAGCGCTTTAAGGTTTAAAACATAGAAAAGTTGAAAAGCATAAAAAGGTGGCCTTTGGGAAGAAACCTCTAATTAAACATACGCTAAACTAATTAAACAACGCTAAATAGTCCGTTGTAGTTGTGTTGATATCTTAACACATAATTTGCACCACACATTTATAGAGAGCTGAAAATGATCTAGTAAAATGGCAAAGTACAATGTAAACAAGCAATACAAATGTTGCTCAAACTCTATGTACAAAGTTAAGTTTGAAAATCCAAGTTATTCAGTGAAACTCAAAACACTAAATCAGATCACACCTGCTCAAACTGTCTCTGTCGTGCTTGGCTCGGTCCCTCTCTTTCTGCAAAGACTCCTTATCTTTCAGCGCACCATCCCGCTCCCGCTGAAGCATCTGGTTCTTGTGCTCCAGATCCTTCTTTGCCGTCTCGGATTCTGTTAACTGCTTTCGGAGCGTGTGAATTGCAGCCTGGGTAGACTGTAATCTCCCACGGAGATCCTACAAGCGCAAAAGAAACGGTTTTGCAAGCTCAACAATGCAACAAATGTGTTGAATACTGAATATTTATCATATCACTGTTATTGTACTGTATATAATATATTATATATATTATAAACATAATTCCTGTAAAACGCAACATCTGAAGTATTCATTCAGTCCACAAAGCACACATTGGTGGTAAACTACAGGTATTACTAACATTCTACCCACAGCTACTGCCAGTCTGCACCAATACCGCTACTGACTGGACCCACCTAACACTACTTTTCACCAACCCTATTTGTACAAGGCAACAAGGGTAAAGTGCCCTGCCAAAAAACACAACAATATTTAGCTTAAGAGCCAACAGCTATTCTCAGCAGTCTCCCATCCAAACACCAAACAGGCCATGCACTGTTGAGCTTCTGAGACCAGGTTTTGAAAAGTACGTAATAGAAAAAGCATTTCTAAATTTTAGCAGCTCATTGAAACCACAAAGATACAAACAATGTTACAATTCTACTGTCAAGTGTGAGTGTTGGAAACACTCTCTCAGTCAACACAATAAAAAACAATACAAATGTATTATTGAAATAATAATAACATCAAACATCAATCCGACCAACACCATCATTCACACACACACCAGACTCATCCAGACCTAGGGCAATGTTGGACAGAGGCATGTTATGTTTTTTTTTTTTTTCACTGATCTAATGATAATCTACAGAATGATCACCTGCAACTGTAGTTGTCGATTGGTGATGGCAGAGCGCAGGGCGCAGAGCACTCCCTCAGGCACCAGTGTCCCAGAGGAGACACGCGATGGAGAGGACGAGCGTTGAGAGGCAGAGGGTTTGCGCACAAGAGCCAGGAGTGGAGCCCCTGGGTCCTGGTCCGCTTCTGATGAGGACTCTCCGTCCGTCAGCACAACCTGAAGGAGAGGGAAGCAGCATACATGGGCTGTTTATAAAGTTAGCCATTGCAGAACACATTGTTTCTGCAAGAGTATGAACATACATATATATACAATAATAATTGTCCACCTGAGCGATGTCTCTGAGTGTGTCGACCAGTATCTGTGTGTGCGTTCTCATTGTCTGCAGCTCCGTCTCGTCTGAACCACTCTGCTCCTGGGATACAGTAAACAGGTCTATATGAAGGTTTACAAGAACAGCTTAGCTCCAAATGTTACCTCAAGTCTTCTCGTCACCGCAGCAATTTCTCTTTCCTTTTCATCCATTTGGCTCCTGAGTCTCTCCTCCTCACGCACAGATTCAGACAACCTAAGAAAACAAAGTGTAAATATTTGCAATAACACTAACAGTAAATCAAATTAATTGACTTTGGCCTACTTAGGTAATATCTCCAAAGGCTCTTCTAGTGGGTTTTAAGGAAAATTTCTTCGATACTGTCATATTCATACACAAGTACCTGAAGTTGAGTTCGCTCCTCTCTGCATCAGTCCTTGTCTGTAAGTTCATGGTCTCTGTGACTCTCTCTCGGAGCTGCTGCTCCAGCTGTAGCCTCAGCGCTCGCTCTTTCTCTAAAGCCAGAGTTGTCCCTCCTTCTCGGCGGACCAGAGACGCAGACAGACCCGCACAGGACAGCTGGGCCGAGTGTGAAACGTGGGATAGCTCATTGCGCATGTCTGACAAATCTCTGAAGATGAAGACAAGATAAATCAGGTCATCATAAATAATGGACTTCATATGATCACACTTTCTAATTATGTCCTGGTGAAGACCAGGTTAGTCCAGATACAGATAAGAGTTGTGTGCTCTTCAACCTGAGCCTCCTGCTCAGGGCGGTACCACAGCTCTGGAAGATCTCCTGTGTGGTACCTTGGGCACCGGTACCTGTGTGGTACCGGTGCCCAAGAAACCACGGGCCAAAGACCTCAGCGACTTCAGGCCAGTGGCTCTAACATCCCACTGCATGAAGACACTGGAGAGACTGGTCCTGGGACATCTCCGCTCCACTCTGAGCCCAGCGATGGACCCGCTGCAGTTCGCCTACAGGCCGGGCATCGGAGTCGAGGACGCCATCATCTCCCTCTTCCATCGCTCCCTGTCCCACCTGGAGAAACCCGGCTCCACTGTGAGGATCCTCTTCTTTGATTTCTCCAGTGCCTTCAACACCATCCAGCTGAGGCTTCTCAGGGACAAGATGGAGACAGCCGGTGTGGACTATGACCTGTCCCAGTGGATCCTGGACTACCTCACAGACAGACCCCAGTTTGTGAGAACCAGGGACTTTGTGTCGGAGGTCCTGACCTGCAGTGTAGGAACTGCCCTCTACACTGCGGACTTCAGACACAACACGGACGGTTGTGTTCTACAGAAGTTCTCTGACGACTCTGCCATCATTGGACTCAGCTCCGAGGACGATGACACAGAGTACAGAGGAGTTATACAGGACTTTGTGGACTGGTGTCAGCGGAACCACCTCCTCATCAACGCGGGGAAGACCAAGGAGATGGTGGTGGATTTCCGCAGACGTCACTCTGCCGCTCCAGCTCCAGTGAACATCCAGGGAAAGGACATCGAGAGAGTGGACTCTTACAAGTACCTGGGTGTTCATCTTAACCACAAACTGGACTGGACTCATAACACAGACGCCCTCTTCAAGAAGGGCCAGAGTCGCCTCTACCTGCTGAGGAGGCTTAGGTCTTATGGAGTGCAGGGGCCACTCCTGAAGACCTTCTATGACTCTGTGGTGGCATCAGCCATCTTGTACGGTGTGGTCTGCTGGAACAGCAGCATCACAGAGAGGGACAGGAAGAAGCTGGACAAGGTCATCAGGAAGTCCAGCTCAGTCCTGGGCTGTTCCCTGGACACAGTGCAGACGGTGGGGGACAGGAGGGTCCTGAGCAAACTAACATCTATGCTGGACCATGACTGTCACCCCCTGCAGGACACTCTCTCTGCTCTGGAGAGCAGTTTCAGTGACAGACTAATTCACCCTCGCTGTGTGAAGGAGAGGTTGCGTAGGTCTTTCCTTCCTGCTGCTGTCAGACTGTACAATAAGAACTGCGGAGCCTGTAAATTTCATTCATCTGTAATTAAGTAAATTCTTAAATCATGTGCAATGTGCAATACTGCAACTTCAGAATGTCACAGAACAATGTCACTTTACCTCATGTCACTTTACTTATATACTTTTTATCCTGCACTATTTAACTGTACAGTATATAATTGCACTACTACATATATATATTTTGACTGGTATTGAAGCATTTTCAGCATCTACAGCTAGTTATGTTAGTTAAGAAACATAGCTACTACTTATTTGTATATATTGTGTGTGATCCCTGTGTGCTCTTACTACTGTCCTATATGTGCGATGCAACATCAAAATTTCCCCACTGTGGGACGAATAAAGGAATTCTTATCTTATCTTAGCTCTTCTAGTCCTGGTTTAGTCCTAGACAAGTCTTGAGATGGTTTCAGCCTGTTTCCATATTTGATGTGGAGAAAGTACATCCAAAATAATTGATAATGGTATCCACATTTAAAATGAGTTTGAACTAAATTGTGTGCAGTATACCACAACAAGCTAAGGCCAGCCAAAAACTCCACAATCTCTAGCAGGCCCCAGAACTAGACTCTTGAAAAAAAAAATGTCTTTGTTGTGTTGTCCATATTTCTATTATATAATATGTGTACATGTGGTAAGCTACTACTGCATTAATACATAGGAAATTGCTGCACTTCAGATATAGTAGTCTGATTTTCCCAACAGTCCTCCCTGATCCAGCTCAGCATCAACCATCACCATCACCATCATCATTCACGCACACACCAGACTCATCCTAGGGTAGGCATGTCCAAACTCTGGCCCGCGGGCCAATTGCGGCCCTCAGAGACAGACGATTTCTACTCTATGATATTCAGCTTCTGATCAACTTTTTAGTTGAAATTCAATCACTAAAACATTTTTTTTTTCAAAGGGTGAGAACAAACAGAAGTATAGTACCTTTCAGTGGAGCTCTTCATTTCACAGATATGCCTCCTGAACCAGACCACCTGCCTCCATAACATCAACAGGCGGCTGTGTTCACTGCTGAAGTAGCTTTGGAAAGACTAAACACAAAACACAGTTGATAAAACAACAACAAAATGACTGAATAAATGTTGGCGCATAATTCAACAAATGAGTCTGCACCTCCTCCTCTCTCCTCCACTCGGACTCTCTTTGTTCCAGCTCCTCTCGGGCTTTAGTCCAATCCACAGTCAGCCTGCGGAGGTCCTGGCTCAGAGCCTCATTAGCTAAACTAGCCTGCTCCAGCTGCTCCCTCAGCATGGCATTCACAACAGACAGACTACTGCTCCTGAACACCAAAACAATACACTTGAGCATATTCGTTACAGCACAAGTGAGCATTTGGTTTCTCACCTTTGTTGTTCTTCTTCAAGATGGATTAAAGCTTCCTCCAAGTTGTTGTTCAACTCATCTGGTTGGTGGCCATTTGACGTTTCACTGTCACTCTGCAAAAGAATAGAATAACACGCATTTGTGCATGAGTAAGCTGGCATGAGCTGCATTCAAAGGTCTGCAGCGGCTTAACTAGGCTGGACATGCATCTGGGACAGAGCGTTGAGCCAAGAGCCAACTTTTGGACTAGACTGTAAAGCCGATTTCGAGGGGAAAAAAGGTGTTGTTAGAATGCCCTGGATAATTCCTTTTCCGGGTACACCCCCACCGGCAAGGAGTCAGATTACAAGCATGTCAGCGCACGTGTTCCCTTTTGAGCCAGGACCCGCCCCCACTGAGCATGATCTGGATAAGTTGCTTGTTTTCTTTTGGTTTTATTCCAGGTGACAAATTAGTTCACACTGTCCATTTTCCAGATTTGTATATGTCCTAGAGCGTGCAGTTTTGGTGGAATTTGCCCGTAATGTTCCTTTTTGTATGGAGTCTCAAATTGACACCAATGTTTATTCAATTCAGTTTCTGTGGCTTGCCCAACACGTTTGTATACTTGTTCATTTACGTTCTCATGTTTACTTTAATTTAGGAAAGCTTCACTTACACCGAGTTTTTGTCTTTCTAAGTTTTTCTCTTGCAAAAGCTGCTCCAGATCACCACACCTCTTTTTATACTGAAGGACCTACACAGACAACAAAAAGGAATAATCTATCATAATAGTTTGATTATAAACATGATTAAAATCGCTTAAAACACTTATTAAACGTATACCTTTGCTTGAAGTTTCTGCACTAGCTGCGCCTGTCTCTGCTGCCCCTCCTGGTAGGCAGTGAGTTTGCGTTTGTATGAAGCTTGTTCCTCATCCAGTCGTCTGCGCAGATCGACATTCTGCTGAACCAGGCTTCGGGACTCTGATGTCGGATCTCCATCACAGGGATCCAACCTCAAGGTCTGTTCAAGCTGTGGGGAGAGAGTAACGTTTACGGGCAAGAAAGCATTTATTTGAGTTTGCAACAATTTAATTATTCATTTATATCATTGGACAATAAACACAATTGTGATTGGTTACATGACATGAGTTGCTTGCTTAACAATGGTTGTGTCTTTGGAAACGTAAAAGCACTAGTACAGCGCAAACCGCCGCATGGCATGTATTCTGATCCGGACAGTGATCCAGATCACCTCAAAATCATATTTTTGTTCCATATGCGAGATTTCCTGAACATTTAGTAAAATTTGCTTTATGAGTTGTGCTGATAAGTATACCCCAGATATGGCACATGCTATTATAAATACCACCACTAAAGTTGCATACAAACTTAATACACTGCTCAGAAAATAAAGGAAACACTCAAAAACAGCACCTCCTGAAACTCAATGAATCAGATTATTTGGTTGAAATTATTTATTGATTGAATTAATTGAACGTATTGAGAACAGAATAAAAGAAGGCTTAATGGGAATCAATGTCATACCAACAGTAAAACAGTCTCTTCCCTTGGTATAGCTTTGATCAGTAAGATTTGCCGGAGGAGAATAGTTAAGCCATTGACAAGGGGCCTTAAAAGACTGGAATTAATTTTGACCAATCAGGAAGTGGCACAGGTGAGCATGGGTTTGTCTAACATCTAAGTGCTAGTCTTCAAAAAGTTTCAGTCTCGCTCATAGACTGTAAATATATCACTTCACAATTTGATAAGTAATTGACATTCACTTTAATCCATCGTCCCAACATTTCTCCTGCGTCTCACACTAAACATTATCCACAGATGGTTCTGAAACCAATGGATAGTGTCAGAAACCAAATGTTCATGAGTTAACCCTTGTATTATGTTGAAAAAAAATGACATTGATTATGTTGCGGGTCATTTTGACCCGTACTGTGTAATTGCACTCAAAACAGTCAAGAAAACAGGTTAAACCAATAACAACTTCATTTTAGGTTATATAAATATTTAGAAAAGTGACATACAATACATTTTTAATTCCAACGCTATATTTAAGAAAGATTTAGTCTAATCCTCTTGTCCTCCTCTCGGGTCCAAATGACAATTCTTCCCTCCTTCTTTCCTCCTGCCAGGCTTTCTCCTTCCGTCTTCTCATCCTGTTTTCCTTCTCTCTGTTCATCCTCCTCTATTCCCTTCTTTTCTCTTTCTTCCTTCCTTCCTTTCTCCCTTCTTTCCTTCCTACCTTCCGTCCGTCCTCCCTTCCTCCTTCCTCGACCAAAGATTCGTCCTCTGAATCCTCCTTATCGTAGGAAAATTGACAATCTGGATCAGCAATAACACTGTCCTCTGTCTCTGAAAAATTCTCTGTTTCTGAAATCTCTTCCTCTACATCATTATCCCAGTTAAAAATCTGTGATAAAGCCTCCTCAGATGTCATCCTTCTGGAGCTCCTTTTTGGTGAGTTTGTCTAAAGCCTAGCGTACATGGACAGAGTAACTGGAGACAACTAGTTGCAAGGCGGCTTTTGGCGACTGAGAGGAGATGATGGAGATGATCAGTTGCCAAAATCGGTCGATGTGAGCGCTCTTACAACTGGAGATAAACAGTCGATCTCCGGATTCAGTCAGTTTCCCGTGTTCTACTTTTCGGCAACTATTTGTCCTCAGATCCGGAGATATCACCCGATGTGTGCGCTCCGACAACATGTGTGTATTGCGTGTATTGCGCGCCCTCTACAGTTCATGTCAGAAAACACACTGTAGTTGAGGCCAGTTGCTGTTGATGTACGCGCTGTTATTCCCGAGACTGGCCTGCTACTAGGAGTTGCCCGTTTTCGCCAGATTGTCGATGTGTACGGGGCAGCAACTCATAGGCGACGGATAAAATCAGTTGCCAGTACGATGTACGCTAGGCAAAAGAGATGACATGAGAACAGTGACAAGGACAAGTGTGAGAAAGTTCCCTCTCTTCACACACCTGGCTCTGGGTCTCATAGGCAATCAAAATACAATGTCAAAGAGACAGGTTTTTTTGGATCTTAACAACTATTTACCCACATTAAAGCGTCTGGGTCAAAATGACCCGCAACATCATCTTTGTATACAAACTCTGCACAGACATTCCACTACACATCAAAGTGTCCAGATTTTACACACCAGTTCATGACCCTAGATGAGGAAAAGTCACCAAATTTCAGCAAGAAAAAGAAAGGATAACTAGTACTTTGAAAAAAAAACTGAAATGGGTCAAATTGACCCTTAACATAATACAAGGGTTAACACTGAAGCTGATTCTGTGATGTGTGTGTGTGTTTGGTGAGCCCCCCTTTGAAGCCCCTGTTTACAATCACCATGGGAGACAGATGCTATGACAACCGTCCACTTCAGTTCCATTCCACTTCATATCACCGTGGAAACCAACAAATCTCAGACAAAGACTCAGCACAAAAAGAGTAGTAAACGATACTGTGTTTAAAGCATTTTCACAGTGAGAGGCATTGAAATAACACATGAAAGGTTTTACATGCCACAATTTTTAAAAATCCTCACCCTCTCACTGATGGCACTGTACTTGATGGCGAGTTCATCCCGGTCTGCTCTGCTGTGAGCCAGAAGATCCTCCAGTTTGGACAGTTCTCCCTGAAGCACATGGTTCTCCTCCTGCAGGGATATGACTGACGACATGGGCCCTGCTGCTGTGAGGGAATAAAATAATTAGATATAAAGTTGAAGTTGAAATTAATGTGTTGTGTGTTTGACATTTTGGTAAATAGTTCACAAACAGTTATCGATGAGGTTCTTGGTAACAATTTCTCGGACTCTCGCCGGTAGACCTGTTGGAGGGGCATCTGGTGAAGGGCCCCTTACAGTCAGCTTCTCCTCAGACAAAACACTTTCTTCCAGTTTCTGCATACAAAAAAGTGTTATAACCTAGAATGCAACTGATTCTACACATTACTTTAGATAATGTGGGTATGCCATTGTCTGATGGCATTCAAACAGAAAAACCAATTCCATGTTATAAACCCCTCACTTCTACTGAATACCACACAACAATGGCAGTCACATCACAGTGAAAAGTATTACGCACACAATACACAAAGACATCTGTGATGCAAAAGGCACAGATAACAAACAGATCCAGGTCAGCTCACCTGAATGACACACTCCAATTTGTTAGAGTCGGTGTCTGGAGTAGCCAAGTTTTCCATGGTACTCTTTGCAACGCCAACAGACAGACAAATCCCCCAGAGAAGGATTAAGTCCAAGTAAGACCAGTTATTCAAAAGTTTACAAACAGTGTTGCTTATTCAATGTAAATGATATATAATTTCAGTTCCCATTGCTTTGAATGCAGCTGGTGCCTCAATACGTAAAGAGAAAGGGGCGCGTGTCTTCCAGTTGCCTCCTCGTCCAGAAAGACACAGATTAGGACAGCAGCAGGATTAGCAGGTTTTAAGACGCACAGCCTTCTCCAGTTCGCTCCCTAACACACTCTCACTAGCTGTGTAGAAGTGGCACACACGGCTCATGGGACGAGGGAGTGGGGGGGTGTCTAGATCAGTGCTTCCCAAACTGTGGGACAAGCACCACTGGTTGTGGTGATCTTTCTGGTAGATTAATATTTGGTGGCACTAAAAATAATTACTTTAGATTAATTTCAAATGTATAAATGCATATTAAGTACAATCTAAGAACATTCAAATTCATAGTTCAAATAAACAATATTTAATCTAATTGCAAAATCAGTGTTAATGCAGTGTTGGCGCTGAAGGGAAACAGCTCCATGTGAAACAAGTTGTGCACTCATTGCACCACAGTTTCAAGGTTTCAAGTCATTTGATTATTTCAATAAATCAATAATCTTATAAGGTCATACTGTGGCAACATATTATTCATATATTTTATTGGAACTGAAGTTAACTTTGAGAATCAATGAACATGAATCGCTGTATTTATTTTGTTTGACATCCTTTATTATAAAATGTAAATGTTATGTTATAACTATAGTCTATTATAGCCATGGAATGCAACATTGATTTAAAAGGGTAGGCAACTAGGCAAACACAAACACACAAAAGCTAATTGCAAGTGGTGTTTCAGTAGTACCATAGATACTGAGTCAACAGCAGTGAGCAGAAGTAGGACGAAACCAAAGGCATTTTAGTGCGGAAACTTCTCACACTTGTTCTCTATACAGTAACACAACAGAACTCTATATTCATACGTTTCTATCTATGCCGGCCACGGTGTTGATAACAGCATCCATACCAGGTTAAGCATCTTATCTGTGAGTTTTATCCATGTTATAATGACGTACCCAACATTTCACTGTGCGTCAGGGAGTGGAGGCGTTGGAAGAGGATGGAGAAGTCCAGGCTTGTGCTAGCATAGCATCATTCACAGCAAAGATAGACACATGTGTTCTTAAATGTCTTAAATGTGCACACACGTCTTTACTTAAACCTCATTTTTATCGTGGTACATTACCATCCTAATTTCCCAAAAAGACGCCGAGATTTTTAACCTATGAACGTATAAACAAACGAGACAAACGCAGAGTAATGACTTCCTCTCGTTTTCCAAACTCACCCCAAGTTACGGCGACGTGGAACGCGTGTCCCTCTTGTATCAATCACAGCAGGTTTGTATATTTCAATGACTGGGGCAAAGTTGAGATATCAACATTATAGTTCTGTATGAACAGACTGAGATCCCCATGTTGTTGTTTTTCCGGGGAGGGACTTCAGATTGAAACACTGCAGCTCCAGTTCTCAGAGGATCTGCGATGGACACGCTGTTTGAGTATTCACTACTGAGGCCAACATTTAACTTACAAGATGCAAGAGTGATAAAGACTGAATACTATAGATACAAAAATAAAACATTTACCGCTAACAATAGTGTTTGTCGAATGATATCCAACAAGGTGAAGGAAAAACGCGGGTGTTGTTGGAGCACCGTATGACAGTGCAATAAGTGAATACCTAATAATACCTTATTCGTGTGAAGAACACAGAAAAAGAGCTGAGGCACTCTTTATATTAAATAAAAATACGTATTATATTCCTAAAGGGACATGGCGACGCGTTTGGACCCCTCTCCAGTCTTCATAAGGGTCATACAGTAATCAGGGACCACCAGCTATTTTGTCATTTTGAATATCTTATTCATCTTGATACAGAAAATGTGTGCGATGCAATACAATAGAGGGATCAAACTCCTCTGGCAATAGTTAAGTGTATATGAGTAAAACACAAGGCAATACACAGGAAACAACTGTTTAATGAAAGTTTATTTACAAGAAAAACATGTTTAATTTACTTAAGAGCTATCTTAAAAGGCACTTGATTGATTGTTCAACAACATTTGGGAAAAGTAAAAGTTGATGTAGACAAGGTTGTATGTAAGTATCTCTACAGAATACTTAATTTGATAATCTTCATGAGTTTCAGAAACTTAGTTTTAGATATAATTGGAAAATGGATTGAAAATTAGTTATAAAATAAGACAAATAACTAAAATAATTACTTGATGAAAGACACAAAGATGAGAATGAAACTAGACAGGGATGCCCTTCACTCATTTAAAAGTGGATAGGTCATGCTATGAATTGACCACCCCAGTACAGAACAACATTTGCTTAGCACTGTGCTCAGTGTGTTTTGATACTAGTCCAGTTACTTCAGTCACCCTGTCCTAGGAATGTGCGGAACTCAAGAGTGTGCATGTATTTGTGCTCAGCTAAACTGCACCCATTCTGTTTTAGCAGAGTCTTTATTGGAGCTGAGGAGAAGGGGATGACATTGATGGAGTTAGAAATAAAACAAACAATACTGATGACTGATGAGTAGATGTGATGACAGAAAGATATGTCTTACTTGGAGCCTGCTGATGTGAAATCTCCCCATACGTCTGAACTGGGTTGAGGTGCACTGGAGACAGGAGAACCAAGGTCTAGAACAGAGGCTGAGGAGAACCCACCAAGGTGATGTCACAATACAATTTCCTTTGGCATCACCCCCCAAACCCCAAACAATATAGACTTCAATAACCAGTAAATTTATATGATGAGCAATGGTTTGTACAATAAGGATGCAGGTTAAGGCTAAGGTAGAATGTATAGTCCCCGGAACTAGGAAAACTGCATTTGACCCTGAGCATGTGACGTCAGCTGTAAAGTGTGCCATTACCCATGTTTGTCTGGACAATTGGAGCTGTCTGCACAAGAGGCGGGATGATTCCTCCTCCAACTTTTGCACCAGGTGGAGGTGGCAAGAGGCCTCCACCCGCCGGCCTTAGTTTGGCAGCACCGGCCTCCTTTTTCTTTATGTTCTGTCAAGAAGAGACCTAATGAGTACCTATGCATTAAAATTCTATATGCATCGAAATTACTTCATGCTCACCCCAATGCTGATTTTTATCGTCTGGCCTTCTTTAAAACCAAGATCAAGCTTTGGTGCATTGATCTGGGATGCTTCTAGTTTTGCAAGTTCACCTTCTTGTTTCACCCATCTTTTACAACACACAAGAATCAAGTAGTGCTAAAAGAAATGGCATTATTCAACAAGAAACAATATGAATCTATAACCATTTTCACACTGCAGACCGATTTTCAAATGCTGAGTAGTCCAGAGTTTAATACCCCAGTGTGAATGAGAGTCAGGACTTTGGTTTACTTTCTTAACAATAAGGTCAAGGTTGAACATGGAGAACATGGTTATGGGCTCACACAGCGCCGCAAATGGCGAAGTGGCACGCTCTTTGTTACTTACGTGGCAATAAAAATTATTCTGATGGGTGGGGATTAACACGTGATTAAATTAATTACTGCATTATTTGGCTGCTGTGTTTAAACTGAACACGCCTCGGAAAAAATATAAGATCGAAAGATAAGTGGAAAGCAGTTGATATGAGACGTAAATAAAAAGGCAGTTTTCATTGGTCGAAAAGCCTGGGTTTTTGGTTGGTGTGAAAACCCCTAATTTCTACAAGAAAGAAATTACTTAAAATGGTCTTGTAAGGCAACGTTGAAGTCAAATGAATCTCCTCGATCAGCGAAACCCAATCCAATAAAAGCATGACGGCCTGAAACATAAACAAAACAAAAAATCCAATTGGTTCACTTCCTTTGGCTTGCATTTGAAAGTGTGCTTAGTACACAATCTCACCATTTCCGTCATCTATCCTGACCACAAAATATCGGCTTGAATCAGTCACAGCTTCAACAGCAACATCTGGATACTGCTCAACTGGTGCTAAGGCAAACAGCTCTCCTATTTTCAAAATACATAGACCAAAGGCAAAGTTAACAATGAACATTAAACAGTTGAAGGATATAGCTACAAGCTAAAAAAAAAAATACTAGCGGCAATAAATAACTGGCTGGTGTGGATACTGGTTCTATTGCTGCATTCATGTGATCTTCAAAACTCTTCAGACATATGTAATCATCCAATTTCTATAAATCATGGTGTTCATGAGGCTGTCAAAACATCCATCCATCCATTTTCTACCCTTTAATCCATTTCTGGGTCAGGGGGGTGGCAATCAGAGATGCCACCCAAGTCTCATAGCACCAGCCCCTCACTGACCCTCTGCAGGTGGTGAGTCCACAGGAGGACGGCTGCTCTCTGACTGTGAGCATAGCCTTGATCTTTCAGTGGGGGCTTTGGGCAAAGTGGGGTTAAGTGTCTTGCCCAAGGACACAACGACAGCAGTCATCAGTGGGAGTTGGTGGAGAAGGTGTAGAGGTGAGGCTGTCAAAACATCTGTAGCATATATTTTCTCCTTTATAATTCATGAGGAACAGAATATTTCACAAGAGCAAAAATGCTGTATCTTTTAATATGTGCCAAGTTAAAGTAAGTTCATATTAATTTCTTGGTAAAATCATCTGAGCAATATAAAAATCTACATTATTTTCCCTATTCTTTCCACCAATTTACAATCAGACAGCCATCACATCGACAAACTCAAACTTAAAACCAAACACTTTAGCAAGAAGTTCAGAGTTACATTTCCAAAGCCATACAGCTTTTCAAACTTGATTTCTAATTGTTTGGATCTTCAGTTTCCAAGAGAAATTTAACAGAATAACTTGTACCTGTGTTTTTGTCCTCCAGTTTGATAATAGCCATTTTGCCTTTGGCTGTTATTTTCATCCTGCCACTCCATGCAGGTTCATCTAGTTTCCAGTCTGCAGCCCTGAAGAAAAAAACAGTATTACACATTACTACCATGAGGTGAAGTATTAAATGTGGTTCACAAAACCTAATAACATAAGAAAGTTAATTCATAAACAGAAACATTAATCCAAAAATAAACAATATTGAAAGCTTCGTTTTTGGAGCTGTTTGAAGCTATTTAAATAATAATGTTTATTTAAACATTATTTAAACGGGACGCTGTTTAAATAATGTTTATTTAAACAGCGTCCCCTCTTTTCTTTAATTATTCTTAGCTATGGATCCTGTGCTTGCATGTGAGTCCTTAATAAAGTATAAATAAAAAAAAAATAAATTAGGCGATTCATTTCTCACAAAGATAAATAACATACGACACCTGGGCCCCAGCACAGCAGTTTGTCTTTTGATCACGACACCATCAAATACAAATGTAAAAATGTTCCGTCCTATATTTTTACGGAAAGTAATAATAAGCCAACCCAGTTGTAAAATTGGACAGAATGTGGTGGCAATATTTGTTACAAACTTGTTGCAGTTGTTTATTACGAGGCCGCCTGTAGCTAGCTGACAGCGACACTGACATCGCAACACTTGTGTATTTTCTGCTGGTTGTCTAAGTATCTTACCGATATCCGCGATTAGAAGCCCTTGGTGGGATGCGATAAACATGGACCTCGGGTTTTACGCATAAAATAGACTCATAACTGCTGTCTTCTGCCATTTCATTAAGTTTTACCAACTAACATTAACTCCAGACTGTCGTTACCTCCCGGAGTTGAAGACTGGCTCTGGCTGATTTAAACAGCGTCCCCTACTGGTGAGGAAGAATCAGACATAACAGGTTATCAATTCACCAAATTGTGTCCACTGTAAATAAAGCATTTTCACACAATTTTAGTGGGCATATTTATTAAAGGGCAGTTCAACGAAGATCAACACAACAATGTGATGTTATCAAAGAATGTTGAGGTGTTCAATATCGCAGGATATGCAGATGCCATAGCCAATTTTGGGAACCTACACATAATAGTATGTTTAAACTACAATTGACAGAGTGTTTTTGAATGTATTTATTCATAAGGCATTTAAAGGTGTGCACAAAATGTGTTTTTCCACAAATGTTTAAAAACAGCTTTGAAGACATTTGCCTTTCCCATTACAAGCAAGTGTTCTATCAATGACTCAGGCCTAAAGGGATCATATCGTCCATCGATATACTGCATTTAAAAAAGAAATACAAGGATCATGGCATAACCAGTCTTCTTAAAATGTATTCTTGCAATAAAAAGCTAAACAAGTAACATTACATGTGTGCATTATTGCTTGTTATGGAAGCCAGGACTTACGCACAGCGTATCCTACTATTTATTATATTGGGCTATTACCCATGTCTCACAAAACCAAGGCAGTTTTCTCCTTTTGGAGTTTAGATCAGGGGCCCTACAGCCATGGAGTAGCCATGTGAGGTCCAACATCAGCGACATAAGGTTCCTTTTTATGTCTCCACAATGCTGACACTAAACTAAATAAATGATAATCAACTAGACAAAAGGACATGGACTGCTTTGGTCATGTGCATGCCATTCATCTTTGAGTCTTGAGGGAAATCATTCTTTTCTCTTCGGTCTTTGAAAGCACCGTGCACCGTTCTGGTCCTGTGGCACCTCCTAGTTTATTCAACTATCACAGTGTGAAGAGGTCACAGTGGCGAACGAAGGGTCCAATCAGTCAGTGGATCCATCTCTCCACAGAGAATAGGGCCTATAGCCAGTAAGAGGTGTGAACACACAGACTTTGCGTTTGTCCATTCTGCAATAACCACACCTCTTATCCATATTCAGATAACAGAAACGGTCAATTCCTTTTACAGCGTTCCTTTATCGGCAAATTCGAAACCCTGTAGTACCATCTGGACCAGTGGGCTGTCGAATTATGTGATTGTTTGGTTGAGCGGGGTCTGATTGCTGCTGCACAGTCAAACGAGCTGGCCTAGAAGGGCAGATTATATTTTACTTGATGAGAATAGTTAAACTGAAAGTGACTGACACTACCATTTTACCTGTCTTGGCATGAAGAGTCCTGAGGCGATTCTTCTGATGAAGCGCTGCCTAAAATCCTCCTTCGAGCTTCAGCATACTCTGCCTCACGTTGGGCCAAAGTTTTTGTCTGCTGTGGACGTGAAGAGGAAGCAGAGTTGTTGGCTGTGCCATTATTAGTAGGACGCTTCAAAATCCTAATTTGTGGTGGAGGTGCAGTAGGGAGAGATTCATCTTGAATCACAATGGCAGTTCGCATTGGAGAGCATCTTGAAGTAGCCTTCCTGCAAGAATTAAAATAAGATAATAAAATATACAAAATGAATAAAGAAGGCTGAAGAAATAGTTCAACTTGTTTCACACAAACTGAAACGTCCTTACTTTGTTTCCTGATTTATTTTTAGCTTCGCGTCAAATCGTCGTTCAATCTCCTGTAAGTGAATACAAATCACCAAAAGATCAGTATGTATCATTAATCTCTTCAACATAGACTATGGGACTCACATCCAAGTTATATAGCTAGCTAGTCGTTAGCATGTAGCGTTAGCAGTTAGCACATTTTGCTCTGTTTGCATTGTATGCCTGTATTCAGACTACGTGATACAAACCCAAACCAAAATAACGTCAAGCTTTAAAAAATTAACTACAGAATGTACAGATTTACCCCGCTGTCCGCTGCATCTTCCCAGCTGTCTGCAACATCTTCATCGTCCTCCATGTTTTGAACAGGTTCGTGAGCGTCTTTAGCAACGTTACCTTCAGAGATAGGCGACTAACGTCAATCACGTTAGGTGGAATATGGTTTATTTATCGTCTTCGTTAATCAAACATTGCACGAATTTGTTTCTTTAAAACTAAATACCTTGTTTGAGCCTGTCAGATAAATCTTCGACGTGTTCACCACTGTTGCTTTAAAAAGGACGTCACGTGACTTATGGCACATATTTACAGCCATGGGCACAGCCAAAAGAAAGTTGTTTTGGTTTTTGGCCTCTCTTTTAAATTTATACTCAGAACAGGTAAGATAATTTATACGCTAAGTAGCTGACGTGTTAATTCAACTCTTAAAACCTCAGTACATAATTTTGAAGCAAATAAGCGTGTTATTTTTTTCCTCCCATTTGAGTCTTTTTTATTCCACTCATACGGAAAGTATTGTTTTTTGGTGTGAATTTTATTGTTTTGTGTGGATATTATTACTATGCATTTGTTTTAGTTCAAAGTGATCAACAGTAGTCTCTGGTGCTGGCCCCGCCCTGAGGAGCGGTGGCGGAGCTCACTGCTTCACGAAGCGAAAGATGGCGACTGTGTGGAGGCTGCTGCAGAGCCTCTGGAGCTGATATCGGAGACAAGAGGGCAGACACTGAGAATATTCTACGAATACATTCAAGATAAGGTACGAAAAATGACACTCGATCTCTGGAGTATGATGTATTGTGTCAGATACAGAGGACGCTTTTGGCTCTAGAAAAGCCACAACAGTCTCTGCTCAACGATAGCTCAGATTATCAGCAATGGACAAGGATGCACATCTTTCATCTTTGTGGCTCAAAAAGCAGGCGAACTATTAACCAAGGACATTTTAACTGCTCCATTGTTCAAAATGTGTTCATGTGAATGTGTTGATTAAGTGTTGCTAAACCTCAAATGTTATTTGTGTTTTGAGTTTTAGCCAAAGGATTCCTAGTGTTAGCTAGCGTTAGCTGTCGTGCTCGTGAGCTATGAGCCTGCTTAAAACTATTATAGAGTCAATTTTTAGTCGAGAAGCCGTTTAGAACTATGATATCAATATTTATTCCGAATTAAGGTTGCTTATCACAAAATTACAGATTCTGTCATTATAATGCATTAGCCTAACGACTTCTATTGTAAGGTTGTGATGATACGACATGGCATCTTCTACCCGATAATCAAAGAGAAAATACTACAATTAAAAGTAATAATAATCATCATAAAATATCTGCACTTATTGTTGTTTTGTTTAATCAGGTGATTGAATTTTTTTCAGTCTCCATTTTTTACTTGTTCTGTAACATTGGCATAATGTATAATACAAGGCAAGTGTATTCAGTATAATTAGCAGTAATGGTCGAATAATATATGGGTGTGTGCTTCTCTGTACATGTACACTAACAATGCTTGCATATTGCCCCTGTATTTGCAGATCATAATGTCCCGTTCTCCTGACAATGAGGATGGATGCTTTGTTGCCATGGATACTGAGGACTGTGGTTATTTGCCTGCTGGGATAACAGAGGTGGAGACAGACACAGGGTCATACAGAAAAGTGGAGAACATGGACACTTTTTCTAAAGAAGGCCGGAGGACAATGTTAGAGTTGCCAGAGGAAGTTCTGGAGTATATTTTGTCCTTCTTATCACCTTATCAAGAGCAAAAGACTGCTGCGCTTGTGTGCAAACAGTGGTACCGCCTCATTAAAGGTAAACCTAAAAGAGCATTAATGCATAGTTATAATCGAACATGTATTTTAGCTTTACACAGCATTGTCACTGTGGTTACAAGCATGTGAACATTTTTTCATCAAATTGTTAATGTAGGTGTTTATCATTATTGTTATTAGGCCGGAGGACAATAACAGGTCTAGTTATTAGGTCTAGTCTTCAATTAAATTTGTCCCTAATTTTAGTTTACTCTTTCAAATGTAGGTGTAGCTTATCAGTGCTACCATGGTTTTCTGAGGGCAGTTCAGGAAGGAAATATCCAATGGGAAAGCAGAACATACCCTTACCCAGGAACTCCAATCACTCAACGCTTTTCACACAGTAAGTGCCAAAAATATTAAGTTAAGAATGTCAAATTGATTTCCTTCAATGAGTTTAAGAGTTAAGTTCATTTGAAAAACATTTTGAAATGAAATTTTCAATAAGGATGTTTATTTTTGCTACAGGTGCTTGCTACTATGATTCAAATCAGTCGATGTATGTATTTGGAGGCTGCACTCAGAGTAGCTGTAATGCTGCCTTTAACGACTTGTGGAGACTTGACCTGAACAGCAAAGAGTGGATCCGTCCTTTAGCTTCAGGTTGTATATTACAAGTACTAAAGATTGCTTTTGTTGTCCAATTCCCTTGCTAAATAATTACGTATTACAGGGTCATATCCTTCTCCTAAAGCCGGAGCCACTTTAGTAATGCACAAAGATCTGCTGGTCCTGTTTGGTGGATGGACACGACCCAGTCCATACCCACTCCATCAGCCAGAGCGCTTTTTTGATGAAATCCACACCTATTCCCCTTCTAAGAACTGGTGAGTAACTTTGATCAAAACCACACTTTTTAGTTAAATGAGGTTTAATAATGTGCTCTATCTTCGCATCAGGTGGAACTGTATAGTAACAACGCATGGACCACCACCTATGGCCGGCCACTCTTCATCTGTAATTGGAAACACAATGGTGGTGTTTGGAGGATCTTTAGGAGCTAGGCAAATGTAAAATAGGAAGGTTTTGCCCACCACATCTTGGAGACGCATAATAATGTTTTTATATTATTTTCTCTTTCGTTACCCTAGGAGTAATGAAGTTTGGGTTTTGGATCTAGAGCAGTGGTCTTGGTCTAAGCCATCCATTTCTGGATCATTGCCACACCCGCGAGGAGGCCAGTCCCAAGTAAATAGCAATTTCATATTAATTTATAAATAATCTTATCTTATAAACGAGATTTGAACAGTTTTTAAACTTTTTAGATTGTGATCGATGATCAGACATTGCTCATTTTGGGAGGCTGTGGTGGTCCAAACGCAGTAAGTTTTTACTACCCACATTTTATTAAATGTTTTGTGAGTGACAAAACTCAACTTTATTTAGAAAGCACCTTTACAATCAGGTACACTACTCTCAAGGTGCTATACAATTGCCCAAGGTGCAGGCAATAAACAAAGCATTTAAATGTACAACATGTTGCATGTTGTAGCATCAGCCCCTCAACATGCGGCTGGTGCTCTGTGGACTGGGTGCAGCTCTGACTGCCACCCCCCGACCCAGAAATGGAGTAAGGGGAAGAAAATGTGTGGATGGATGGACGGACATTCATACAAATCTAGAAAGTTCATAAAAATGTCCTACTTCTTGAGTTAAAAGCCAATGGAAAAAGATGAGTCTTTAATAGTGATTTGAAACTATGCACAAAGATAGATAGTTCCACAGTTTAGAAGCAGCCACAGGAATCGTTCTGTCCTCTTTGGTTCTTATGCGACATCTTTTCTTCAGCTTCTGAAAGACGCCTGGCTCCTTCACATGGGTACACCACCATGGAGGTGGCAACAGCTTCAGGTGGAGAATGAAGACCATGGCGCCCCTGAGCTTTGGTGTCATCCAGCTTGTAAAGTATGATTGCCTTTCTCAAGTTACTTTCAGCAAGGGCTATAAGAAAAATACTTATCTTTTGAGAAGCATTGTCATTCTGAATTATGTGGGAGTCCTTTAATCAGTTTGTGGTATGTATTCTGGCTCTTAATAGTGACCTTTGGATCTTTGAAAAAAATTGTATTTGAATAGGGGATTATCAGACGCCGCTTCACTCCAGTGGTCGAAATGAAAAATGACGTTAAATATATAAACAGTCATGCTACAGACAAATTTGCAACTGTAAACAACATGCCACATTGAATTGAATGCACATGGTTGTAAAGAATAATATTAAGTCATACCTTTTTTATTTATTGTATACTTTTGTATAAATAGAACAGCTTTGTTCACAAAGGAGCGCTAGGCAAAGTATAACAAATATATTGAAATCAGAACATTTTGACAGAAGACGTGTGGGGTAATGTGTTTAAGCCTGAAGTTCTTGATATTGGTGAAGCTACAGTGTTAATATGATTAAATGGTTCTACTCACAACTAGTCTGAGAATTGCTAAGGATATTTTAAAATCCTGTAGCCAGTTTGAACCCTTGTCTTTTTTGTCTCAAGGTGGGCCAGTGTGTGGTGGTTTTCTCACAGGCTCCATCAGGTCGTGCACCTCTCAGTCCAAGTCTTAACTCTCGGCCGTCCCCCATAAGTGCCACACCTGCCCCGCTGGGTCCTGAGCCTCCCTCACTGCGCTCTCAGTCTCCTGTCCGTAGTGGGGCAGCTGGGGTGGTCCTCGGTGCTGTAGAAGAAGCTCCCTGCGTGAATGGGCGGTGGGGCACACTGCGACCTCGGCCTTCAGCCAGAGGAAGTGCCAAAGATGGAAGTCCGTCCTCATCTCAACAGGCATCGCCTTTACAGCCTCCAGACAGTCCTCCACTCCCCCCTCTCTTGAATGGAGCCTCTCCACCTCCTCGCAGCAGCCCAGCCCAGGCTTCATCCCCTCCCCTTCGACTTCACCCACCTGCCCCCACAGACTATGAATGGGAGTCTCCCCTTTCAGCAGCTCATCACCCTGAGGTGGCCACAAGCAATGGTCTGCACACCCCTCCCTCAGGCTCCCCCCGCACACCTCCAGGTGCTGTGTCCCCAGCTGCACTCCGACGAGGGTTGGAGGCAGTCAAAAACAAGTCTTCGGTGTTATCTTCGTCTTCTGCGGCTCCTTCATCCTCTCCGTCTTCACTCCAGAATCATGGGGCGATTCCAGGAAGCAGTGGAGGAGCTGGTCCACCAGGAACTCCTCCTTCATCCCATAGCCCTCCACAGGCAGCTGCAGCCGATGGACACGCTATTCCACCTATTGCACGGCGGCTCGGGCACCACCCGCCTCAGAGCCTAAATGTAGGCAAACCTCTTTATCAGTCACTTAACTGCAAGCCCATGCAGATGTATGTGTTAGATGTTTCCAGGGCCAAATCTGCTGGAGTGGTTTCCTGGAGAGTTTATGGAAATGGGACTCCTGCTGCTGTGACAGGACCTCCAGAGACCAGTTTGCACACTGTGGTACAGGGCAGAGGAGAGCTCATTATCTTTGGGGGTCTAATGGACAAAAAGCAGAATGTTAAGTACTACCCAAAAACTAATGCCTTGTACTTTGTGCGTGCTAAAAGGTAAGGCAGTTAAAAATGGAAGACTGACATGCCATCTAGTGACAAAACAAGGGAACTGACACCTAAGGCCTTTTTCAGAGGAATATGGGGAAACGAGTAGTCGACAAGCACCATAATATTGTTAGCTGTATTATTAATTATACAATTTTCCATTTGCCTATGACAAACACAAATTCAAAGTTTGTCTGAATGAGAGAACCTTATGACTGGAGCTTTAGATGTTGCAGAAAATGTTTTGTTTCAAACGATAATTAAACATACTGTAACATGCATTGTTTTTGTTGGCTTTGAAAAGATTAATCTTGGCGTTGTTGTTGGCATACACCTCTTTTCCGTTTCTGTATCACTCTTTCAGCCTGCAAAGTTTACATTTTCAAGTGTGAGTGTGCACAGTAAGGTTTTTGACTTATGTTAGGAGGCAATGAGTGGTGGCACTGTACTATATCAACATAGTTAAACAATAAAAGGCCTCCATGTCTGCTCTTACGTTATTCTCAAGTTATTTGGTTGAAGTGTTTCTAGGATACTACATAATACATTTCAAGTGTTTTACTTAAAAGATGAATTCTCAACTTTTGAGTTAATTCTCACAAAAGCAAGCATAATACTGATATGAAATCCTTTAAGGATTGACCATACTTAATAAAACATCAGGTGTGGCAAAATAAACTTAAACTTTAAAACAAAATATACTGATGAACAGGAACACCAAAAGAAAATAACTGGTGGATGACAGAATATGCACTACTCACAAAAAACTAGGGATATTTGGGTGAAATAAATGGGATATAGGGGCTGGTGCTATGAGACTTGGGTGGCATCTCTGACTGCCACCCCCCTGACCCAGAAATGGATTAAAGGGTAGAAAATGGATGGATGGATGGATATGGGATATGGTTAAATGTGCTGGAGATTTCATGATTTCAAATGTTGTATTGCGTTTAAATATGCCTCAATGGAATTGAGACCTCTCTATAAACATTGACTTTGTTAAGACCAAATTCCATCCTCCTGAGTTTGTTTTCACTCTTTAACTTTCCAGATGTTATATTTCAATAATCCCTCATACTGATCCTTCTTGATGATGCCCCACAGCGTGACTGCCAGATTCATCTGATGATTCCAAAAATAAAGTTTCCTGTGAGTTTGTCTACTTTGTCATCTTCACAGTTCTTTTACTTTTGTCCTGTGGTTGGTTTACACATTTTGGGTTAAAATATGCTCATCTCTGGCACACACCACCCACATCCCTGAGCAGTATCACAGCTGGACATTTATATGATTTTTATATATTAGATAATCTATTCTTTTGTTTTCAATGTAAGATAAAAGTACACAAACACAATAATAGTATAACCCCCAAGCTAAAGCCAGCCCCAAACCAAATGTCGTAAAATCAACTAAATCACACACAGGTCAATTAAGAAGATGTACAAATACAAAATGCAGTGCAAAGATGCAAGAAAACAAAGTTGTCAATAATTCTAGAGAAATGTAAGCGACAAGACCGATGAATAAGCATAGAGCAATTGGTACAAATGATACTTGTACCCACGTACACACAGTATGCACACCTATCATAAATATAAACATACAGTGCATGTATACATAAAGAAAAATGAAGATGTAGTTACAAATATTCACATGCTCATACAGATTTACAGCAATAATATTTATCATCACCTGGCATTGCTGTTATTCTCCACACCACTACCACCAATAAAAACATTATGATATTGAAATTTAGTTTTTCTTCTTTGATGAAATGTTTCCGCATTAATGCAGATCTCCAAATTTACATTCCCTTTCATTTCACAAAACCATTTGAGTTTTTCTCTTCTTGCTCAAATCCTAATTAAAAGAGCATCCTCCAATGTGTGGCTATCACAACACATGTTTTCAAAAGATACACATTTTTACCCTATGTAAAGGTAAAGGTGCACTTTATTAATCCCCGTAGGGCAATTCATCCTCATTTGACCCATCCTGGTGCTGCTTGGGCTTACATCAGGAGCATGTTGATGCTTGCCTTGGTCAGGACTACCGGAGCTGGATAATTCTTACCTAGTGTGCATGTTTTTAGTGGTGGGGAAACTGGAGCACCCGGAGGAAACCTATACAGTCACGAGGAGAACATGCAAATTCCACAAACTCCCTGTTCTGAGCTGGATTCGAACCTTCTTGCTGAGATCAGACCAGATCTTTGAAATATTTGAAGGAGTTGTATAATGTGAGTTTAAGAATACCTCAAAGAAAACGTCTTTCCATGCAGTCAATTTTAACACACGTTTAATGATTAGGACCAGAGAGGCTGCTTTACAGATTTAGATGCACCACCTCTACACCTTCTCCACCGACTCCCACTGATGACTGCTGTCGTTGTGTCCTTGGGCAAGACACTTAACCCCACTTTGCCCAAAAGCCCCCGCTGGAAGATCTCAGCTCCTGTGGACTCACCACCTGCAGAGGATCAGTGAGGGGCTGGTGCCTCTCTGATTCTGATTGCCACCCCCCTGACCCAGAAATGGATTAAAGGGTAGAAAATGGATGGATGGATGGATTTTGATTTTTAGATTTTTTTCTTACACAGATTTAGATCCTTAGCTTTAAAACTTTGATTTAGTTGAAGTTAAAACCTACCCTAAAGTATCTTAATTTGGGTTCTCTTTGAATTAATTTGGTTGGTCTTTAATGTAATATTGTGCCTATATTACATACGTAAGTGTTAGCATTCATTAATATATTTCTCTCTATCAATTTAGTCCTTATCTGCAGTGGAATAACTGTTTCTCTTGTACTCACCTTGTCTTTTTTTCTCATGCTGTATACAATTAGAAAAAAGTTAATGGCCTTTAACCAACCAAGCTTTATTAACCGTTACATACTTGTAATAGCTTGTAAATACCTGCGGGAAGTAGACTAATTTCAATTACGTACTCGTTGCCAACTGTCTCTGGGATGTCTTGCAATACCTGTTCAGTAGTATGTCACTCTTCTCTCAGTTGACGTATTATCCTGACACCTGATTATATTCTTCAACAATGTTCTGTATATGAAATAGTATTTCTCCATTTCTCCATTATAATTATTTTTATTTTCATAATCCCCTTCTTGAATTTGCATTTTGTTTTTATGGAGCCCCTTCGTCAACCAACCATAACCTTTTACCCAGAAAAATTCTACAGGAGCAAAGCAGGGGCCGCTGAGAATGGGGCTTTTTGATTCGCACACATCCAGGCATATGTGAGGTGTCACACTGCACTGCTTCAGCATTGGCTCTGAATGGGACAGTGGGAGGAGACTTTGACAATGAATGTGCTAAGGACACATGTTTACAATGCGAGCAGAGGAATGGATCCGAACCAGTTCACAACATAAAAGTGAGTTAAAGTTTACACTATATGAATATTCCATAGGCCTTGTTCTTGTTTAAATACCAGGGTGTTGCAGAAACATTTTATAATTGCAAATCTCTTGTGACTGAAGCCTTTGTAACAAGTTTGGCGTGTAATGTTTAACCTGATCTCCACCCTCTCATGTCTCGTAAATGCATGACACTTCCTTTGTGTAATAATATGTGATTGATTTGTTTGCTTTACAGGCATGCAAGTTACTAGCGCCTTTTGTACCTGGACCAGGGAAGATTACACACAAAGGAATGACAGCACAAACTTTGAATGACTCCTCCCTACTGTCTGAAAGTCTGGGCATCATTTTATTAGGATGACCAGTGTACAAAGACTCGTGTGAAGAGTCCTGCAGCATGGTGTCAGCAGTTACCCCTCTCCTCCATGATGTTTTTGGTTCACCACTGCCTCCTACTGCCGTCTGGCCTCCCTTGGACTTTGCGCTGGGTGCCCTGGCCTGCTGCGCTGCCTGTGTCTTCACGAATCCCCTAGAGGTGGTTAAGACTAGACTACAGCTTCAGGGAGAGCTCCGGGCCCGTGGGTCCTATCAGAGACACTATAGAGGGGTGCTTCAGGCCCTGTGGGTGGTGGGACAAACGGATGGGGTGAAGGGGCTGCAGAAGGGCCTTTCTGTGGGACTGATCTACCAAGGAGTGATGAATGGAATGAGACTGGGATCATACTCGTACTGCGAAGCTTTGGGAATTACCTCATTTCATGGAGGCAGTCTTCTCTCGGGGGCTATGTGTGGTGCTTTGGGTTCCTTTATTGCATCTCCAGCTTATCTTGTGAGTTCAAAGATGTGTACTAGTGCTTTGTGACAAAATATCAAATTCCTATGTAACACAAAAAAACACAGAGCATTCTTTTTCAGCAATGTTAACGATTTAGTCTGTGCAAATACAAAAGGATTTTTTTTTAATTGAACCATATATGCTCAACTAGTTTATTGAAAATAGTTGTCAGCTTAATAAACATGTTATATAGTTTGTTCAACATTTGATCTTGACATTATTGGAATGACTGCCCATAAACACGTCATAAGGACACAGGGTCAAAACAGTGTCAAATGTCTACATCTATTTTTTCCATATTGAGGTCATGAGGGGGATGTATAACAGGAATTGTTGCTGTCTCAGATTTTGGAATGTCGAAACTGTTCCTTGCTTTCCGCTACAGGTAAAGACCCATCTACAGGCTCAGACCGTAGAAGCCATAGCAGTGGGACACCAGCATAACCATTCAGTAAGAAATCTGTTGATAAGTATTTCATTATTGAGAAAAGTTTAATCGTATGTCTTCGTTTTTGGAACTGACTTGTGTTATTATTTATCTGTATGTTTTTAAATGTGAAGCGCTTTGTTATCCTGGTCTGTGAAAGGCGCTATACAAATTAAATTTACATACTTACTTGCTTACACACTTACTTACACATGCATTTCTGTCACCTTAGGGTGTGTCAGACGCCTTTGTCACCATCTATCGAAGAGAAGGCCTGATTGGTCTTTGGAGGGGCGTGAATGGGGCTGTGCCTCGTGTGATGGTAGGATCAGCTGCTCAGCTCGCCACCTTCACCTCTGCCAAGGAATGGGTGACGCAGAGCCAGGTAGGAAACTATGTGTGCACTCAAGATCATCTCAAGAAGTTTCCAGTTCATTCATTACCAAACACTTCAGATGGGAACTGATCCACACCTGTGTCACACATTTATAGATAGATAGATACTTTATTGATCCACGTTGTAGAAATTCAGATGTCCATTAGCAGAAAACACAACTGACATTTCTAACTATCCCTAATTCTAACTAATTAACAAGAGTGCACATTTTTAACTCAGACAGGTCTGTTGTACAGTCTGAAGGAACAAAGCATATCCTATTTGGTATTTACTATTTTCCACATCGTGTTTTCATTTTTGAAAACATAATACGACCTTTCAATCTACGGTTGTATTGTAAATGAATCAAAGGAAATAAACCTCAATCAACTCTTTAACCCTTTTGAAAGGACATACTTGGCTCATTTTCTTTGTGGAACGTTTGTTTAAAACTCAACTTTTTCCTCCGTGGTTATTTTATTGAAATTATGGAGGTTCTTTTTCATTTTTGGTAAGGAAGTATTGCTATTGCTCAATTTGACATATAATAATAATAACAATAATGATAACGCATAGGTTTTATATAGCGCTTTTTTGGACACTCAAAGATGCTTGACAAGTCATCATTCTTTCCCTTCCCTCCGACCACCACCAACCACTCACGCACACACCAGACTCATTCTAGGAAATGTGGGTGAAATGTCTTGCCTAAGGACACAATGACACATGGGTGTATGTGAGCGTGTGTGTATGATATATAATATATGTCTGCATTAAAGATTAGACGGGGTATGTGTTTCTCTCGTGAATGGAGGAAGGGCAAAAAGACTAATGGCTTGTTGCTGTCCATATAAATTAGGTTCTCAGGTTTCACTGTCCCGGTTACAGTTACAGTTACATGTAATCGTATGAGCACCTCCTACAGGGCAGTAAAAATTATGAAATATAACAAAACTGGCAAAAAGTCTAAGAAGTACCATGAGTCCCACTTACCCAGTTTACTGTATTTGTATAGAATTAATGAATAATACATAAGACTTGGCAGACATTTGTTAAAGTGCTCATAGGCACAGTAGAACACTGCATTGTAACATTATTAAACACTGCAAAAAGAGATGAAAGATAAGTCAAAAATTGCTCAGATTTTGCAAAATGTATATTAATTTGAGCCCATTCTGATTGCCTAAAAACAATATTTGCCAATGGGACAAGCAAGATTATGTTGTTATAAAAAGACACAAGAAAGACAAGACAAGAAAAGACTGAATGGCTTTGTCCCATTGGTGAATCTTGTTGTAAGTCAGAATGCGCTTAAATGTATTTCCTTATTGTACCTTCAAAACAATAATTGTGTTATTGGAAAGCAAAACCACTGTGATTAATAAAAAAAAAAATTTCTTTGTTTTTCCCATTCAGGTGTTTACTTCCAACAAATTCCTGACTGCGCTGATCGCTGCAATGATCAGTGGAGTCGTTGTGACCATCTCCATGACGCCGTTTGATGTAATCAGTACGAGACTCTACAATCAGCCTGTGGACGAGTTTCGAAAGGTGATTTTTTTGTTTTACATTTAACACATTCAATATTTTCATGACCGGACAGTTTTTTTTCTATAAATTAAGTCTCCAAAAAGGTTTATAGTTTTGAAGTAAAATTTTCTTCATTTGTCAGGGTCGTCTGTACAATGGATTTTCCGACTGTATGCTGAAAGTCTGTCAGGCGGAGGGTGTCCTGGGATTATACAAAGGGATAGGGCCAGTGTTTTTGCGTTTGGCTCCACACACGGTGCTCAGTATGGTCTTCTGGGACATGATGAGACAACAAGTCCTGAGTAATCAACAAGGAGGAAGCTGAAGAGAAGGCTAAATAATTAATCACTATAGGTTGCTTCCAGGTCATACCTTTGCAAAGAGGAACAATGGGCAGCTAAAAGCTCTTTGATAGAATTTGCTGACATTGCGATTTAAGTTTTTATTTGTGTAGACATCAATTTTAACCGGAACAAATTGTGTTGCCTTTATGACTGTGTGTATGGTTATGCAGGCTTGATAGTCAGCACCATATGGGATCATTAATAAAAGAGTCTTGTTTTCTTAGTCTAACTATATTAGAAAGAAGAGATATTGTATGATAAGGGCGGCAGTGGCTCAGTTGGTAGAGCATTGGCCTTTGAGCCTGAAGCTTGCGGGTTGGAGCTCACGAAAAGACCTACTTCACAACTCCCACTGATGACTGCTGCTGTTGTGTCCTTGGGCAAGACACTTGACCCCACTTTGCCTGAAGCCCCTGCTGAAAGATCTCAGCCCCTGTGGACTCACCACCTGCAGGAGGATCAGTGAGGGGCTGGTGCTCTGTGTACTGGGTGCAGCGCTAACTGCCACCCCCCCCCGACACAGAAATGGATTAAGGCGAAGAAAATGGATGGATGGATAGATATTGTATGAAATTATGCAAGGAGGTAGCAGGAGTGATAAGATTGCACTTTTCTAAACTGAAAACTGTTTAATGTGAGAAAATTGCATCACAAAAACTGCGACCCACTGACGGAAACACTCCGATAAGGCATTGTCCTTACTGTAACGTTTGTGTGTCTGTGGTAAAACTAACAATGTACATAGTTTATCTGCTTTCAAAGTAGATATTCAATGAATGTTACAAATGCCTTATTTGTTAACTTACAATGTCTGAATGAATGTATATATTTATGTACATATATGTTTGAATTATTTAAATGTTAACTTCCTGAAACAAAGACAATAAAATGTATGTGTAAAATGTGTTCTTCTTCGTCATCATTGCATAGTATATTTTTTCCAAAAAGACAAATATTCTATGACAAATATTCAATGCTTTGACAGTATTGATTTAATCATGACTAAAGTAAACCAGTTTGGATTGAGTCACAAGGAAGAAGCGACAATCGCATTTGAATCCGTTTTGACCTTAGGATTTTGACCTTTGGACCATTTACAGCAGAAGCCTGAATAGAAGCTGCCATTTCAACTGCACAAACGTAAAGGTTGGGCTCAGTAATGTTAAGTAGACAAACAGTAGAAGGTCATTTTGTGTTCATCGTTCAAGGAAAATATGTTTTTCATTTTCAAATGGATATTTGGACCATTGTTAGGGTTAACTCCACTTGACTGCTTACTACAAGGTACGTGCAATCTTTTGTCATTATTTCACTGCGATGTTCAAACTTATAAACGATCCTATCCAGAGATTCTAACAGTAAAGGAATCTTATCATAGTATGGACAAACTGAAGTTACGAAATCTATCATGAAGTAAATAATGAAATAGTGTGAGACCTTTGGCTTTCAAACATGCCCATTCTTTCTACTCGGGACCACTCAATCATGACAACATATGAAAATGTATTTTGCAAAAACAGAAAATTAGAAAAACTGTTGTGTTCATCTCGCTGTATCTTCAATATGAATTTCCATTTGCTGTACTATTTTAGAGAATTTGCTCAAGAAACGGTGAAACATTATTTGTATGGCACCAAAACATGTCTGGCTTTAAAAAGAAAAAAGCTTAGTAAAGGTCCACATTGTAAGCATTTCAAATATTGTCCTAATGGCACTTTTTGCATCTAAACTTTATATACTATATATAATCACACATATTCAAGATTTCACTTAACGACTACATGTACAGTGTTTGTTGACTAGAATGTCTTTGCTCCAACATTATTTTTTACTAGATATTTTTTTGTAAATAATTTTCTATAAATTATAAATTGCACCACCCTATTTCTACTTTTCTATTCCTATATCTATGGGCTTTGTTCTTGTGTTTGAAGGTTTTGTTGGTGCATGTGGAGTGTCAGTGCTTTGTAATTTACTAAGGATTCATCATTTCAGGCAAATAAGCAAGTAAGTGATTATCTCCAATGTTTCAATGATTCTATAATAATTATGTTTTAAAAACTTTTCCAACAGTGATGATGATTCTGGAAACACTAGATTAAACTCGGCATTACTTGCCAGTGGTGTTGGAGGGCAGTGGAAATCCTTTCTTCAGTTCTGGTCTCTGGCTCTGCTCTTGGGTCTAGTTGGGTCCAGAGTTTCATCCTTGATTCTTCTTGAATTCATACTGAGAGCTGTATCAGCTTGGGGCACTACTGTAAGAACAAACAGGCATATTAGTAAAACGCCTTTCAAATATATATATGCTCATTAATCTGCACTGCATGTGTGTGTTCGTGCATGCGTGTGTACGTGTGTACGTGTGTACGTGTGTGTGTGATTACAGGATTCCCAAAATGCAAACCTGGATCTGCTCTTGGTCCAGTGTCAGTTCTCCCTGGGCTGTGGAATCTCTTGTACTCTCGTTTACATCCACCAGGAGGCGCCACATCGCACCTTTGGCTTGTTTCTGGCAGCTGCTCTGAGTTGGGCAGTGGCCAGCTACTGCATGGGTCTGTGGAGACATGTGGCAAAGCTCTACCCTCTGCACAGCAAGGAGCGCTACTGTGGGAAGTGCATCTCTCTGTTGACATCGGGACATGGCATTCTGGCCACGCTGCATAAGGTGGTCATCCTGGTGTTTACACTGTCCGCCGCCGTCTCCACTGCGACAGTATTTGAGCATTTCTTATCTCAGAAAGATGCTCTAAAGCTCTGGACTCCCCTCACACTCTGTTACGCTCTGCTGGTGGTCTATATTCAAGGTAACATATAATTTGAGTCGTAAAGGAATTATCTGTAATTATATATATATATATATATATATATATATATATATATATATATATATATATATATATATATATATATATATATATATATATATATATATATATAACTGAAACGCAAAAACAAAAACGCAGCAATACAAAGTAATCATGCCCTGCTACATCATACATATCAGTCTGACAGAAGTGTTACAGTCATGGGTAACGTTGGATAAATGAGTTTCTTAAAATGGGATGTTGTTATTTTCAGATGGACAGAAACGTCAGAGTGCGACCGAGGCCCTGGTCCATTCGGTCGTGGTGCGTTTAGGTGCACTCCTAGTCCTGATGTTAACTGTGGGAGACTGGACTGATGTGATCCATGTCCTTATTGCATTTTTGGGAGAAGCTATTTGTTTACTGCCATCCCAAGACATTCTTCAGGCCACGCTAAAAGTATGTGCTATGTTTACAATTGGTAGCATTATTAAACATACTTGTGATAATTGACAGTTTGTTTCTTTTTAGGAGGAAGAAGAAACAAGCAATTTAATGTCAAAATATGGAAAAGGCTCCAAATCCAATCCTACAAGTAAATTTAACATCTCAACATATACAACAACATCTACTGCCTCAAGGGAACGAAAGACCTAAATTATGTATGTACTCTGTAATAAATAGTGATATTGTAGCTTGTGTATTTGTGCTTCAACTAATCTAACTTTATCTATAAAGTGTTTTTTTACATTACATGACACAAAGTGATTTACATTTAATTGTCTCATTTATATAAAACAATACAATGCTGCAAAAAGGCACTTGGACACACTACAGACCAACTGGCATAATTTTTTGTGGACTGATTAATTGAATTTTTTGGGAGGGCCACACAACTTCATACATGGAGAAAAATGGAACAATTCACTCATATCAAAACCAAAATCAAAGCAAGGTGGAACCAGCATCGTGGTTTAAGGATGTTTTGCTGCCTCAGAACCTGGACAAGTGAAAATCAATATTGAAAAAAAAAAAAAAAGATTTTTAAAGTTTATCAGGACGTTTTGCAGAAAACAATCTGTCAAACAGTTGAGGCTAAAAAGAGGATGGATTGTGCAACAGGAAGATGATGCAAAATAAAGGAAGTAAATCAACTTCAGAATGGTTTCAGAAGAACAAAATTACTTTTGTAAAGAGGAATAGTCAAAAATTGATTCTGACTGATGTGCCAGACTGATCTGCAGGAATCAGTCTCCCACAGGAGGTGTCTGGTTGAAGTTAATGCAGCCAAAGGGGAACCAGCTATTAAATGCGATGTCATTTACTTATTCCTCCGCCTTCTGCCAGTTTTTTTAGGCCGACATAATTAAAAATGTGCAAATATGTAAATATCTGTTTTTCACTGTTTTTCAGTATTTTTTATTTTTCCGTGCGATTTTGAGAAAGATCAAATCACTTTTTTATTTTTTTATACTTTATAGCGTCTTTGCACAAATCTCAACACGATCAAAGCAAAGCTCCAAAAACCATATTAGACACTTTTTGTATTCACCCTTGTGCCAAACAAGAAAAGCAACAACAACAAAAAACAGAATAAAAGAAAAAGATAAACAAATAAAACTTCCCTCTGTCTACGTTATAATTTGGGTAAAGGCTGACCACCTCGATTTGAAAATGTCGCTTTTACCTTTAATTTTGTACAACCTTTCTTCATTTCCGTAGAAATCTTTTATCGAATCTATAAAATTTTCAAAGCGAGGTGGTTTAAGACTTTTTCAAAGTCTTGATATTTGCTTCAACGCCAAACATCGTAACATCCAAAATGAATAATTATGTTCTTTTTTTTAATTCTTGGGTTGAAACCCTAGCAAAAGATTTTGTTTTTATATTGTTATTTCTTTGCCACATATTTCTTTGAAAAGATCTGAAAAGGGGCCCCAATATAGCTCCAAGTGTGGGCATGCATAAAAGATATGTACGAAGTCTGGATTCTCTATTCCACAGCCTCTCCAGCAATGTTGAATTGATTAGAAAACTTGCTAATCGCTCGGGGTGTTCTGAAGAATCTAGTGACAATCTTCCAGGCGTATTCTTGCCAATATGGGGATTTTGTGTTGGTATAAATAGTCTACCCTTGAGTCCACTCCTCGACTCTTACTTTGCTTCCGAAGTCCTTTTCCCAGGAATTTTTAAGATTGTTTTCGTGGTTATCGTTATTAATCAAGATTCTATAAATCTCTCTTATATATTTGTTTAATTTTGAATAATCATATTTTCTTATATTATATTGGATTATGGAGTGAGGATTTTGAAAAGCTGATTCATTATCTTTAACGTAGCTACAAACTTGGAGAAATCTAAAAAAGTGAGATGTAGGCAAATTGTAATTTTTTTCTTAAGTTCTCAAACGAGTCCATAGCTTGTTTATTAAATAGTTTGTGGGACCTAGTCTTCCTCATTTTGAAGAAATCATCTAAGCAATTGGGAACAAAATCTGGGTCGGCATATATTTCTCTCAGGCAAATGGTCTCCTTTGATTTTCCCCAAATCACATTTCAAGTTTTTTTTTTTTTTGCTGCTGTGAATTTTTGTTTCTTCAGACGGGCTCTAGCCACAGCTGTTCTAAAAGCATACCTTATAAATTGAGAAGGATTTGGGTCTAAAAGACATGTGGTGGGCTTCACTGTGGAGATTTTCAAGTGTTTACAAGCTTGGATGGACCTGACGTTGACCTTTTATAGATCAACTCTCTTTCCCTGGACCCGGCGCACAGAGTACCGTGTTGCATGACTTGAACCAGGACCTGACCTGCTGCCAAAACTTTATTCAATATTCTTTTAGTTATGAGGGAAAACCTATGACTTTATACTGTACACAATCTAGATCATTGTCTGCATTTTATTTTAAGGAAGTGATATTTTTTGTTTGTTGTTGTTGAGGGTTCAGGGAAGAATTTTAGGCATGGAGCAGAATATGACTGGACAGCTGTGAACATTTAAAAATATAATTTACATAAATAGTGGGGCAAATTGTATACGTCCAATTGTCCATAGACAAACATACACTTTTTTGTTTCTGTAGGAAAGACTGACATTTTCCAAATCAGACATTTAGGGATGAACCTTACTCATTTAACACCCAAACAGCTATGAGTGCTAAAGATAGAAATCCCCATAAACTGAGACCCCGCTTGACTCTGTGAAGTGAACATTTTCGGAGGGGCTCTCATCCGGTGTCTTAGCCTGGATTTCCTTTCCCTAAGTCCAATTCCTCTCCACCTGCCTTGTGTAGCTTTCATTATGTGAATCTATCAAGCCATGAAGTATCAGATTCTCTGTAGAGTCAGACAATAGTAAAAAGTGAACAGAAAAAGAGGAGGGAAAGGGGGTGACTGAAGTTCAGAGAGTTGTATATGTGGTTTTTGGGTGTTTAGAGGCGGAGCTAGGGGGTCGGGGGATTGTGTCATCACTAGGCATGCTCCCTCCTGCAGCCATGACATCACTGCAGCATTCCTTTGCACAAAACTGGAACAACACAGACCCCCACCAATCTCCTCTTAACCCTTTCTCACACAATCTGGACTGTGACTGTTTCTACCACTGATACTTCATAATGCTTGAAAAACCTTGTCATTTATTCTTTGAAGCGAAGAAGGTTTGACTGCAGAATACAACCACAATATTTGCTGATCTGCAGTCCTGATATTGCTCACTTTGGGACATAAAACAATGCCGCTTTTCAGTGCACTCAGCAGCCATCACTCTGCCCCCCTTTCTTAATATATCAACATCTCCTGTTGCACAATGGGCCTGATTCTTTGGACTGCATTGCAAGAACCAAACACAAGCCTTATCCAAGAGAAACATGGACAGTACACGCAACTGCTATTAGTATAGAGATGCAAGAGTTTGTGATAGTGAGCCAAGGCTGCAATAACATGATGTGGGGGAAGGGAGAAGGCATGTAGGAAAAGATAAAAGTCAGCAGAGACTTTGAGGTAAATATGAAAATACAAGTGACAGACAATTCGCAAGAAAAGAGAAGTGGAAAGTTATTCAAAAGCCTGGGAAAACAAACATGTAAGGCTTGGTGTGCAGTTGTAAGAAGTGAGAGAGTAGACTCAAAATGCTTGTATCTAAAATTGATCAATGACACACAAGGAATTGCCTCTCTCTAACTTTATTTGCAAGATGACACAGCTCTCGACTGCTTGCATTTGTGCCTTTGTGGTCAGTGGCTGTGTGAGTGTAGGCCTGCCAACTTTTCATAGCAAATGAATGTGTCATGTTTTTATTGCACTTTGCCCGAGATTAACTGTTCACCTTTTACGGTTTGAAAGGAGGTGGTTTTGTCATTCAGCCAGAGGAGGAGTGGTCGATGGACAAGAGAGAGCCAAAGAGAGGGAGGGACTTGGGGAAAAGGAGTGGCTTTTAGCTGTCGTTCTCTCCAATAGAGTAAAGTCTTCTCCCAGTCAAGACTGTACAGGAGGCAGATTACAGAAACAGATCAGAAGTGAAAGAAAAGAACAGTGATCAGAAAAGAGAAGAAACAAAGAAGACAGGGATTGACATTGAAAGGTATGTGGTCACGGTTTATATCTGACAGAATACTGTGTTTTCAGAAAATATAGATTGTGAAATTCTTGAGAATACCAATAAAGTGAGGTAGCACTATCAATGATTAACATTATGCTTTGCTGATGCTGTGTGGTGGTATTTAAAACATGTTTTCTCTGGTTCATTTAAATCAGGGGTATCAAACCTGTAGCTCGGGAGCAACTAGTAGCTCGCCAAAGGATTTAGAAATGAACAAATCAAATAATATACTTAATATTTCAGATTGTATTATTCATTATCAATATTTATAATTGTAAAGGCACTTACTTTGTGCATTTATAATGACTGTACCCAATATCAGGCTTGTTCACATGCACCAACATATCACCAAATGTTTCCCAGGGCCGCTCTCTGCATTTGTCCCGGGAAAGTAGCTCTCTGGGTGCAAAAGGTTGGAGACACCTGTTATAAATGATTTGGGAACTGTCTTTTTAAACTCCTTTGATAGTCTGACCCAAATTGCGGGTAAGTTTACCTAACAATAATGCTTGTGAAATTCATACATTTTAATTATAATCTCCTTTTTAAATGATATCTACAGTTCACGCAGTATTCCAAGTGATTACAACTTACATTGCCATGTTTTGACTAGTGTAGCTTCAGCCATGGCCACAGCAGCTCCACCTAAAAGGATGGTGTCTTCAGTCTTCATCACTCTCGCAAGTCCACACCGAGGAACAGTGACCCAGCAGCAGCCGCCTACTCTCCAAGCTCACAGCTCAACTGTTACGGACAAGCAGCAAACTGCAGTTCGCATCAGTCCCATCAACACCACATCTACAGCTGCACAAGAGAAAAACTGCAACTCAACAAATGGAATCAGAGCAAATATCAAAGATGAAACTATAGGTGCTTCTAAACAAACCCCTTCAAAGGTTCTTCAGACTCGATCGATTACAACAAAACCTGAAAAATCAGGTATGGTAAAAAAATAATGGTACCATTCACAAATGTTGAACCAGATTATGTTCATTTTCTCCATATTTTCATACATAATATGATGGTGCCATCTAACACCAGAAAATTGAATATGTAATAAATGCATATACTGTATATATATTCTACTACCTTGTTCTGTGGAAACAGCCCCCTTTGAAGAAATGCCCCTTCCACCTCCAGCCCAGGTGACCCCAGGATGCCCTCCAACCTCAGGCCAGCAGCAGCTTTACAGCAGAGGGGTATGCAGATTAAAATGATAAAAATTACCTTGGTTTTGCTCAATCAGGTCAGGATTTTTTGCTACAGAAATATTTTTTTTAATCGATTTTGCGTAAAAAACAAATTTCTGCGGATCATCAGCTGAGAACCCCTTGACGTTTTTTCCGTTTTCCTCAAGAAATAAAAGTCAACGTATCCAAAGTCATTCAGTTTTTATTCACTCCATCAAATTTGATAAGCAGAATTCATAATAACTTAGACGTACGTAATCCGTAACACTATGGCTGTATCTCAAAAAGTTGACCTGATAGAGCAAAATGCATGTGCTATTCGGACTCAGAACACCAAAATTAGTCTCAAATCAGTTGAGAAACCCCTGACCATTTTTTGGTTGTCAACTTGTGTAATGAGTGCATATGTAAATATTGTCAGAGCCTCAAAGAGAATCATGGCAGCAATTGTACATTTACATTGTTGTAGTTTTGTTATGATTTCACTTTCTACGTACTCCATGCCTCTGAGACATTCGACCATGACTGATATGAGCTTTCGTTGTCAGTATTGTTCACTTGTTGATGTTGCCGTTATTCTTCTGTTTACAGCTCGAAGCAAACACTCCGTGTCGCGGTTTAAATAAAAGTCTGATGGAGGAACCAAACCAAAAAACAAACCGAGACATATGTGAAGAAAGTAAAGGTAATGTGGTCTGTGTCCGTGCCACCAGTGTTTCTATTACATGGGTTATTACATTGTTTGTTCACGTTTTAAATACTGTTTATAGATGTGTGTGGCTTCTGTCGGAAGTCAGTGAATCTAAATGAACCAGCCATCGAGGCGTTGAACAGGATTTACCATGAGCCTTGCTTCCAGTGCAGATCATGCCACATACCACTGGCATGTAAACAATATTACAACAAAGCGGCAATCCCTCTGTGTGAAGACTGCTACCAGGTACAAGAAGTTGTGAAAACTGCAAGGCAATTGTGGCCAGTGGAAAAATTACAAAATTAATTTCAGTAATCATTCAGCATGTTCTAACCAGACCAAACACTCATGATTTCCCGTTTGTCATAGGCAAGTCTGGAGCTCTGCTGGACCTGTGGAGAGGTTATTAAATATCAAGTGATGCGGGCCCTAGAACGAGCCTACCATCCCCAGTGCTTTATGTGCACAACATGTAAACAGGAGATTGGGGAGCAGAGATTTGCCCAAGGGGAAGTTGGAGAAGTGTATTGCCTACCTGATTACTATAGGTACACTTGCAGAGTACAGCAGATTTAGTCAATATTTTAACATGATAATAATAACGTGAAATTTTCCTAAATTGTGTTTGCCAAGGAAATACGCCCCAAAATGTAATGCATGTAGCAAACTGATAATTCCAAAAGAAGATGGTACTGACAGCTACACAATTGAATGCCTGGGAAACTCCTATCACGAGGGTTGCTACAGTTGTGAGGTAAAGGAATCCAGAAAACATTATTATAAGTATTAAAAAGCTGAAAGTATTGAAAAGTATTACAAATGCAGCTAAACTGTACAATGTTGCATTTTTATATTTTATCAGATGTGTTTCATTCACTTGACTCCTGAACCCAATGAGAGGGGCTGCTATCCTCTGGACGGGAAGCTCTTGTGTAAAACATGCCATATGTCCCTAGTCTCTGCGCAACAGTGATGGATCAGCTCACCAAGTCCAGGACATTCCCTTAACATATAGCAAAAAATAAAAAAATATATTCTGGTCTATCTTGCATACATTAAGTTTGCTGTATAAATAATGTATGTTCAATAAATAAATTTCTTTTCATGTTTATTGTTCATTTTACCAACAAATCTAACTTCATTTTGTATGATATATCAACATAAAAATCAGCTCTTCAATAAACTGAACAGTGGTAAGTTATAGATTTTACTCGTCTTTGAACAATGACAATATATTGTCGACTTGCTTTTTATAGCAGTTGCTGAGGCGGCACAGTGGCGCTGTGGTTAGTGCTTGTGTCTCGCAGCAAGAAGGTCCTAACCCTAACCCCAATCCTCCAGACCTTTCTGTGTGGAAATTGCATGTTCTCCCAGTCTCTGCTCCGGTTTCCTCCAGGTGCTCCGGTTTCCTCCGGGTGCTTCGGTGTCCCCTACCACTAAAAACATGTACGATAGGTCTGACATGCGCCTCCTGTGTGCTGGCGACCCACTCCCATCTCTGTGTGGAGTGAGAAGACAAATGCCCACAATATTTGTAACTTTGTGACTCTGGTCTGGTCTCACTATATAAATATAAAATACTTATTTACTAACTTAAATTTCATAGTAGATATGTCATTACAACATAAAAAGCTGGAAGCTTCTAAAGAAATGGTATTAGACTTTTTTCAGGGCAAGTTTTTTTATCATCAAAAAGTTGATAAGAGGTTCCCAAGTGAAGCTGAGTTCAACTACGGTTGATACCCATAGACTGTACATATTAATGATACCCCATAGGCTTGGGGATAATATTATGATCCATAGCCACCAGTCAAACCATGTGATTTAAAACATAAAAGGGCCTTTACAAATCGTGCACCCGAAAAGACTATGAAAGCATAAAACAACACAAAATTTGGGATTTATTATTTGTCACAGCTGGGATTGGAAACGTGGGATCTTTTCTTCTCGCGTCATCGACACATGGCCGCGCAGCGCGCTCCCAAAATGATCGGGAACTGCGTTTGTGCGCGCTCACGCTGACGCACAGAGGACGCAGGAGCTAAGCTAATCGACAGCAAACAACCAACCAGGCCCATATCGTTCATTTTGTAGAGGTGGACCTCCAACCAGCGGCAGGGATTAAAACGAACCAGATCATATGTGTAAGAAGGGGAATTTAAGAGCACACGATGGTTCGGGAAACCAGACACCTTTGGGTGGGGAATTTACCCGAACACGTCCGAGAAGAGAAGATCGTGGAGCATTTTAAAAGGTACGTTACGCAAGCGGAGTCCTGCATTCGTTAACCAGCGCGCGCTGGGTTCAGCTCCAGTGTCCGTGGAAGTAGCTACTGCTAGCATGGCTAGCATTAGGATTTCTACATTTATATCGGCCTTATTTTATAACTCCTGCTGTGAACTGTATTGTAGTGTAGTAAATAATGTATCCCGTGGACGTATTCCCTTCGAACATTCGTAGTTATGTTGCCCTTTCTTGCTAAATACCAAGTGAGGATAAGCTAGTTTTAGCTACCGAGCTACAACTTCATGAACCAACCATTTTGTGGGAAGTCAGTCTGTCACGATCAGATTCTGCACACACTCAAGGGACGCTAACTTCCAATGGAATCATTATAATTACATATGTTTCATCATCACATTCACTGGATACTTGAATCTAGTCCAAACATAGGTGTTTGCACATAATGTTGCAAACATAATGCATATGCACGTTGCAATCATGATTCTTCTCAGAATTCATGAACGATGGCTAGATAGGCTGCATGACATAGTTTGCTCTCTCGACATGACAACCAGCATTAACTTTCCAAATGTGCGTGCCTTTAATCATTGTTAACTAATTAAGCGCTTTCTGCAGTAGAGCATTAAAATAGCCAACGTCGTAAACGTGCCATACTTGTTTTCACGAAGGTCATTTATAGCTGTGTAACGGTATACGTCTTGGGCATTTCTGACAAGTAACTTAAAGGCGAAAGAAGCCTTGACGTACTAAACACAAGGCGAGATAATATTTTAATCCTGTGATCAATCACACAAATTTATCTAACTAAAAATGTAATGCACATTATGTTGACATTATGGTTATACTAGTTATTCAGTTACAAACGTCAATGAATTGTTCTGATAATCTGTTGTTTATATTGCAATGTTCTCTTAGGTATGGACGTGTGGAGAGTGTTAAAGTCCTGCGAAAGCGGGGATCAGAGGGGGGTGTTGCAGCTTTTGTGGATTTTGTGGATATCAAAAGTGCTCAGAAGGCCCACAATGCTGTCAATAAGATGGGAGATCGAGACCTACGGACAGACTACAATGAACCTGGTTCTGTCCCAAGTGCTGTACGGGGCCTTGAGGAGGGCTCCCCTTCAAGCAGTCGAGACGTTACAGGATTCTCTAGGGGGACAGTGGGCCCGGTGTTTGGGCCACCAGTGTCCCTTCACACCAGAGAGGGGCGTTATGAACGGAGAATAGATGGGTAAGTGGACCTGGTCTCCCCTTTAAACACAGGGGAAAATAAGTATCAGATATGTGTAAATCTCATTGGCGGGTTGTTTCAAAAGTAATGTAGGATTTATTCCACCTTTCATCATTACTGACTCACCTTGCCCATGGGATCTAAGTTATTAACTACACATTATCATTTCATGAGGTATCTAAAATCCAAAGTTTGCATCTGGATATTTGATCTCTGAGGAATATACTGGTGAGTTTCGGACCATACATTGTGGAAATATATACGATGGGGAGTTGGATTCTATGCATTTTTTCCATAATGTGGAATCTACCTCAACTACCACTTCAATTTCATTTTTTTATCTCGGAATTACGTAAAGCTGGAAGTAAAATGCCACATTTTTGATACATTTTTCAGCTAACGTTTTGACTATTTTTCTTTTTGTATTTGACAAATAAATGGAAATACTTTTTTCATAATTTTTGAACCAGTGGATATGACTCGGTGTGGATTTAAGCGGCGGAGAGCCCATGATAGCTGACCAGCCCATTCTGCTCTGCACACCTCAGACTGGAGTTATTGTAGACAGTTCCCACAGAGTGACAAGTCCAAGAATACAGAAGAGACCCAAGAAATTTGTGGAACTATTTTTTTGGACTGACGACCATGAAGACTGCCGAAGTCCCACACTTGGATGTACCCTCCTGGATGTATTCTCTGCGTTGCCACTGCCACATGTTGGATGTACTGCCATACTCTAGTTTGCTTAGCTGTAGCAGTCCTTCATGTGGATTACTAAATTGGACAGTGAAAGGAGTATGTAGCTGCATCAGGAAGACTCAATATATCAGACATCCGAACTCTCGAAAGCCTGCAATATAATTATGATTTGCTGCAATTTAAATTACAGGATTAATGGATTCAATCTAAAGCCTCAGATCGGGATTTACTACTTGCAGGTTTTCTATATATTATATTTACATACTTCCAAGAGACTACATCAACCACTGGAATACTTTTTTTTTTTTTTTTTTGCCTAAATGAAGATGAACTGATCTCCTTGGATGTACTTTCTATCCAGCTTCCACTGTATTGAGTCCTCGACAGAAATAACCTTTTTAAATTTTATTTATGTATACTTAGTAACTCTTATATTGTTTTTCCCCAAATCTACCAAAATCAATCAGTTCTATGGCTTTTATTTTTGTCCTTTTTCCATCAAGAATTAAGTAGCCTAATTGGATTATACCTCTGTCTGCTGATCTGATTTGGAGATAACGAGCTGTATGACTCAAGAATCTTTGTCTAATTAGATCATTTGAATTTTTTCCCCTTTGGTTTTTCTTAAGGGCTCTCACATTTTGACCACCTAGATTTTATTTGGAATAGTTTCAGTAACTTCTTTTCTAAAAGGTTGGTATTTCTCTGCCCTCTGCATTTTTATTCTCTACCCTTTTTAGAGTTGTGTTTACTGATGTTTTTGTAGTTGGCATAGACCATAAATGCTTTAAAGCTAGCTCAATGACTATAGAGTATATGCATAATGTAGAATTGGTTTTAGATAGTATTGGATCATTTCACATAATGAAACAATAAAATGGTTCCAATAATGCAATTTCCTTTTGGCAAAGGTTATCTGTTTTAGCTGATGAATAGACTGAAAAATATATATAAATGCAGCGCCTGGTTTTGATACCATTTCTCTTTGGTTCAACCCTAGGATTAAAAGTGGGTATTGGCCCAATAGATTGTCCCAGCAAAGTATGGAGAATAGATAAATTGATCTATCTGAGGTGTATTTGATGATTTTTACATTTAAGATTTGATAAGACTGGCTCAGCCTGAAGTTTGTGGGTTCTTTGTCAAGACACTTAACTACACTTTGCCTGAAGCCCCTGCTTAATGGTCAAAGCTGTGTTGTCACTGACAGAGCTGCTGTCCTCCTGTGGACTCACCCCCTGCAGGAGGATCAGTGAAACCCCCCAAAATGGATGGATAGACTGAATCACGATTGCACAATTGTGCCTTGAGATGGCCACAATAAAAGGCCACTCTTAGATCAGTTCAGTTTTTTGGGCTGAAAACCACTCAGTACCAGGTGTGACCATTAATTGCCATCAGTTGAGTGAAGTTTCTGCATAGTGACAGGAAATGTTACTCACTGTTGTATACAGCAATTCAGAGATTCCCGCACTCAGTGGATGACCAGTGATTTTGCAGGACGTGCAAGAACCGGGATGTTTCCAGATGAATTGGTTAGATAATCACAAATGAGTACCAATTTTTGCTATTCAAGAAAGGCGTATGTGTGGCGTCAAATGGGAGAGCAGTTTGCGGATGTTTGCAACGTTGTGGGTTGAGTGGTTGATGGGGTGGCGGTGGGGTTATTGTATGGGCTGTCGTATGTCATGGACATGAACACAGGGGCATTATAATGATAGCCCCTGAAGCAATATAGCTGCATAGTGATAAGTACTTGAAGATGTGTAGGGGACGCCAGCAGGCGTTGGAGAAAAAAAAATCTGTCATGCTCACTGGTGATGACAGGACATAATCACAAGATGTAATATGTTATGTATGTGAATGAGTGAGTTTTTAGGTTGAACCCATGAAAAAATGCTGCATTTATATATTTGTATATTCACTATTTAGATTCCAACCAAAGTTGCAACATATTTTACTTGACAGACTACAGTATATTAAGAGGCTAAAGGTTTTTTTGGTAAATATCTAAAATCTTCTAAGCATGTCCTAATTATATTTTTCCAACCTGGTTTTAATTATTTACAAAGAGTCTCAGCTGCACACATAGCTACATAAATCTGTGTTTCCTGAGTTAACCATGACCTTCTCTGCCCCTCTGTTCCCCACAGCAGCTCAGAAAGCAGAGATCGCGCTTATGACCACAGCCCGTACGGACACCATGAACGCAGCAGCACTTTTGATCGTCAACGACACTACAATGCGGACTATTACCGTGACCGCTCTCTGTTTGCTGCTGCAGGCTCTGGAAGTAGCGCTATCAGCGGAACTTTTGAAGCGTCTGACCCTCATTTTGAGGCTCGACTTAGAGACTCCTTTACTTTGACTACAGCCTCGCGACGTGACCTCTACAGAGATGACAGAGGACGACGCGTTGACAGGACATATCACCATCGACGAAGCAGATCTTCTCATTCCTCACAGTCAAGACAACCTTCTCCACAACGGAGCAGAGGACAGACTCCTAAATCTTCTCATTCCCCTAAAAGACCTCCCTTGTCACCTGGACGATGCCCACGGTCTCGGTCACATAGCAGATCTTCGAGTTCAGATTCTGTGAGCAGTAGTAGCAGCACCGGGAGTGGCAGGTAAAGAAATAACAATTACATTTTTTTTTGTGGCCAACTGATTATTGGTGCATATATTTAGTTTTTTTTCTATTGTGAATCTGTACATTTAGATCGTTGATAATCCATGTATGTATTAGGGTTGGGCGATATGGGCCTCAGCATGTATCACGATTTTTGTTGGTATGTATCACGATATGACGATATGATAATTTTAACAAAGCCTCATATAAAAGCTATAAAAATTTAGCACTGATAATTTTAAACACACTTGCCTCAAAGTGCATTTACTGATTTATTGGCAGCAAAATGTGTAATACAGCTATTGTATATAAAACGTATTAACAAAACTGAATTGTAGAGAATTCTGTTTTGTACATACTGAAAATTGCAGGCAACATGTAATAAAGGTGAACATTTGTCATTTGTAAAATATATAAAAGTTTGTCCTTTGTAATATAAAAAGTGTAGCATTATCAAATAATTATTTGATCACTTTAGCTTATGTTTCCTAATCCCAATATAGTCAAAATGATCAAATACTGTATATATTTTTTGTATACTTTTGCGTTTCTATAATTATGTAATTATAACTTATTTGTAATTATATTGCAATGTAGACAAACACATGCATTGAAGTAAAATGAATGACAGTAAACAGTAAATAAAGCTTACCAATGGCACTAAGAGAGAGAGAGAGAGAGCGAGTGTCCGAAGCAAGCCTCTCGAGTCCAGTTGTTTAGGGCAGCTGCTTTCACATTAGATCCACTGTCGATAGTTACACACAATTGCTTCTTTTTATCTAGTTCCCAAACTACTCCCATATGTTTGAGGTAGCTCCGCGTTTTGGCACAATGTCTTCTACAATCTGCATGTCTTCACCATGGTCTTCACTGCCGCCCTCAGCCATGTTTGCTCTCTGCTCTGTTGTTGTTGTCCCTGCACGCCGCTCTGCTACACGTGTTGCGCAGATGCGTCATCAAAGTGCGCCGCACACAAACGTGTCTTCCGCTAGCTGTTTTCAGTGTTAAATGATCGTTTTCACCGGTATAAGGCATTTTCTTATCATTTAATTTACTTATACCGGTATACCGGTACAAAAAAAATATCGCCCAACCCTAGTATGTATTAATGAAGAATGCAATAACATACCACATTCCACTGTAAAACATGCTACCAGTACGTAGTAAAAGCAGTCGGAGTACCAAAATAATCTGCTATCATAAATTATTAGGCAAATTTTACGGGAGCATTTGTGCTTGTATTGCTCTTCTAGAAGCAATTTGCGTGTCAGAACAGTCGCGGTGGTTAATCTGTCAGACTTTGAATTGATCGGGATTATTGATGCCCCGGTTCGATTACCGACCGATTTTTGATATTAATTCTTGATGCACAATTACTGATTTTCCATTTGACTACAGTAACACAAAATACAACGTTATTGCACCATTTAAATGACATTCAGTTACTGAATTATTTCTTTTGAGTAACAACTCAAAGTACTTAAAAGAATAAAGAAATAAAATTTAAGAAATGTATTTTTCAAATGTCCACATTTGCCAAAATATTTCCCCATTTGGAGTTTCCTGTAGAACAAAAATGCAGAAGAATGAAGACACTAAAGGGCCAAAACAGGAGCTAAACCAGGACTAAACAACCAGGATTGGCAATGGGGACATGGTGCTTGTGAACATATGCCTCCAGCTATAGGCCCCGTTTAGATGTAGACACTGCGGAGACGCTAAAAAGCAATTAAAAAAACTACCAGGCTCCTTATTGGAGTGCACAGCGTTGACACGACTGAAAATTATGTAGTTCTAGCGCCCAACCAGTAGGGGGACAGTGGAACATTAAGACACACGTGATCCCCACCAGTATAATCACTTCCTCAACAGCATCCTCCTTATGGCGCCGTGAAGTCAGGAAAAGATGTACCAACATCATTCTGCATTTACAGCAGTGAAAATGGAAAAGCACTACAGCTTTACGTGGTGTTGTTACAAAAGAGTAGAATTCTCCGCAGAGTAACGCTCAAAGCACACGTATCATTAGTTCACCTGCCATCATTGTTGTTTTAAATCATGCTCTTTTCGAATACATCTTTAACTGACAACAGTAGTTCAGCCGAGATATTTGAATCTCAAAATTAGTTTTACGACCCGTAAAAGTTATTGTTTTTAATTAATAATTAAAACAATAATTAATGACAAAACAAAGACTAAAACGAGGATTTATATTGGGACGCCTTTGAACAATTGAGACGGCTGAAGGTTTACGTGTGATGTAGGGCTGGGCGATATGGCAAAAAAAAAAAATCTCCGATTTTTTCACACCAAATCCGATTTTTGATTTTAATCGATTTATTTTTTTCTATTTAAAAACAAACTACAACTGACAAAGAAATAGATTTTCCTTTATGCAGTTTAATCTAAATCCCCATGGAGCATAAGTGTAACAGGAATTAAGCCTTAAAACATGCTTGTAAACGAGATGGCTCTGCCATTGTAAACAGTGAAAATGTAGCTTAACAGTTTTATAATAACTTCACTTACAATGACACTATGCACCTTCAAAATAACTTAAATCACATAAACAAGGCCCATCGCAAATATATCAATCCTATTAAACACATGCATTATTTACATGAAATATCACATTTTTAAAACTGATTACTCAAAATAGAAATGTTGTAACAGACAGTCTTTTCCAAAAGCCTCCTCGGGTTTTCATGCTTGTTCTTTCAACTGTGCCTGAGTAACTGTGCTGTAGTACAACGCTCGGTCCAGCTGGTGGCGCTAATACTAACTTCAGTGACTCCCGCATTGTGCGAGCTTCCTGTTTACATTCTGATGCTGTAGCTAACAGCTACTGTAGCAGCTACTGTAGCAGCTACTGTAGCTAACAGCTACTGTAGCAGCTACTGTAGCTAACAGCTACTGTAGCAGCTACTGTAGCTAACAGGCAGCGGGGAACACGTTGTTTGTATCAGAGCAATGAGAGCAATGTGTGAGACGTCTTTCCCCAAAGTGCAGCGGCTCAGTGGGACACGAGTGTGTGCGCGCCACGGACACGGGAGTGCGCTTTGGAATAACGAGCGTGAGAGAGCGTGAAAGATGTGGCGTACGAACATGGCGTACGTACATAGCGACCGGAGCCTGCGTGCGTGTGTGTGTGTGTTTTGGCGATTAAATAAAGTCTGGAAGTGTTATTGCAACAGCACCAACTGTGAGAGCAAGCATCAGGCCAGAGGGAGACTGTTAGCATTAGCTTAGCTTCAAAATGACTGCTCAACACCAAAGACCCGCGGTTAGCGCGTTAGCGCTGTAGTTCTGCGCTGGAGAAAATAAAAATCGAATTTTTAAAAAAAGAAATCGCCCTAAACGTAAAACTCGAATTAATGATTAAAATCGATTAATCGCCCAGCCCTAGTGTGATGCAAAATTTGCTGCTTTGAGTCCGGTCTTCATAATAGTGTTTCCAGCGCGAATCGATGGTCTAGTGGTCAAAACTACGCTCTCACGATGCAGTAACCCGTGTTCGATTCCGGGCAGGAGCCTATTTGTATTTAATGGCATGTTATCACATTCTATGACAGATTGCTCTAAATACGGTAAAAGACAAAGGCCAAGACGGTTTTTTGGCAGATTATAGCTTAATTGTAAAAAGAATCATTTAAGACCACATGTACCCCAATTAAAATAATGCTAGTCTCTTTTTGATGTGGGACTTATACATGTTTGTCTAAAAGATAGGGAATAAATAAAATTGAAAGGTGATGTTGATACACTGAAGAAATGCGTTCCAACATCCATTCTTCCCACTCCTATTTTGGACATCAATTGCTTGTTTTATTTTGGATAATCTATAATTACATTGCTTTTATTTTTTTGTTTTTTGTTTTTTATCTCAAATGTCCAAATAAAAAAATAAAAATCAACATTCATTCAACATTAGTATGCCTCATGGCAATGTGAATGGAGACAAACAACTGATAAAATAATTCCCTGTGTTTGCTGCTGGATTTGGTGTGTATCTGGCAACCTGAGTCAGGGAGAGTGGGAGAGGACTACAAAATATTGACTGACTGCAGTACCACTTTTGGCCAGATTTTTACATATTGTTCGTTTAATAATGGCTACATTATGCATCTCCATTCCATTTTTATCATGAAATAAAGTGTATTTTTTTCACTTAACATTTTTCTTTTATTTATGCCATAAATTGGCATATGGTATATTTCTGACCATACCAATATATCAATAATTGTCATATCGTGATAAAATCGTTGTGATATAATCGTTATCGTGATATAATCGTTATCGTGATATAATCGTTATCGTGATATAATCGTTATTGTGATATAATCGTTATCGTGATATAATCGTTATCGTGATAATATTGTTATTGTGAGCTTTGTATTGTGTATTGTATTGTGAGGTACCCTTAGGTTCCCACCCCTAGACACCAGAGCTGCTCTCCTGGAAGATTACTTTATATGAAAAGCCGCTAGCCTCATATCCCAACGGTCTGAACGCCCCTGCCTGCTGCATGAACCGCTCATTCACTCTGGCTGCTGTACGCACTTTTGCCCAGTGTGCGCATTGACTGCGGGATAAAAATAAATAAATAAAATGATGCCAAGAAAGCTAATTTTTTTTGAAAAGCAATAATCTATCAATTTTTTTCACCACCCCTAGAGAACAGTGGATCACATGAGTGTCAAAGTTTCGAACTGATCTGTGCTGCTGCTTTGCTTTGGTAGTGTATCGAAGCTTTTCGGAACGCTGCCATGACAGCCGCTCCTCCTTCTGCAGTCTCATTTTGTCTCTTCTTGAGATTCTAACTTCTCATCCTTATTTCTACGTTTAGTAAAAACAGTTATCACACAGTTCATGAGTGAAACAGAAGTCCTTTAAGTCGTCATGTGCCTTTGACACCTTAATACGTCAATTGCGTTTTCCGCTATTTTTATGTTCCCAGATGTCTATTACATCTAATATGTATGGGGATTAGCTTTAGAGCATATTTTATCGAGCCAGCAGGTGGCACCACCGCTCTCTGGATGGTTTGAAAACTGCTAGATGCACTTGTTGTGCCTCTTTTTTCTCAGCTTTTTGGTGATTTCAGTAAAACTTCCCTCTACTCGACTGGGGATTACAGGGGAACGAAACGAGTTAGAAACAAAAAAGTTTTGCTGATGAAAGTAGACGGTCCATTCTTTCAGAATCTGGTTCCGGATTTCAGATAGTCATAGTACAACAATATTCTGTGGGTCTTGAAAAATCTATAAAAATCATCAGAAATTGATGGCAACTCCCAGTACCTGTTCTGAAATAGGCTGGCAGGCAATGAGTTAAGAAGCGCCTGGACTTCGCATGCGATTTCTTGTTTTTGCTGAAAGCGTTAAAGGAACTATACCCATTTCTGCACGTTTTTTTTTCCAGTTTGAATGTTTAGCACCGTATACCCAACTCGCTCACAGGCTTCTCATATGGAGAAACCCTCCTTTCAGCCATATAGCCATATAGTTTTAGTAGCTATCTGATACGCATGTAAACATTGTGTTGTTGTCAAAATGGCTCACAGCCTCTGGAGATGGGAACTGCTCCGCGGTCATGCGCATATTTTGAATTCCCAGAGTGACTACCTGCTCTGTCGTCATCTTACACTTGCGTGTGTGCGCGGCATTCTGAGTGTTATGAGATGCATGGGCGGGTCATTTGCCATATGCGTCAAATACGTTCACTTTTTTAACGTGATAAATAAAGATATGTAATTAACGTGCGTTTACGCAATAATTTTGACAGCCCTAATTGTAAGCAAACTCAATTTAATTTGGGCTTCTGAGTTTGTCACATGACTCTTAAATCATTGATTTTCCCAAATAGCATGATTCCTTTTAATTTTAGTTTTTGCTTTGTGTATGATTTACAAGCTCAACCACGTTAGTCAGCATTTGGAATGGATTGGTTCTTCTACTTAAATTGGCCACCTACTCCAAATTAAATTCGAGTAGGGGAAGAATTCAGTTTTCACTGGTGCTATGTAAGCCATATATCCTTTTTAAACCCTAACCCTGGGGACGCCAGCTGAGAGACCTCCAGCGTGTGCTGGGTCTTCCCCAAGGTGTCCTCCCTGTGGGACATGCCCAGAAAACTTCCCCAGGGAGAAGTCCAGGAGGCATCCGGAACTTATGCCTTGAGCCAACTCAAACTGTTTCCTCTCGACGGAGAAGCTCTATTCAGGGCTCCTCCCGTGTGACTGAGCTGCTCGCTCTATTTCTAAGGGTGCGCCCAGCCACTCTGCAGAGTAAGCTCATTTTGACCATTTGCATCTGAGATTTAGTCCTTTTGGTCATTAACCAAAGCTCATGACCATTGGTGAGGGTGGGAATGAAGATTGCCAAGGTAGATCAAGAGCTTTTCCTTTCAACTCAGCTCCCTCTTCACCACAATAATCCGATACAACTTTTACAACAAATGGAGCGTATAGAGCTGGTTCAGTGTTTCGCGGGACAATAACCACACTGCTCCTGAATCAGACATTCGATCGATCAGTCGAAGTCTCCTTTCCAATCCTTGGAGTAGACTGTACCGGGGGGGGCTAAGGAGTATGATGTCACACTCCCTTCGGCCCACGTTCTAGTAGAGGGGAACCATCGGTCTTCCACTCCATTGGCACCGCCCCCGATCACCACATAATGCTACAGAGACATGTCAGCCACGACTGTCCTACAACATCCAGAGACTTAAGATTGTCAAGACAGATCTCATCCACTCCCGGGGCCTTGTCACTGAGAAGGCTTTCAGATAGTGAGATGGAAGGATCCGACCTAACATCCTCTGCCTCCGGGGCAGAGGACGTGACTGAGGGTTTGAGGAGAACCTCTTAGTATTCCTTCCACCGCTCAAATATCCACAGTCGAGGTCAGCAGCTCTGCACTCGTTGGTAAAGCACTGCAGTTGACAGCTCCGCCCCTCTCTTCACCTGAGTGTCCAAGTCTTTCCAACCCCCCCACATTTTCGGGTGCTCCAGTTTCCCCCACCACTAGATACATGAACCATAGAATGTAACAAATGAGTGAATGGATGGTGTTGGTTGGGGGCTTTGATGCGCCAGTGTGCTCGGCTTTTTGCTTCCATCATCACCGTGTGGGGAGAGAATGGAAAAATGTCTGAACATTAGAATGTAAAGCGATTCTACATACTTTTTTATTCATTAACTAACATTTCAGAAAGGCATTATAACTGTTTGAAGTAATCCCCTTCGGTTGGGCTTTAAATTGTATCGTTGAGTTAATTTTCTTTTTTGTACCAATCCTAGTGAATCAAATAGCAGCTCAAGTGATGGGTCTCGGGCTCGCTCAGTCCAATCATCAGCTACACATGCTCCTCCAGCTTCGGTGATTCTTGACACTGACGAGCCACGTAGGAGCTTTGGGATTAAAGTTCAAAATCTGCCTGTCCGGTCAACGGGTATAAACAAAAATAATCATAACAAGAACATTTGACATTTTATGAATTTTTAAAAACTCACATGTTTTTTCTTTTTGCTGTAGATACTAGTTTAAAAGATGGTCTTTTCCATGAATTTAAAAAGCATGGGAAAGTTACATCTGTGCAGATCCATGGAGCATCTGAGGATCGCTATGGCCTGGTTTTCTTCCGACAGCAAGAAGATCAAGAGAAGGCTCTAACAGTCTCTAAGGGGAAACTTTTTTTTGGCATGTTAATTGAGGTCACTGCCTATAATGGACCTGGTATGTGATTACTTTAAGTATAATTTGTCTTCTGTAAAAGCAACTATATATGATTAGTACTACCTTTCCCTTCAGAAACTGAGAGTGAGAATGAATTTAGGCCTCTTGATGGGCGGATTGACGAGTTCCACCCAAAAGCCACAAGAACCTTGTTTATAGGAAACCTTGAAAAGACCACAAGTTACCAACAGCTCCTTGATGTTTTTCAGCGCTTTGGAGAAATTGTGGTACGTTTCCTTGCATGAAAAGACTGCACTTAGTAGCTAACTTTATTTTTATATTTACATATTCTATTGTATATTTCAGGATATTGACATAAAGAAAGTAAATGGTGTCCCACAGTATGCATTTGTGCAATATTCAGATATTGCAAGTGTTTGCAAGGCAATTAAGAAAATGGATGGAGAATATCTCGGGAGTAATAGATTGAAGGTAAAAAAAAATCAAAATAATTCAAAATGATTTCAGTTTCAAACAATGGTCATGAACTCTATGTTTTGTGTTTTTTCAGCTTGGTTTTGGCAAAAGCATGCCAACTACTTGTGTTTGGCTTGATGGATTGGCATCTAACATAACAGAGCAATATCTAACAAGGCACTTTTGCCGTTATGGACATGTGGTCAAGGTAAGTTACAGTACATATATCTGATGTAACTTTCTGAGTTTTTGTATGTTCAACTCTTTTCTTCTTGAAGGTTGTGCTTGACAGATTAAAAGGCATGGCACTTATCTTGTACAACAACACAGACTTTGCTCAGACAGCTGTCCGGGAGACCAAGGGCTGGAAAGTTGGTGGTAATAAAATAAAGGTACTTGATATCAGATGTGCAATATAAGATAAGAATTCCTTTATTCGTCCCACAGTGGGGAAATGTTGTTGTTGCAGCGCACATACAGGACAGTAGAAAGAGCACACGGGGATCACACAATATATACAAAATTAGCAGTAGCTATGTTTCTTAACTAGCATAGCTGGCTGTAGATGCTGGAAATGCTTCAATACCAGTCAACAAATATATACATGTAGTAGTACAGAGATATATACTGTACAGTTAAATAGTGCAGGATAAGAAGTAGATAAGGTAAAGTGACATTGTTCAGTGACATCCATATCAATTTTAATGCATATGCATGATCTGACAAAGCTCCTTTTTTTACAGGTGGATTTTGCTAGCCAAGAAAGCCAACTTGCATTTTATCGCTCAATGCAAGCAGCGGGTCAAGACATAAGAGAATTCTATGATCTTCCACTAGAAAGAAGGTATACATAAAAAAACTGGGAGAAGCACAGCTCTTTGAATTAGAGATTTGCAATAATATCAGCTGATAACGGGAAATATGATATAACAATCGTAAGAATAAGAGAAGTGTAATGCTGTATGTATACACGCAAGTCCCACTTTTGGTGTTTTTCAAGACCCCAACAAAGTAGTTTATATATGAAAAAAACCTTAAAACCTATTTTGTTTGTAAACATGATAAAATGTACAAAAGTTATGTTATTACTCTTGAAAGCCACTATATATTACATAGTCTTCTGTAATAAGGCTGTCTATTAATGGAAAAAATAACGTGAGATCAGACAATAGTTTTTCTTCCAAATTAGTGTTTGCCGTTTTTTCCAGTGAAATTATTTTTTCAACAGCACTGCATGTCTTAAATTGTGACAGGTTATGTCCGATGTAGACAAAAAAAGGCTATTACATTCTATTTGCAAACATGTTGATCAGTTGTGTTGCTCTAAAACATAAAATGTTTTTTCTCTTTCAGAGAGGAGCGCAGACCTCCATATGAATTTGCTGATAGGGCATACTATGAAAATCTACGTCCCCCAGGTATTTATCCAGAAGAAGCCAGGCGAGAGTATGCCGCTCGAAGGGAGCGCTTTCCTGAACTTGAACATTACCAGGGGGACCATTTTGACCCAAGATACCATGAAGACCCGAGAGACTATAGAGATTACAGAGATCCATTTGAACAGGACATTCGGAAATATACATACATTCAGAGGGAGAGAGAAAGAGAGCGAGAGCGCTTTGAGGCTGACCGGAGCAGGTGGAGTCCCTCCCATCCACGACGACCCATCACTCCAACAGTGTCTCCTTCACCATCCGAGCGTGCTCCTAGAGACCCAGACCGCCGAGTGTTCAGCCAATCTTCTGATAGAAGTGGCAGTGTAAGCTCACTGTCTCCAACACATTTTGATAAATCTGATAAATCCCTTGAGCAGGGTTCCAAAAATGACAAGACTGAAAACGCTGTCCCAACGGATCATACTTCAAGTAGTGAAAAAACCAAACGGACCAAAAGAAAAGATAAGACTGACAAAGGGGAAAAAGGTAAATCACGAAAAACAAAGGCACAATCGCCATCATCACAAATACTTGAGACAGAACCTGAGACGGGGACATGTCGAAGTAAAGATCAAGACAGCCATGAAAGGCAGAAGTACAAAGACCTGGACAATCATGAAACGAGTAAAAGTGAATCTTCAGAGCTGAGTAAAGGAGAAAATTTAGAAATGGATGGAAAAGCAAGACTCAAAAAACCATTGAAGACTGAAATAGGAAGTGATGGAAAAGACACTGTGGATTCTGAGCGTTTAGCTGCACGAAAGAGACGTTTTGCCGAATCCAGTGGTAAAGTCATACGTCAGAAGAGGAGTAAAGTTGACGAGGAAGAACATTCTGAATTTGTTGCTGGTGGCACTCCTGTAAAAGAGATGGACATTCACAAAGATTTACAACGGAGAGATTCAAGACCCAAAACAGAGAAAACACAAAAAGAATCCCATGAGGATCACAAGGGGCATAAAGAGAAGGTAGACATGCCATCTGACCTGCAAGACACAAAAAGGCACAGTTTAACTCGAAGGTTTTCTAATGAGGATGGTATTGATCAAGCAAATATGAGGGAGGAACAACGAGGCCTCTTAAAATTTAGTGGATCATGTGATATTGACAAAATCCCTAAAAGCAAGGATGACCATGTCGATATTGACCTTTCTCAGAGTTACCGTAAGCAGATGGAACAAAACAGAAGGCTGCAGCAACAGCGGGAGTCTGACAAAATGGAAAAATTAGAGAACTCTCTTGAAAACAAAAGTGAGGACATGGAAGATCGCAGTCTTGTGTATGAAGTTGGTAAACCTCCTGAGGATGTTACAGTCACAGATAACTTTCCATCTCACAGGTTTAAAAAAATAGACCAGTTTGATGCCGAAACAGGGGTTAAGCGAGAGCGCGTCTATAGGAGCTTTAGGCATAAAAGCGAAGATCCAGATTGGAATAGTGGCTTGTCTCCTGGACATTCTCATCATATAGACAATGACTTTGTCAATGCTTCAAGGAAAGAGTTAAGCAGAGTTGATGACAAATTGCCCGAAATTGAGCGTCTTAAAAAGTCACTTGATGCACAAAGTAAACCACATTCGTTGCTCTGTGTGGATGAAGAGCAGCATGGTAAAAGATGGGAAAACAGAGTTAAACAAGTGGACAACTTTCTGCCAGATCAAAATTTTTCAAGAGTCAAAGCATTTCATAATCGTAAATGTTTGGATTATGGCGTTTGGCCAGATTTGGAGCCAGGAGAGGTTAGATCTGATTCTGAAGAAGACAGAGAAAAGTCACACTCTCCCGCACCATCAACGTCCATAAACTTTTCAGAGAGACTCCGTGGTGAGAAATTTTCAGACCCTAAACTGGCTCAACTTGAAAAAAACAAGTTTTACTCTTTCGCTCATGACCGTACCATCACGCCTGATACGAAAGCTCTTCTAGAGCGTGCCAAATCTTTATCCAGAGAAGATAACTGGTCATTCTTGGATTATGATCCCCACTTGGCAAGTTTTCGGGACAGAAAAGACACAGTCAAAGTGGAATCTGCACCTAAACCTATTAAGCCTGTTTCCTGGTATAGGAGGTACAAGACCCGAAGTGGTTCTGAAGATAAACTTGATGACAGAAAGGAGGAACCTAAACCTGAAGAACCAGAACGCAAGGAATTGTTTGCCTCTCGTTTTTTTCACAGTGCTGTTTTTGAGCTGGACTCGAGACGACTTCAGCACCTGGAACGCAAACATGAAGAGCCTGAAAATAATAATCTAAGTCAAGTAGGATTACAAGATGGAGGGGATGGTGAAGTTGAGAGTGGGCCTGTTATACTCTTTCACAGTCGATTTTTGGAATTAACAAAACAGCAGCAGCAGAAGATTAAACCCCAGGAGGCAAAAGTCAAACCAGTCATTGAGGAAAATGAGACGCAAAATGTTACGAGTCAGGAGCCACAAATATCAATATCACAATTGCCTCAAACTGAAAATCCCCAGGAGACTGAAGTGAAACTCATTAGTCTTGTTGAAGAGGTGGCCCCAGAACCACAAGCCCCACCTGCCCCACCTGCCCCACCTACCCCCCAGCCTGAAGTCAAGTCTATGTCTCTAATAGCAGTCAAACCTGAACCTGTGACACTTGCCCCAGAGCCATGTCCCCCTGTGGTTTCAGTGAAGGAGGAGGCTAAAGAGGATGTTAAAGTAATTGAACATGACGCATTGCAGAAATTGACAACCAAAGTACAACCAAAATCAGAACCAACTCCTGAACCTCATATTCCACAAGAAAAATCTCACCCTTCTCCAGTTGAGGTGAAACTGGAAATAAAAGGGCACGTAGAAGCCTATGACAGTGATGCACAATCTTGTCGGTCATCTCCAGAAGAGACCATTGATGCAAGTGAGAGGAAATCTGAAATGATGTCTGATGTACCAGAAGTGAAAACCTCCCTTTCAGCAAGTCCAAAACATGAGCGTGAAATAGATGGGGACTCTCTTAACAAATCTGATGCAGACCCTGAAGAAGAGATTGGTAAAGAGCAACTACCATTACAAAATAATGCACATGAAGAGCAAGAATTACCTCAAAGAGAAAATAAACAAAAAGAAATGAAAAGTAAAAGATGTGTCCCGCCCCCTGTGGCAAATACTTCTTGTACAGTTCTGTCGCCCTCTAATTCTGATAAACAAGCTACTCGCAAAAGTGAGAGAATAGATCGGGAAAAAATTAAGCGTGGCTCATCTCCGAGAGGTGACGCAAAAACCACAGCTAAGTCGCCAGTTCACGGTTCAGATCCTGACGGACCAGACCAGGGATTGTCAGGGGGAAGGAGAAGTCGAAGGAAGGTCAGATCTGTTTATCTCAAACATGTTGAAGACGAACCTTTAGTTCGATCTGGGAAAGACATGACGGAATCACCACGTGCAGGCCGAAAACGTTTGACAGATAAAGAGGTGGTGACACAAAATCCAGAGCAAGAGCCCCCTGCTCCAGCACCTGTTAAAAGAGGCAGACCACCCAAAAATCGCAAACTAAGTGATGAAAATGCATCAATTAAGACTGAAAAATCTAAACCAGAAGCGAAAGACGCAGAGCCTTATGAATCCGAAAGTGGTGAACGAGCTCAAAGAGCATCCAAGGGCCGGAACTCCCCCAATGGCAGCAAAAGTCACATGTCTGTACTCTCTGCATATAGTTCTGGGAGGAAAGGGGATAGGGCTGAGGTGATTGATGACCAAGAAATGGACAATACTGATGAAGATACAGTGCCAGATTTATTCATGTCGAGTAAAGATGATGATGGAAAATATTTCTACAAAAAAGAGGAGAAGGAAAAGGAACAAATGGAAGCAGGAAAATTGAAGGAATCTCCATGTGAAGTAAATGACACCAAATCAAACAAAGAGGCAGAATCCATAGAGGAAAAACACAGTATAGACAAAGATCAGTCTAGCAAAGGAAAAACAAAATTGACAAAAGTTTCCAAGTCCCCTGTCTTAAAGAATCTTAAGATCAGGCTTCATGTTACTGAAGTGAAGGACCTTCTGCAATTAGGGGAAGATGAACTTGCAAGTCAAGATGACTCAAAAAAAGTCAAGGCAACAGATCCTTCAGAAATGTCAAAGGACGCATGTTGTGTTAAAGTTTTCCCCAAAGGTGAAGAAGCAGAACATTTTGAAACTAATAAAGAACCCCTGGAAGCAGCAAAAATACAGGAATTGGAGCAAGCAGTTGAGAATATTGCTAAACTGACGGAGCCAACTTTCCCTGCAACTGCAACATCTACAGAAAATAAAGGTGAACCTGAACCCGAAGTAGAAAAACCAATCCCTCCGAATGAGACTGAACTAATGGCAGCAATTGATTCCATTTCAGACCAAGATGCACCATTACCACAGCCTCCTCCAGCAAGTGCAGAAGCTGACTCAGAGCCTGAAATACAAGAAAATCCAACTGTCAAGGAGGGGGAAGCAGATTCAAATAACTTGCAAGAAGAACTTTTCCATCCATCTACACCCAGAAAGGGTGCCAAGAGAAGACCAAAGACGCCTAAACGCCCTAAAGGCCAAAAGCAAACCAAGAAAGATTTAAAGGAGGAAACTCCAAGTGAAGAGTTATCATCCGGTGAAAGTCCAGCTCCTGTTGTTAAGGTCCTTACTGAGAAGGCTCCACCTGCTGTCACAGCTGTTATTACACCAACATCGTGGACTCCAGCGCTGGAACCCGCTGTGGTAAAATCCATTGATGTCAAAGCTGACATAGAAAGGCCTCCTGAAGACCATGGGCCATCCCCAAAATCTGTTTTTCCACAACCCAGTAGTCCAGTGTGCCCTAAACCCCAGCACACTCAACCGGAGTGTGCCGCAACCTCCCCGTCATTTTCAAATCCGACTAATATTAGACCTCAAGCTATTAGACCATCTTCTTCACCTGATTGGCCTCCACCCAAAGATACCAGTTGCACCTCTGTGCCTTCCATCTCAATACCTACAAGGGATCCATCTCTTCCTCATGAAGCCGACAGAGTGGAAACTGAACACCCTTCAAGTGACCTCAGAAAAATGTTGATGCAACACAAAAATATGTCTTTGTTCGGTGGTCTGACTCCAGCAGCTCCTCTTGCACACAGTAATCAGAATACAGCTGACGGTCATCATCTACCCACTTTGCCAAATAAGTCACCACTGCCTGAAAGCAGGTTAGTAGCTCATCCAGTTCCACCCATTGTTCGACCACCAGCCTCTTTACCTTCCCCGGAAACAAAGACTGTGATCTCAGTAATTGCATCAACCGCCACATCCGTAATAAGTCGTGTCTGCAACACCCCAGAGAATGAAGATAAGCTGAATAACCCTTGCATTGACATGAGTTTACCCAAACCAGCATATAGACAAGGTAAAGAAGACCTTGGACCATACCACGGCCAGTCAGGGGATGATGTGGGCAGTGCACGCTTCATTATTGACAGTCCTGCTCCCACCTCAGGATCCTGTCCTGGTCTAAGAGTTAATACATCTGAAGGTGTAGTTCTTTTGAGTCACTCAATGCAGAAACTGGAGGGACCCCAACGAATAAGTGCAAAGATAAGTCAGATCCCACAAGCCAGTGCTGGGGATATGGAATCTCAACAGCTTGTGTCAATGCCTCAGATCAAGCAGGACATGTATGGTCACCCACAGTCTGGGCACCAAAAGGGGCCTACACAGAGTGATCATGGTCATACTGTGAAGTCTATGAAACACGATGTGAACATGGATAAAATTGAGTCCTCGTATCAGCCTGGACTCCAGGGAGTAGTGAAGCGCATTCCATCAAATATGGGGAGTCAACAAATTATGAGTTACCATCAAGATTACTTATCACTGAAGCATCCAAAGAAAATGGACTCTGGTGACCCTCATAGTTCAGATACATTGAAACCATCTTGGACGTCTGCCATTAGTCCTGCTATTAGCCCTCACCTGCCTTCCCCTCCTGGAAACCATGTTAGCTTTGTTACAGGATCAGACAGAGCACCACCACACCTTCAAGGAGTTAAACAGGAGCCACGATCACCACGCAAACCTGGTCATTCTCAGTCTCCTTTTGCAAAAGTCTCGTCACCCATTGGCTCTTCATCTCCAAAAGGTATCCCAGTTATGTTGCCAACCAACCTTCCCGCCATGCAACCATATATGAGCGGAGTCCACCATTCAATCGGAGAGCAGTCAGTCATCATGCCCACCCACTCGGGTGGTTTAGGCCGCATGTCTCCTCATAGAGTTAACCAGTCAATTCCAGTCGGCCATCTTGTGCAGGGTGATGTCCGTGTGAACACTCCACCCGTCTCTGTTATGAGTTATGGGATGCATGGCGACCCTCACACCTCTCCTTGGTCTGGAGCAATGCAGACACGCCCAACTTCACCTCAGACCGTTAATCGAGACAAGGTTTTAAAGGTAAACTCTGGTGCTTTACGGAATCATGAAGCAGAACAAGAAGAAGCCAGGCGCTTCCATCAGGGGCCAGCTCGACAGTCGGCCCCTCTCAAACCAGAATCCATGCCCATACGCAGTGCTATGGAACAGTATATGGGACAAAGAGACATTCGGCTCCTCATGCACCCACAGGGAGATCGTCCTGCTGCTGATCCCCATGCTGCACTCCTTCAAGATCCCATCCTCCCAGCTTCAACAGCCCCAAGTTTACAGATGTCTATGTCTCCAAGGCAACCTCATCTTTTATCTAAAGGCCTCTCTGAAAAGGAGCTTACAAAACAACTTGAAGCAAAGAGACCAAACTCTCCTCTTCTTAAAGATGGAATTATCACAATCAGGCAGTCAGCGATCGGATCTCCACAGAGGGTGCCAATGATGCCCCCAGGGCCCAGTGGCAACTTTCCAGAGTACCAAGGGCTGTACTCTACTAGAGGCATGCACCAACCAATGCCCGAAGTATCCCCTGTGGGTCTCCCGCAGCCACATCCTCCTCCAACATTAATGGTGAGTGAAAATGTATGCATTATTTAAACTTGCCTTTTGTTTTTTTACATTTGTAATTAATTATGTCTACTTTAACAGGGTACTGAGCTACAGCCAAAACCAGAGAGTAAAATTTCTCAGCCCATGGTGCAGTTGCTCAATGTAAGATTTGTTCATCTTTGACTTTTTTTGTTTTCCTAATTTTTCTCTAAAAGTAATTTCCATCTGTCAAAACAGAAATATCCTATTGTGTGGCAAGGCCTGTTAGCTCTAAAGAATGACACTGCAGCAGTCCAGCTGCATTTTGTGTGTGGTAATAAAGTTTTGGCCCAACGATCACTGCCATTACAAGAAGGGGGTGCTCTGCTCCGGATTGTACAGAGAATGAGACTCGAGGCATCACAATTAGAGAGTGTAGCCAGAAGGATGACGGTATGTGTGTGACATGAGTTAATGATTGTCTCACAGACCTTATTACATCATCTAACTATCCTTGATTTTCTCTTAGGGGGATAGTGATTTCTGTCTTCTTCTGGCTCTACCATGTGGACGAGATCAGGAAGATGTTCTAAATCAGACTCAAGCCCTGAAGTCTGCTTTCATTAACTACTTGCAGTCTAAATTGGCTGCTGGGATTATTAATATTCCTAACCCAGGCTCCAATCAGGTTAGATTTCTTTAACTACCATAACTTGCATGGATTAAATACTGTATTTTAATGTATTCTATTTGCCCTTTCTCTCTAGCCTGCCTTTGTCCTGCAAATTTTCCCTCCATGTGAGTTTTCAGAAAGCCACTTGTCGCAGCTAGCCCCCGATCTTCTGAACCGGATTTCCACCATTTCTCCACACCTTATGATTGTGATCACCTCTGTGTAACCTTCATTTTCTGGGAACTCCTCCTTGGAATGGGAAATCACACCATGAACCTCAGGACAACAGAGGAAAACATTTTTAGTTTTGATACTATGAGATTTGTTTGTTGCAGAAAAGAACCTGCCTTTTCTTCAGTCCCTCATCTTATGTCTGGTATTTTTGTCCTTCTCAAATTACTCAGGGATGGACCAAACCAGAATCAGTCTTATTTGACCATTACTCTGCTGTATTTCTATTTATTAAGTTTAATTTTAATGTTTGGAAAAACTCTGAAGGAAAAAAAGCTGGATGGCCGAAGACTTCTGAGTGGCCTTTTCTTTGTTTCTTTCAGTGATATCTTTGCCCCCTTCATAGTAGAAGATCAGATGAGCTGATATTGTGTTGAGAAAGACATTTCAATACATTTTTTTTAAAGAACTCATTCTGTACGTCTCAACAAGACTTCACTAGAATAACCCTGGACGATTAGAATTTTTTCTTCCACCAGCTCATCATGTCTCACTACTGACACCTGCCTTTCATTCAACACATTACGTCACATTTGGGATTTTTTGAATACAGGACATGTAAATATTTTAAATATTTAAACTTTGGGAATGGACAATTTGACAGACTTGAACTCTGGGTGAACCAGAAAAGTGTGAAATGTAGATGGATAATGATTTTTGGGTGTAAATATTGTAACACAAGAAGGTTGGCACGCTCTCCTGGAGTCTGCTGATGGCACTTCATATTTTGTAACTGAAATAAAACAAAATTCAGAAACTTGTGAAATGAATACACAATCCTATTTTTTTACTTAGTGCTATTTTTTACTGTATTTATGTCAGAAGTGTTTTTGTTTTACCCCACCCGACAGCAACGATAGACTTCAGGTGGGTCTTCAACTTATTTTATTGTTATGTCAGAATAATGGGAGGAAACTTTCATCACATAATTAAGAGGGTCAGAAATGTACAGGTAGTACTTGGTAGAATTGCCTTTAAAAGCCTTGTGTTGTCCTTGTGTCAAAATGCTTCACTGTGATCACAGGTCAACATAATGCCCTAAATCTTTTTCTTTTTTTCCAAAAAGTGCAAGGTATTTCTAATCATTTTTTTATTTCACATTATTTTGACCATTTAGGTGATATTGGATAATTACCCAAGGAACACTAACATGCCATAGCACACTGGCTGACAACCATTTTAGATACAAAGTTAGGCTATTTTTCTTCTTTTAATCATTTTGGTGGGACATTTTGACCCAAGTCAGCATAAGTTACAGTTTGACTGAAATTTGTTTGCCTGCTCCAGAAAGAACACATGTAACTGAGTCAGGTTAGTGGGCCTTACCTGCATATCAGGTGGTGTCTGTGCCGGACTCGTATCACTGTGGAAATGTATAAGTTGTGGTTTTATTTTTTTTCTCATATGACCACTTTCCACACTTTAAAATGTTTATAGGAGACACAGAAGGTCCTTCATGAGCGATATGATGGTTCTGTTGTCCCATTTTGTATGTATTTTACACAGAAGGTTCTACTTTGATTATATAAATCAAAGTTTTTCCACACTTTGATATATAAACATGACTTCAACTGTATAACTACCTTGTAAAGTAGTGATAGATTAGCCATACTTGATAAGGGTTAGCTTCCCCTAACAAACTAGCAATTGGCAAAACTCTACTGCCATTGCATTACATAGCCCTGGCTGTGTCCCAAGTCTTTTTATACAACCCTTTTCATCATTTGTTTTTCTCTTTGCCACAAGAGAGCGAGTGGATGGCAAACATTAAATAAAATTTCATTCTACCAGATCGCACCAGAATATTTAGGAATTATTTTTTGAGGCTACAGATATAAGAATTTATTTGCCATTTGCAGTAAAACCACCTTGGAAAAATTGTGTACACTAGACAGCACACACCCGAGCTCTTGCCACGGTGCCAGTTTCCGGCATCTGGTCATGACCATTCCTGTTTGAAAACACATAACTTGACTAATGAATATGAATATGAATGTATACAGTATGTGGGAGATTTTCAACGTATTTTTCAACCTTTTGTACACTGCACAGGTTTGTAGATGTTGCTCACTCTGCAACCAGCCCGTCTCTGAGATGATTTTGTTATTTCAAATCTGTGTATTTTTCGTCCAATGGTTTTTTCAAATTAAAATCGAAAATGAAAAATGAAAAATACACGGACCGCCTGCACACATTTTTGATTGTAGAAGAAATGGCCTTCATTGGTTCTGTATATGAACCTTTTTTATACTCCTACACATTCAATTCATACTCTGCAATGAGCATTCTGTAGATCAATGTAGGTCTAAATCCAGCTTGACAATCAGTACATTTTGCTTTTCAATACACCCAGTTTTTGACAATATAATTTATACCGTGTGGAGCCTGGCATTCAAAGATCCCCACAGGCAGGCGACGAATCTTAGGCAACGGGTTATCAGAAATACAGTTTGAAAAGGAGTTAGACGTTCATTATTTATTCATTATCAGTGAGATTAGTTAAGATATTATTCATGAACAATTCAGTTAGAGAAGTAAATGGCATGCTCTTTTAATCCAAGTGATCTTTCTATCTGTAACCCCAAAATGTATTTTGTTGAGCTTTTTTATTTTGTATCATTAATAACAACCTTGACTGGGACACTACTTTAATGATTTCTATAAAGAATAATTATTGTATATTTTTAGATTTAGTGTCAATTTATAAATAATAAACAGTGTTCATTTCCATATACCCTGAATATATAATACTAGTCACATCAGCATAAAGTTGACTTGAAATGTAATACATTTTTGATATATTGCATATTTCATTGCTAAATTTGCTAATCTCCTTATATCACAGCCTTCCAAGAAATGTCATTGACATCACTCTTTATTTGTGCAAGATTGTTAAACAAAGTCCAAATACATGCACATTTATAAATATCATTAACTTTAAATCATGTTAAAAATGTTGCTGAGGTGTAAAGGGAGACATAATACTATATGGTACTAAAACAGGGGTGTCCAAACTATTGCCCAGGATTAGATCAGATGAATACTGTGATTTATTCATGCCAAACAAGATGACAGATGACAATGATATTCCATTGTTTTCATTATTCACTATTCAATATTGTTATTGAATAGTGAATAATGTTGAACTCGATCTGTGACCCCTGGTCATATAACTGCGTTGAGTTGCATTTTCAATGTTTAAATTATATTTCAAACCATCTTAGTGGTAGTAGTGGTTCTACAGAGAACAAAACACTATAGGCCTTAATTTCTTAAGTCTACGGCACATCCAAACAGGGCCATTCTCTGATCCTCGTACTGGGAAATATTCCTCTTCATGATGTCCATACAGGGGCCCAGCAGGCGCTCGAACGCCTGGATGTCAATGACTGAAACACAAAGATTTATTATTCAGAAACAACATGTAACACTGATATAAACTCACCCAAACACTTTGTCTCCCCAGCAGCGTACACAGAGGCAGCCCTGGGTTTGTTTGTGACGAGGGCAAGTTCTCCAAAATACTGCCCCCGAGTGCAACGAGCCACTTCCACTTCAGAGTTCTCCACTTGGTCTGTCTTTTTCTGTTATCATTTTAATAATTTGAAGACTGTTACAATGGACAGGTTAAAATAACGGCAGAAAACATGTAACCTACAAGGCTCTTAATCATAATCTTCACTTCTCCTGATTCAACAATGTAAAAGCAGTCGGCTTTGTCCCCCTGGAAAACAAGCATACATATCTGAGTAATCAATTGGAGAGTGTGGAGGCACATGTGTTGCTCGTGTCATAGAATTGGAAAAAGTAAATGTGTCAAGTTAATAAGAAAATAAAAACTGCTTAGTCTTGGTTTAGACCGAGCTGGTAGTAATCCAATCTAAACTTAGCTCATTCATAAGAAAACACAACCTCTTTGATGATGCAGTGTCCATCTTTGAAAACACGGATCCCCAGAACATCCACGATCTTCATTCTTTCAGAAATCTGTCCAAAAGGAGAACAAGCATCAGTAAGACGGGTTTAAACGTCAGAGGAGCTGCTTGTGGAGCACAGACCTCCAGAGACTTGAGGAGTGGAACGCATTCGATAAAAGCTTCGTACATTTTCCTTTTTTTAGCGTTGTTCTTCACAATGAGCCTGTGAAATGTGGCTCTATCCTGGAGGAAACACAAGGTATTGACTCTGGGCATCAGCAGGAGTCAGATATTATCCCATCCTTTATCGTCAACACTTCACAATTATATCATTATCATCCAACTTTTATTACAGATTCATGGTCCAGGATTCCATCATGTATCATCATTTATCATTATCATCATGGAAATGTGAAAGAGTCAGGGCAAGATTAAATCAAAACTTGAGAGGACACATGTACACGCACACACACATAGACATACACGCACACACACAGACACATACACATACACGCACACACACAGACACATACACAGACACGCACACACATAGACACACAGGCAAATACACGCACAAACATAGACAACACACACACAGACACATGCACAAGCACACACATAGACACACGCACACACACTTAGACATACACACACACACAGACACAGACACAAGCACACACATAGACACACGCACACACACTTAGACATACACACACACACACAGACACAGATACATACACACACACACATAGACACACGCACACACACATAGACATACACGCACACACACAGACACAGACACATGCACGCACACACATAGACACACAGGCAAATATACGCACAAACAGACAACACACACACAGACACATGCACAAGCACACACATAGACATATACAAGCACACACATAGACACACGCACACACACTTAGACATACACGCACACACACAGACACAGACACATACGCACACACACATAGACATACACGCACACACACAGACACAGACACATTCACGCACACACATAGACACACGCACACACACACATAGACACACAGGCAAATACACGCACAAACATAGACAACACACACACAGACACATGCACAAGCACACACATAGACACACGCACACACACTTAGACATACACACACACACAGACACATACACGCACACACATAGACACACGCACACACACATAGACATACACGCACACACACAGACACAGACACATGCACGCACACACATAGACACACAGGCAAATACACGCACAAACATAGACAACACACACACAGACACCTGCACAAGCACACACATAGACACACGCACACACACTTAGACATACACACACACACACAGACACATACACGCACACACATAGACACACGCACACACACTTAGACATACACACACACACACAGACACAGACACATGCACGCACACACATAGACACACAGGCAAATACACGCACAAACAGACAACACACACACAGACTCATGCACAAGCACACACATAGACACACGCACACACACTTAGACATACACACACACACACAGACACATACACGCACATACATAGACACACGCACACACACATAGACATACACGCACACACACAGACACAGACACATGCACGCACACACATAGACACACAGGCAAATACACGCACAAACATAGACAACACACACACAGACACATGCACAAGCACACACATAGACACACGCACACACACTTAGACATACACACACACACACAGACACAGACACGCACACACATAGACACACGCACACACACTTAGACATACACACACAGACACAGACACATACACGCACACACATAGACACACGCACAGACACAGACACATGCACGCACACACATAGACACACAGGCAAATACACGCACAAACAGACAACACACACACAGACACAGACACATGCACGCACACACATAGACACACAGGCAAATACACGCACAAACATAGACAACACACACACAGACACATGCACAAGCACACACATAGACACACGCACACACACTTAGACATACACACACACACACAGACACAGACACATTCACGCACACACATAGACACATGCACGCACACACATAGACACACAGGCAAATACACGCAAAAACATGCACAAGCACACACATAGACATACACAAGCACACACATAGACACACGCACACACAGACACATACACGCACACACACTTAGACATACACGCACACACACAGACACAGACACATACACGCACACACATAGACACACACACACAGACACAGACACATTCACGCACACACACGCACACACATAGACACACACGCACACACACAGACACATACACATACACGCACACACATAGACACACGCACACACACATAGACATACACGCACACACATAGACACACAGACAAATACACGCACAAACATAGACAACACACACATAGACATACACAAGCACACACATAGACACACGCACACACAGACACATACACGCACACACACTTAGACATACACGCACACACACAGACACAGACACATAAACGCACACACATAGACACACAGACAAATACACGCACAAACATAGACAACACACACGCACACACACATAGACAGACACATAGACACACTACAGTCGATGAGACACGCGTGCACACATACGCACGCACATACATAAACACGCATGCACACATACACACGCACAAGACACACAGACAAATACACGCACACACATACACGTACACGCACACACGCACACGCACTCACGCACACATTTAAGAGCACGTCATTCCCACACTCACCAGAGCCCACAGCGCCCCCTCCTGTGTGGCCACGATAGTCGCAGCTCGGGGGGTGTTGTACATCAGAGCCAGCTCTCCAAAACTGCCCTTGTTGTTATACTTTCCCACGCACAAATCTTTACCTCCATTTTTCACAAATATGTCATAGATGCCCCTGAAACGCAGCTACGGCGTTACTGCTGAACTATGATGTGACAAAAATGAATTAAAATGTTTCCAGCTCACTGCTCTATCACATAAAAGTTGTCTCCGTCATCTCCCTGGTCTATGATGTGCTCGTCTGGTTTGACCTGGACCTCAAACATGGCGTCCAATACCTCAGAAAACTGCTCCTGAAGAAAGAGAGTCCAAATGTCAAATGAGAAACTTTATTAGTGGAGGAATAGATACACCATCATTTTGCATAAAGCTGGGTTGAGGCAAGGCAAGTTTATTTGTATAGCACAATTCATACAGAAGGCAACTCAAAGTGCTGAACGAAACAAGATAATCACAAAAATAATCACAGAACATTAAAAAGAAAGATGAAAATATAAAATCCCTCAGTTGTATGCACAGCTAAACAGAACTGTTTTCAACCTTGTTTTGAACATTGTCAGAGAGGAGGCCTGTCTCACTCTTTCAGGAAGACTGTTCCAGATTTTAGCAGCATGAATCTGAAAAGCAGCCTCCCCATGTTTAGTTCTGACTCTGGACACTAACAGGAGTCCAGTCCCTGTGCTCCTCAGAGTCCGGGCTGGTTCATATGGGACTAACATGTCACTAATATATTTTGGTACGAGGCCATGGAGAGACTTGTACACAAGCAGAGCTGTTTTAAAGTCTATTCTCTGAGCCACAGGAAGCTAGTGCAGGGACCTGAGGACCGGACTAATGTGGTCGTACTTCCTGGTTCTAGTCAGGACTCGAGCTGCTGCATTTTGAATGTACTGCAGCTGTTTTACAGCCTGTTTGGACAGACCTGTGAGCAGGCCATTGCAGTAGTCTAACCTACTGGAGACAAATTCATGGATAAGAATCCAAGTCTGCTTTAGACACTATGTTTTTGATCCTGGCGATGTTTTTTAGATGGTAAAAAGCTGCTGATGTTACTGATTTGATGTGGCTATTAAAATTTAAGTCTGAGTCCAGTATTACCCCTAGATTTCTGACCTTGTTTGAAGGTTTTAGGGAGAGAGACTGTAGGTGACAGATGACGCTCTCTCTTTGTTTCTGGGGACCAAAGACAATCATTTCAGTTTTGTCTGCGTTTAGCTGAAGGAAGTTGTTTTGCATCCACTCACTGATCTGTTGGATACAGTGAAGGAGTGAGTCCACTGCTCCATGTTCTCCTGCAGTCAGTGAGACATAGATCTGAGTGTCGTCTGCGTAGTTATGATAGGACACTTCGTTTCTGCGTATCAACTGACCTAACGGCAGCATGTAGAGATTGAACAGAAGAGGTCCCAGGATCGACCCCTGTGGTACTCCACAGGTCAGGGCCATATGATCTGAGACACAGTTTCCAATCTCCACAAAGTACTTCCTGTCTTCAAGGTAAGACCTAAACCAACTTAGGGCGGTGCCAGCGACGCCAACCCAGTCCTCTAATCTCTGTAAGAGGATCTCATGGTCGACAGTATCAAAGGCAGCACTCAGATCTAACAGGATTAGGATTGAGACTTACCTAACTTTCAAACAACAAAATGGAACTTTGTAATAAATACCATGTAACTAGTTCCTCATTTGGTTCTATTGCTAGTTTTCACATTTTTAGATCAACTTTTACAGCAAGAAAATTAGGAATCAACTCTCAGCCCCAAGAGTCAAATAGTGCCTCACGAGGCTTTCATACAAAACATGCAAAAGACAATATGTTTTAAGATGAAGAAAGAAGGTTGTTTGAACATGTCAACAACATTCATTAAAAATAAAAACCATCTATCAAGTTTCTCGCTCTATCACTGGTGAAAACAAAAATCCTAATCATAACTGTTTCATATACAAGACTCCAATGAGACAAGCAAAATGTCTTATTTATGATAAATAAAGTTGGGAAATGCAGCTGAAATGTGATAAAAGAATAACACACTAAGATAATAACCCACACAAACTTCAGGATGATGATGTTTGAGTGTGTGACAGTGATTAAACAATGTGTGTGGTTTGTCCTGACCTGCTCCAGGGTCTTGAACAGGAGGATGTCCCGACACGCCTCCTGCAGCCTGCGTCTCTGCACGTCTGTTTTGGGATGAACCACACGAGGCTCTGAGTCGTCCTCCTCGTCATCATCAGGGTTATACGCCTCCGCGCAAACTACAACACACAACCCACTCAGAAAAGCCTGTGGTGAAGTCCTCAACTTTAGGGGCAAAAAACCTACAAATATATTCTATCAACCAGACATCTACTTGTCTCTCTGTATCTACTTGCGTCTCTGATAATAATATTTAATCCACTGTGTGGCATAAAGATTCAAGAATTTGTTGCCATTTGCAGTAAAACCACATTGGAAAAACTGTGCAAGGCTCCCTCATTGTGCACCAGAGCACACACCTCCTCCGCGGAGGAGCAGCAGCTCTGTTTCTTACCCTTACCTCTCTAACCAAGATACATTTAGTTAATTTTGAATTCCTGAAACCATCTAGCATAAAGTACGTTCTAAACCCAATTGTCATTTGTTGCAGCTCTTGTCTTTTAAATTGCACTTTTATAACAATAAAGTATTTACAATTCAGTATAAACAGAACAAAATTCTGCATGTCCAAATGTAGAAGTGCCTGGCTGGTAGTATTGTTTACTGCAACATTTTACGGATTAATTGCAGATTACAAAGGACTACAATATGACAATAACACTGTGACATAAAACATTGACTCATTCAGTCATTGTAAACAATCATTGGACCATAAACACACATGACTTTGGCTCTGTAGATTGCAGTTCACTGAATGAAATCACCAGGAAAAATCAGCCCACCATCAGATCAATATCAAACCACTGTTGCACTGTGTCCTCTTCAAACAGACTTCTGAAATACCATCACATCATGTGCTTACCTGACACTCTGCGGTTGTATTTTCCGGTTGTGCACTCTGCAGAGAAATGACATTGTCCTAGTCAGACACATTATTTGAGAAAGCTGATTTATGACCTCACAGCTGCTCTTACTGTCTGTGCTTTCCTCCTCCTCCTCCTCCTCTTCTTCCTCTTTAGCTTGGTCCGATTTGGGCTCAAAAGTCACGCCTTTCTTGGCTGACCTGAAGCTGAGTTTCTTGGGTTGTTGGTTGTTTTTCGTCTCCAAAATGCTGCTGAAATGTTGCACAGCGAACTCCACCAGATTGTCCGGTTTGTGGCGCAGGACGTCCACAGTGAAGGCTTGCAGCAGCTCCTTCAGACCTGGTGGAATCTCTGCTGCATTAGTCATTGTGTAAACAAGAAGAACTGAGGCCTACTATGAACCAAAGGATGAAAACTGGCTGCTCAAACAATCATATCTAACATCACTTCTACTGGAGCATCGCTGGAGCTGTGACGCTTGTCCCACTGTCACGTCGAACACTATTGATCATTTATTTGGCTCGGTCAGTTGGAAAATATTGACTCTCTCGGCTCCAAAGATGTAATCAAATGTTGTCATGAACTATAAACCAGTGATATGACCAAAAATGTACATTGTGTTTGTCTCAAAGAGGGAACATTTCAGGGTTTCAGTACAGTAATAACAGAAAGTGTAGGACAGGAGAATGTAATATACAGTAAATGTATTTATGTAGACTAGATCCCATGTTCCCATTTGCACAGCTCTACCTTCATATGCTCTGAAAGGTATTTTAAGTTTAAGATTAGATAAACTTTATTCATCTCACAATGTGAACATTTCTAAATGTTATAGTCATAGTTTAACTTAATTTCCTTTAGTAACTTTACAGCTCACTCAAGTTTCTTCTTATCAATAGTTTTTGGTAAAATAGACCCACATGGGAAATCCCATCGGCTGAGACTGAACGATGACAGTTCTGGAGACGTGAACGGTCAAAACCTACTCATGCAGTTGTTTGACGAGAAGAAACTACCAGAATAATTGATGCTGACATCTGCAGTTTTGGAAATGTGGCCATGTGCTGTGGCCATACCTGCATGTGAAAGCCAGTTCTCATCAGCAAGGCACGGCCTGGTTAATACTGTGATGGGAGACCTTTGTAAACACTAGGTTACACAGTGGGGAGGTTTCAGATGTAAAGTCCAAACTGTCGTTGTTCCCTTATGCAAGACACTTGTCTCCTGTATTACCCGAGTCTAGAGTGTAAATGGTTGATGTTCATAGGGGCCAACGATACATACAAGATGCCTTGCTTCTGTAGTGTGCCCCAGGGCAGCTATGGCTACAGGACTATGTATAATACTGATGCATTATTAAAAAAGGTCCCATTTTTCATTCATGTTTCACAGCCCTCCCCAAGCGCATGTGACAACACACAACACCTTTGAAATTGTTACCATTTCTTTTGTAGAGGTGATATAATCAGTTAATTTACTTTCACAAATGGTCAAGTGTCTAATTGTGAGGATAATTAAAACACATAAAAACTGCAGCTTGGTTCTTAGATAATTTATTCCTGCATATTTTTACACTGTAAAATAATAAACATTTTTAAGTCATAAGGTAATGAGTGACCAGGTTGTATTGCTGTTGCTTGGAGTCAAAAGACAAATTGCACCTTTTATCTGGTAAGGCGCTGAAAAGGTAAGGCACAGTACGCCGAGACCAGTCCATATAAAAACAGCTTAAGATCAAGACAAAACAATTAAAAGCAACTATTGACATTCGAGCATCCATCAGTGAAGACACACCAAGCAGGGCTAAAACAACCATGTTACATGATCAAGTTTACAATAAATTATTAAAATCACTCCCTAATTTCTGTGTTGGGTTTTATTTTCATAGAGTCCTGGATTTGTCAGTGAAGAGCGAAAATCCATAATCACAGATTTGGCGCCAACCAATTTAGGAACTTCATGGCCATTTCAAAACCTAAGAAGCAAGCCTGAAAAGGGAAAAGAACATGAGAAATGATTTATTATTATCATTTTCATAAATAAACCCTATTCGAGAATCAAATTAGTTTTCATTGTGAATAGATAAGTCTACAAATACTTATGGAAGACTTAAAAAAATTCTAAAATAAAGATAAAAAGAGGTTAAACAATCAAAAATACTTGGTGCTCTACAAGGACCAGGCCAAGTAATACAACAAAAGAACATCCTTTTACAACACCCGTATTATTGCATGTGCTGTGAAGTGAACTCACAGCGTTTGCAGGAAAAGCTCTCAGCATCACTGCATTGAAGCCTTTATACAGAGAGCCGATCCCCTCTTCTCGGATCAGCTCACGTAGAACGTCCCGGAAGCCATTGGGGTACTTCCCTTCAGGAGCTGTGTGAACAGTCAGGATAAAGCGTGAAAAGTCCACAAGGGTAAACTACATTTCCAAGATTAACTTTTATTTGCATAAAGTATTACATTGAAACGGCATGTTCCAAAGATGGACACAGACACCAATGGAAATGTTAATACACTAATGGTTTACATCTTATTGATAGTTTCAAATGCAGAGAAATGTATGACTACTCTTTATAAACTACAATCTAATAAAATCATAATTGCACCTACAGCTAAAAGCAAATATTCCAAAAAGTGTTTCTAATGTACAATTTCATTCCAAAGGAATATACAATGGTATACAAAACAAACCAAACAATCACAAATGCTGTAAGAACCTGTTTGGAAGCGTGACTTGAGGACATCCGGGGGAATGGCCACTGCCCAGTTAAAGATCCCTGCCATCCCTCCAGCAAACAGGACACTGGGAATACTCAGGTCACTAGGGCTGTGAAAAAACGTTCCGACTTAAGATAAAAATAAATACCTGTAAAAGTAATCCCTACTTTTATTTATAAAAACACTTGCCTTCTTCCTGGAGGTGTGAGGAGGTTTTTGAGCCACTCATAAGACATAAAGTACATGCCACTGGCTGGTACGTCTAAACAAAAACAAGAAAGTGTAAGTGACAAAGCAAAGATTATGACAAGAGACACAGATTACTTAGGTCAGTGTTGAGGAGTCAAAACTATCAGAAATCAGAGATGGGGGTATTTTTCTGACAAGTTCCAGTCTTTCAACCAAACCATATTCTTTCTGTTTGTGACAGCTGGCATCACTCATCTTGTCATTATACTTTCCAGACCAATCAATAACATTCACACAGACACAAGCAGGAGCCAAATAAAACATTAAAACACATATCAGACCTCTCATTAGAGTCAGAGCTGTGCCTTTGTAGATGCCTCTGATGCCAGATTCTTTGTACAGCTGTTTGACACAGTCCATTGGCCCATTGTATTTCACTGGTTGACCACTGGCTGCTTGTATCTACAGACACAACACAATTGATATAATCAAAGATAAGATAGACTGGTCTCACACAGGAGAAATGTACATGTCACATCTGGCATGGATAGAATCACTCAAGATTTGTGCAAAGAAAGAAGTGTGCAAACATGATAAATGCTGGATATATTATGTACAATAAAAATAAAAATAAATCACATTAAATTAAAATGGCAAGTTCTCTTAAAGACCTTATGACGGGTTTGATTTATTTAGAAATACAGTTTTAATACCATTTTATATTAGAAGAGAACTACTAAAGGTTTCAAAATCAGTTGTTGTTTTTTTTGTCTGATCCCCCCAAATCAAAATAACCCCATAGCAACGCCCTTAGAGACGAAAAAACTTCACAGCCCTTGGTGACGTCAGAACGGGTACGTTTCAACGCTGTAAGTTGTTTACAATTTGGTATTCGTTCTTTTTTGACAAGGCCGTGTACAGCGAGTGTGAGATAAGTACTAGAATGTGTCAATTCGTTGTCACTGAGATAGTCCAGTGGTTGTGTCAATAGATTGCCAATCCAGATACTGGGGTTCAAATCCCACCTAGGACAGTTTTTCACACTCAAAACGGCAATTTATGTGTAGTGAGCAATTGTCACCTGTAGAGGGCAGTATTGTGTTGGGCATCAGTGGAGAGAAGAGAGAAAAGGCAGTCCTGTGGCATAGATCCATGGTTTTCAATGCATGGGCGTAACCCGCTATGACGTCACACACAGGTTAGAGCATAGACAACTTAAATTCATGAAAAACACGTTCTTTTTATAAAATATAGGATTTTTTTTGCCGGAATCTCTTTCAAATTGACATTGTCATGCTATTTTGATATCCACTATTTTTTTTTTTAAAACCCGTCATAAGGTCTTTAAGAAGAAAACTACACAGACCTGTAGTAGACATTTGATCCGCTCTCCTGGTGCCATGATTGCTGTGGTGAAAATGCCAGACAACATCCCAGCAGCAAATAACTGTGGATACCTGGGAAATTTATACAAGACCAAAACTTAGGAGACTAGTTATAAACATATTATCACAACTACAGGAAGCACAATCACCTACGTAAGGATATCATCAGGGGTTTTTTGCTGCAGTTTCTTTCCCAAACCAAATCCAAAAAAGCAAACTGCGAACATAGGCGTGACGCCAATGATTGGGGCAGCCATGCCTTTATAAAGTCCTTTAACTCCCTGCAAAGCAATGCACACATGTTAGAGAGTTAAAGATTATAATGTTGTTTTATGAGTAATGTATTCATTTTAGTTTTAACCTCTTTAGCCAATGTCTTTTTGAAACAATCTATTGTCCCGGCATACACAAGGCTCTCTCCAGGTTTGGGCTTTGGCTGAGTCTGTAAACGCACCTTTAAATAAACAAAAACAAAGATCACAGTATTTGCATTAACAAACAAAATCTTAATATGACAATCATAGAAGATTTGAACTCTCACAGTTAAACACATTTGAACTGAGAAGAAAATATAGGAATATCTTGTAAGTCCTGGTTAAATAAATTGGTATAATAAAAAGTAAAGAAGACAATTGGTGCGGATGTATCTTAACAACAGTAGTAAAAGTATTTGCACCACTATATTTGAATAACTGGTTGAATTCATATTTTTTTTTATCACTTCACCATGTATTCACTACCTGATTGAGCAAGCAGCAATTAGCCAAAAGACATATGGACTGGCTGCTGGGGGCCAAAGGGAGCCTGTACTTAACTTTATTGATTGCTAATAAGTGACTAATGTAACCAATGTCCTATAAGCTTCTTTGCATGTCTTGAGAGGACGGCATGACAAAAGTTGACAGTTTCTTCTATAGAATTTTTATTTTTTCTATTTTTGGAATCTAAAAAAAACAAATGTGTTACTTTGATCGTGTCAAGGGGATGTCCAGCAACGACGAGACAGATCCCTCCAAAGCCCCCAGCGAAGAAGTTCTTCAAGGGGCTGATTGGCTGCGGCTGCTTGGACATGTTTGCTACGGAAACATCGCAGAACAACCAAAGGCAACGGAACATAATCAATAACATGAATCACACAACGGCATTAGTCAAAACAATGCACATTACTGCTCTGAGAGAATGAAAGCTGCATGTACCGAGTGTGTATGTCTTCTCTTCAGAGGGATTTGCGATCTGCCAGCATTCAGGACTGGACTCTGCAAGCACCTTTCACCCACATCTGAGCCGGAGCTGTTTCACTGTAACACCACAGTGCAGGACGGTCCGCGATCTTTATTGTCCGGGCGGAAACACGAGTATCAAAGTTCAAGACGACCTTCCAGATTATTATTTTAGAAATAGTTATACTTATTATTAATACATTAATATTATCTTATTTCATTTCAATATTGGTTGAGTTTGTTTGGTTTTTCCTTTCTGTGTCTGTGCCACATTTGGTTTTCTGGCATATATGTCGTGTGTTTTTATTGTTATAATTTTTATACAGTATGTTTTCATATTTATTCATTGTTAGAAACTTCGAAGTTAAAATATAGCTTTATTAGTTTATTATTACACTGTTGCAGCGCTTATGCAGACAATATATTCATTGAAAGTAGACAATTCTCTCACATTGTAAACTATTATACAATTGACAAATAAAATGTAACATCTTGAAATAATTAGTGGATTATTTCTGTTCTTTTAAAACAAATAACACAGGACAATAAGTTAAGATATTTAGATGAAATGATGTGAATAATTAGGATATGGTACATTTGGCTGTTCACCTACCTAAAATATGCTCCAAGAAAGAGAACCTCCCATGTTAAATTTTATGACAAAGAATATATGTATAAAAAACAAAACATGTTCAACCATCTATAGTAAGTGCAGTCTTCCGCCTGTTAAAATACTGAGGTGAAATAGTTTGTTAGAAGCATTATTGCAGTGCATTTAGAATGCAGCATATACAGACAAAATACTTGTACGTTTAAGTTGATGGTTGTCAATAAGAAGCTCAGAAGTTGTTAAGACTAATCCTGTCGACACAGGTGAGATTCACAATATTGTTGCTCTTCTTTTTTTTTCTTTTTAGAATAGAGGCTCTGCTCCTTCTACAACAAGCTGTTAATTTTGTTGAGTCAGAAAAGAAGGAACGTCTCTCAGTACACTGTAGTTTGATCCTCCTGGATCATACTTAACACATGGCACATTAATAGAATTCATTATTTTGCATGCAGTAGTACTTGGCTTTCAGTTTGCATCACTGATGCTTTTCCGGTTTTTAAGATCTTAAATGGCCTGGCCCCACCGCCACTATATTTTTTTAAGCAGAGCAGCAGAAACACCAGATCTGCTGCCTCTAATAATCCTGTTGTCCCACTGAGAAATTTCTTTTAGCCAGCTTTCTCAGTGCGTGCCGTTCTGTTCTGGAACCAGTCCATACACAAAAGAGCGCCACACTCTTTTAAATAACCGTTAAAAACATGGTTATTGGACAATCAAGATTGTAACCATTCATGATTTATAGTATGCTATTATATTCTAATTTGATAAGTTTTAATGGCCCATTTTAAATTGTAATGTTTTAAAAACAAATTATTTTTATATTGTAATGTTTGCAGTGTATTTTGATGGCATTTTACATTTTGCCACCACCAATATTGCCATGTTTTGTATCGAATGCATACGTTACAAAAGATCAAAAGCAAAATGGAAATGAAAATACAAGCTTCATTATCCAATTGGCAATACTTTTGAAATGGCACAAAAGTAATTTGGCGCAATCAAAACCTCTCTTCCCATTTCCCTGCAGTGGTGGGAGCAAACTACAGTGTGCTGTGACATTTGGTCCTCGCTCTAGCAGATCTGTGGAAACTCTTTGTAGATCTGCTGGACTATGAGCTTATCCATTTGTTTGGCTGTAGCGCTGCCCTCATCCTCCTTGGGGTCCTCCTCTTCCCGAAGGATCCTCTGTAGCGCCCCCTGCAGGTCAGAGAGTCGGTGCTGGTGTGTGAGATAGTCTGTGGAGCGGATTATGGAGTGCATCAGGGAGAGGTACTCCATGCGCAGCTGCAAGTGCAAAAAAAAAGAATGAAAAATTCAGGTTCTGGTCTAATTTTTAAACATTGTGCACTTGACTTTTAAGAGCCTCGTTTTCTTCCCTCAGTTTGAGTATTGAGCAGGATTTGAACTGCCAACCTTCCTGCACTCTACAAACTGAGCTAATGCCCTTAGAAGTTATAAAGATAATCTTTAGGTGAGAGTGCTACTGTCAGTCTCATCTTAAGACGCATTTGTACTCTCTGGCTTTAACAACGTGCAAGTTGTGTCGTCCTCGGTTTTATTTATGTATTCTATTATTTTTATTTTTGTGCAGGATAACTGGTATTTCATTGTTTTTACTTCATCCATCATAATTATTACTCATTCTATTTTTGATACACAGGTTTTCCAGAATTATATGTATTTAAATTTAAATTTTATTCATTGTTTATTTGGTTGGGACAGTACATATTAATGAAAACATCACGCCGGATTGTAGCCATGGGCTAATTTCCATCCGTTGTCCCACATTCACACTCACAAACACACTCATTCATTCATAAATGGTTTACTCCTCTCTTTGGAGACTTGTTTTTATAAAATGTGGAATAGAATAGAAGGGGAGTGGCTTTGATTGGATTGTTACTGTGATAATCTTTCTAGCGCTTCACATTTTAGGCCCTAAAACCCTTCTGAACGAACAGTACATATTTGGGAAGGACTAACTATAAATCTTCTTTAACTAAAAAGTCAATTCTCGGTGTTAGATTTGCACCTTGTCTCCGGGCGAAAGGTCTGAAATTTGTCGAACTGCAATGTCGATCATCACCATCATGTCGGTGTGGTAGAAGATTTCAGAAGTGTCTTTACTGGCGAACACATCCTGAAGAAACTTAAGCACCGAGTGAGGAGCAGGAGGTGTGTGAGTGAACATACACACTGGGTCATCTGCAGAGCCACAAACATAATTGTCAAGTCAAATATAATGATTCAGCGATCCATAAATGTTGAGCTGATCAGTTACCTCCTCGGTTTAGAAGCAATACGACTTTTTCAGTAAGTATCTTGACATTTTTCTTGGTTATTTCTTGCATAATCACATTGTTGCTTGGTGCTGATGAGAAAAAAGATCATGTTAGTAGTTTATCAGTAATCAAATATTTAAACTGAGGAGAGGGCAATCCACAACATTTGGATATTTTCAGTATCAGTGGTTTGCATTTATTTTGTGTCTTGAATGCCAACTTAAGAAAGTCAGTGTAGACCCATACGTTTGTTATCATTACAGTATAACATGCTAAGACAATTTACCAGTCGAAATGAAATCTTTAACAGACATGAATAAGTTTAACGTTGAAGTTAAACAAAGGCTCGAAAAGGAACCAAACTTGTAAGCATAATGCAAGACTTTACACTGTACAAAATATTTACGATAGAGTGTTAATCTGTGTTTTTCAAAATGATCTGTAAATGTGATGTATTTTTTGACCTGGTCTGCGAATTAGCCGTTAGCTATGTGGCCTGTGAACATGGCCTCGGTTATCTGTAACAATGCTTCTTGTTCTGTCCCGATCAAATAAACATACCGTAATAATAAAAATAATAATAACAACCCTTTTTATAGTGTGTGATTTCTTTTCAAAAATGATCCAACAGAATTATGATTTATGCGAAATATTTCTTACAGGTGTGATGAAGATTGAAAGAAAGAAGGAGGTTGAGGAAGATATCGGGCAGTTGCTCTGTGGGATCCGACGGAAGTCCATCCTCAACAACGTCCAAAAGAAACTGCACAAATTCATTGTTCAAGTGTTCTAGAAGAGTAAAGACATGTTTTGATGATTATTTGCTTCATGTTGTGATTTGTAGCTTTCGGTTTGAAGATCAGAAACGAACCATAATGATGATATGGCACCTGCTCCCCCATCGAAAAGATCATTGTGAGAACCAAAGCTGTGTAGCACATCTTTTGGTGCTCTGCAAAAGGACAAAAAAAAAATGTTTAATATTTATCATAGCTTTTAAAACAACAATAGATGAAGAATAAAGTGAAATATCAAGCGCCCACTCCCACAACACAGGTGGAAGAAACATGTTTATTGTATATGCTAACTAAAAATCAGTCTTATTCGAGCGGTTGTTCCATTTAAATGTTCACTGAATCCCAAATACAATTACTTTATAACAATCCTCAATTGTGTATCTTTGTTTTCTTTATCATCAATTTCAGCAGAAAAAGTTACATTCAGTCATTCACATCTACAATTATATTTTCAGCTTTATTTTCAAATCAGCTTGAAAAAAATGGGAAGAGGAAGAAAATAGACACTTCCACCTCATGTACATAATATACATTTATAAGTAAGTAAGTAATCTTTATTTATGTACCGCCTTTCAGAGACCAGTCACAAAGCGGTTTACAATTGTTATTTTCTGGGCATTTGTCTCTTACTCCACACAGAGATGGGAGCGGGGTCGCCAGTACAGGAGGCGCATGCCCGACCTATTGTACATGTTTTTAGTGGTAGGGGAAGCCGGAGTACCCGGAGGAAACCTACGCAGACACAGGGAGAACATGCAAACTCCACTCAGAAAGGGCCTGGTCCGACCGGGACTCGAACCCAGGACCTTCTTGCTGAGAGGCGAGAGTTTTGTCCAGGATTTTTGAAAACTGGGAAAGTAGTGAGACAGGCCTGTAGTATGTGGAAACGTGTCGTCATCATTCTTGTGGATATAAATGAGCTTTTTCACTCTTTTTGGATATGTCCCAGTTTTGAAGGGTAAAAAACCGTGACCTGTGTTATGCTGACTCCATAGCGATCGGATTATATTTTATTTGTTTACCAATATCAAAATCAAAACCGATAATTTCTGCTTGTGATGTAAAGGAACATTGTACTGTCGCTTTGGCTCAACATTGACAAAGAAATATAGGAAACTTAATTTATGTTGTATTTTTCAGTGTCATTTTCTATATCTGTAAATGATCATTTTAGCCTTTTTTTAACCATTCCATTTAATATTCTCCATACCTTTTTGATTTTGCTTTTTAAAGAATTATAGATTATTATTATACAATTTTTCATGTGTTGGCTTGTACTTCTTATAATTTGGTTGAGATTCTCGTGTCCTCAGTTGGATAGATTTTCTGTATAGAACTTTTTTATAAATGAAGGTTGTGCAAAATGACAACAAATGAACTAATTATCTCTTCACTGAAATATTAAAGTGAATTTCGGATCTTTGAAACAGGTGCCCTCATTTACCTTTTCTAGACAAGACAAACACACAGACTTCTATAGGAAAAATGATTAGTCATTTTGACGATGTATGGTTATGGTCGTTACCTTGTTTGTCGGTCTGAAGATCCCGCGCCAGCTCCATGGGCAGGATGGAGTTGAGCAGAGTTGAGATGAGAGCAGCGTCCAAACTGCACATGGCTCCGAACACCTTCAGAAGCAGCAGCCGCAGAGACACACGGTGCTCCTGACAAGAACACAAATTAATGAATTAATATGCAGTGCTATAATATGGTAGAAGGAACATTAACAGAATGACATGACAAATACTTTGTCCAACAGAGGAAATACTTTATTAACTCGTAAAAACTTTTTTTCTTACCATTTGATAATAAGTGACAAGTGAGATCACATTTTCACAGCGGTTGGTCTTGCACATTCTCTTACAGACTTCAGGATCTGCGTCTGTCTATGGAAAAAAAAATCATTTCCAATATTAAATGCATCACTGAGAGATATTTACATACAATATTCAAGCACCACATATTTTAGATGATAATAGCCTCAGTCCTGGCCCTTCCACGTGACTGCTGTTTTTTCTTACATTATGTTTATGTATTTATTTCTGTTATTGATTTTAGTAGTCCACTGTCCACCTTTTATCTGTACCAGTGCAAATGGAAGAAAAGACTCACTAGCTGTGTCCAAAATCATGGGCTGCATCCTTCCTGGGTGCTTTGAAGGCTCCAGCCAGGTTAGACTGTGAAACCGAAAGTTAATTTGGAGTCTTTGTATTCAAAATGCTCCAGATGTGTGAGATAATTGTCGTTTAAAAAATAAGTAGTGTTAGGGTAACCACTGCTATCCTAAAACTACAAATAAAAATTATCTACTCCTTTATTGAACTGTGTATTGCAACACTGGAAGGTTGTTGTTGTGTGATGAAAAGGGTTCCCTTGCATGTGTTAGCTTGAAATATTAACATGCCACAGTGCAACAAATGGCCTGGTGTGTTGGGAGTGTTCCGAGGTACCAGTATCTTGAGCAGCTCTTCTAAGTAGCAGGCGATGAGCGCGTGGTCCTCGTGCAGAGCCCAGCTGCGCTGCTGAGAGTCTTCACCATGTCGAGTAAGATCACTGAAAATCACCTCCAGCCGCTGCTCGTCGTGACACACCTGCCCCTGGGGCAGAGCAGCACTAAAATCCTGCAGTCATACAACCGGAAATACAAGTCAGCAAGAACAAGCACTAAGACTTAGTACTTAGTACTACAATGGGAGAAGATATGCTCCATTTTTCAGGCTACTCTAAACATTGACATAGACATATGTTCTTATTTTTGAAAGTTAAAATCAAACTAAAGATGATATTGGAAACAAGCCTTGCATGGAAGTATGTGCTTTCTTCAGTTAAATGAAAAACGACATGGCCCAAGTGACTTCACAGAGCAAAACTAAAGACAGACCAATATTTAGAATATAAAAGACAACGGGCAAAGACAATAGTTAAAAGTGGTATTTATAGACTGGTTATACAATGGGACATTTTTCTTTAGGTTAACCAGGCTCTAATTTTTGAAATAAATGGAATTTTGTGCTTTTACAAGTCGCACTGGAATTTAAGACGCAAATGGAGCTCAAGAGTAGGAAGTGTGTGACTGAGCGCCATTAATCTACCAGTGTGAAGCAGGACGAGAAGGAGCAACAAATACTGGTCTTTTTTCACTTTCATGTCAACACAGTGAACCAACAAACTATTAGTTAAGTGAGGACTTTTAAAGTTTATTTAATCTAATTGATTGACCAATCTTACAATTGAATTGGACCTCCGTGAACTACTCATGGAGTGTGTTTTTCAGTATAAACGTATACTTTAGATAAAATTCACTTTAAACAGGAACCTGACCTTGCTTTCCACCAGAGACAGCAGCACTTGCTCCAAAGCTGAGGAGGCCTGAGGCAGCGCCGTTTGCAGGTGTCCGACCACGATGCCCACTGCCACACGGGACAGCTCATAACTCAGGCCTGTGTTCTTCCGCACCAGCTCAATCAACTCCGGGCCAATCGTCATGGATACCGTCTTGGCACGGGACATGGCGGGGCTGCCAGGGGGGCTCTCTGCAATGGACGGAGGGGCAACGGGCCAGTCATTGTCCGTGTCGGCTTTGGCCTGGGGGGGCTGTGAGGGCTGAGGGGGCTGCGGAGCTGGGCTTTTCTTCCCGGGAGCAGAGGAGTCTGAAGGAAGGACGTCCGGAGGTGGAGGAGCTTTGACACGAGAAGGCACAGGTGGAGGGGGCGTGCTGGAGACACTGGGCAGGCTAACCTCAGAGGAGACCAGAGAGTGGGCAGACTCTAATGAGGCGGAGCTCATGGAGGGGGCAGGGGAGGGGGGCAGAGAGGAACCTCGGGACGGGACTTCGGGCTCTGTGAAGAGGAGACAGCTCCAGTTACAGACGGAAGGGGCAACTCAGACTAAGAATAGACTCAAGCAGCAGGTAGCATCAGCAAAACAACACTGCAGAGCGACAGAAGTGACTTTAAAAGAGGAAATTTAAGAAGTACTTTGATGAGCTTCAGTTTTTCATGTAATTCAACTCCAGTATCTATTTTTTCTTGATTTGTGCATGTTTAGATAGTTATATATTCTGCATTCAAGGCTTCCATTTGAAACAAATTGAATATATTTTTTTGTCATTATTTTTCCCTCTGTCTACATAACACATGTATTCACGCACATACACCCACGATTTTTATAAGCAATCTACCTTTACTAATAATCTATATCTATAATCTAATAATTTAACACTAAATACAGTAAAAAAAAACGTATGTTCATTTAAGCGGAGTCTGACCAGGTCGACGGCTGATGTCCCGTTTCTCTGGAGGGACGATGGGAGCTGCACGTCGAGGCTGAGGTGGCACCTGGACAAAAACATTCAATTCATTTAATAATGATTAAATGTATTACAGTAAAGGGTCATTGATCATTGATAAAGACTCTCAACTAAAAAGTAATTATATGCTCATGCAAAAAACATCTATTTATTCAAAAAAGTTATATTTCTACTAGCAGACTACATCCCACTCTGAACTAAAACAAATTTGGACAAAATTGAACCTAAAGCCCCAATAGTTACACAATCTAATTATATATATATATATATATATATATATATAGAGATGGGGGTGACAGAGGCTAAGTTGGTAGAGCATTGATCTCTGAACCTAATGGTCGTGGGTTCGATCCCCCACCCATGTTGACTGCTCCCACTAAGGTCTACTGTTGACACTTAACCCCACATTGCCCAAAGGTCCGGCTGAAACACCAAGGCCACAGCCATCTTCTCGTGGACCCACCACCTGCAGGAGTATCAGCGAGGGGCCGGTGCCATGTGGTTTATTACCACTCCCCCCGACCCAGAAATGGAACAATAAAGGGGATGAAAATGACATGACATATATATTGATAGAATATCTAAAATTAACAATGCTTGGCGCTGTAGTTTTGTCAGAAACGTGATATGGAGCAAACCATGCAAGTAATAATAGTGAATTAATTATCATAGTTTGTGTTTTTATTATGAGTGAACATTAAAGTAGTAAAATGTCAGGATGGTTTATTTACTTGATAAAATCCGTGCTCTCCTTGCATATTGTCCATACTTCCTGATAGTGGCATGCTTCCCTGGCGTCCATATTCCCGGTTAAGGCCATTGGGAGGGTTAGGAGTTTGGCTCAGTGAGATCTCGCTGCTGGAGGACGGTATGCCAGATCTGTTACTGGCCGAAGAGGAGCTCCGCCGTGCAAGCGTTTCTTTTCGGTGATGAATCAATTTTCTGAAAATGAAAGGAGACCATCAAGTAAATACATTCAATTACAACTTACTTGTTACATATATTTTTGATAATGATATTGTAAAAACTATTTACTAATTCATGCTCCAAGCCTGTTTCAGTCAGGGTGGTAGTAAAAATAGCATTCACTGTACACTCACTGTAAAACATCACGTTGCTCGAGATTGTATTTGCCTCCATTCTTTAAGGCCACATTGTGGATGCCCTCAATGGCTTGATCAATAGACTGTAACACTTCATCCTGCTCTGGGGCCTTGGTAAAAAAACAGAAATACAACAACCATTTATGCATTATTTATCAAAGCCTCAGGCATAATTATTAAAAATTAAACAAACAGTACATGTACTGATCCTAAGGACCTACATGGCTCCGGGCAGACGCAAACTAGGACAGTCACCAGACAAACTCAGCTTTTTAACCCAAGAGCAGAATAAATTCCTGCTCAGGACTTCACATTGTGCATGCTCCAACTAGTTCTCAGTAAATTTTACTATGGAGTTCACTGTGCAGTTCACACGTGACAGAGAAATCAATGCAAAATGACCTAGAAGGCACAGCTGTTTGGGGATAAAACAGAGCGTCCTTGGCTCTGATCTGTCAGATTGTATCATCCTCATCTATGCACATGCTTAATGTCTAGTCCCACGTCTAAAGACCACAGAAACGGCAACTTTACATAAAACAGTATTTAATCACATCTGTATTGTAAAAAACAGTAGGAAGCAGTGAAAGGGTCCGTTCAGACAGAAAGGGGCTGCGCATCTCATTATTTAAACTCCACTGCACTAAAACACATGAACCACGCAGCTCTGTTTACCTCTATTTTCTCAATATACGATGAAGGGACGAAGCCAGTTTCACCCGAACAGCAGCGGGAGCCCAACCACCAGTGTTTGTTGCTCCTCTCCAGGATAAGGAAGCTCTCTCCGGCGGAGAAGTGCAGGGAGTTGGGCTCGGTGGATCGAAAAGCGTAAAGAGACCGGTACATGGCCGAGTTCACACAAATCTCCTTTACAATGACCAGTATAAACAAACACCTCTAGAAGCAAGGGTCCGCAGAGATTTACTCTAACACAAAACCTTCTGTGGAGATAATTTAAAAGGGCTAGGAAGGCATGACCACGGAGATTCGAGAGGATCTCTATTTACAATGTAGCTCGATCATCTGATCCAAGAGCCGTGAGAACGATAGGAGGCGCTATTTGAACTAGATCAGACACGCCCCCAAAGCTGCACCGTCAAAGCTCATTTATAATCATAATGTAAATGCTACAAAATGATTACTGTATACCGCTGTATATAACAGGTTGGAAGTAGTTAAGAGCCTATTCAACATTCAACATGCGTTATATTATCTAAAATACTCGATAACAGAGATATAGCTTAAAATCCATAACCATTTGCACAACTCTAGCCCCATCAACCATTTGGTATAAGATCCACAAAAATGCAATGCGTGGAATGTAAACATGAATCGAACGTTAGACAACACCGGAAGTTACTGTCTGTTGTAACACGAAAGTCTTCACCCCTTTGTTTCCGCTTCATGGTTCCGCGTGGCTGTCACCATAGACATATATAGCTGTCACCCTCAAACATGGCCACCTCCTTGTGCTCCAGAATTTTCCTTCAATCTCAAAAAAAGCGGCTTATTTTTACTTCTGCAATATTACCCACGTTCATAAGGTACAGTACATAGCTTAGATTTACTTATGTGGTGGTCTCTATAAGATTGCATTTATATGGCGCCACATAAGGGATTTTTTAAACTCGACTTTCATTTTGAATTATGAATTATAAAATAGAAACTTAATGGATGATAGCTACGCTATGCGTGTTTGCTTTAACCAGGACAAACATACATCAAGTACTTCCAGGTGTTACTCAAGTTTATATTATGTAAATGTCCATGTCACTGTCTCCCTCTGATGAAGGTATTGAAAGCTATAAGTGCAATGCTTGTGTTATTTACTGCCTATGACCTTCTTCCTTGAGCAAAGAGTTGTCATCAGTTTCCTTTTAAATAATAGTTTGGCTAATGTTACTAGAGTATTACCAACACCCTCTGTCTGCAGCCCATTTCTATGTCGTGGTCATCGTCTGGGTCCAAGTGATGATGAGTTGTACCAAAAAACAACAGTGTCCATAATGAAGAAGGAGCAGGGCAGTGAACTCATGATTCAAAGCTACAGCTCCAGGGGCTTCAACATTGATGGAAACCGTGTGTTTGGGCCTTGTGCAATACTACCTCCAGCCATTCTGCAGTGGAAGGTGAGACTATTACAATGACAACATAAGTATATTGTCTTATTTGTGAATATTTGTTGGTAGGTTGGAAGCCATAACGACATAACAGAAGAAAGTGTGTCTCTTTTCCACATGATTGAACCTAGGATAGGTGAGACTGAAGTATTTGAGAGTCAACAGTTTTTAGATTTTACTCATCTATGATCCATAATTAGCGTTTTTGTTATTTTGCAGAGATTCTTGTTTTGGGAACTGGTGCAAAAGTTGAACGTATTGAACCATCAGTTTTGGCATTACTTAAGAAAAAAGGCATCGCTGTGGAAATTCAAGACACGGTAATTTTTCATTATAGATGATTTGTTTTGTGATAACGCTCTTTTAAGAGAATTGTGTCTACTTTATTTTCAGCCAAATGCATGTGCAACATTTAACTTTTTGACGAGTGAACGAAGAGTGGCAGCTGCTGGTCTAATTCCACCACAACAGAGCACTTCATTGGATGTCATAAATGAGTAATTCTAGCAAAAACAGTTGGGACATTTTTTCTATTTATTTGAAGGTTAACTTATCTTCCGTTTCGCTATAAGATACTCTGAGCCATTGTATTACATGCACACACAAAATCACATGATTTATTATATTTGAGGTCTTTTGGGATCTATTGATTATAAATTACAATAAATGTTTGTCATTGACATTACTATATGGATATTCAATAAATAAAATATATATAGAATTTTGGAGTTACATTCTTATTGTTCTTATTACGATTTGAGCGGTAAAGTGTTAAATAAGTTACTTATTATTGGCCCTGCTGACTTCGTTATTGCCAGTTATTAAGTAGTTTCAATAACTCCATATTGTTTGTAATTGTGACAAGCTAAATGTCAGTTCTGTGTCAGTGTGGCATAAAACAAGGAATTTATCATTTAGATGCATAATAATGATTTGCTATCTTGTGACTGATGTATTTTAATTATTTAAGGCTCAATAATAAAACCAAAACTTTTTATTTCGGTCATATCGTGCCAGGAGTTATGCTGCACTTAGAAAATGCTGTATTTAATCTATTTCTTGGACAATACACAAAGCAGCATTGTATTAAGTTTCTTCAGCGTTTGTTAAATTTAGGTCAAATGAGTAAGGGTAAAGGGTTAAAAACGTCTGTAATAAAAGTATCCAGTCCATCTGCGTTAGGTGAGGTCGACTGCCCTTGATTAGAATAAGCCTCTTAAATGAGCACATCTTCCTGCCCCACAGCCACTGTCCTGCTAGCACCGGCTGCCCCTCCCACTAAGCTCTGCAGATGATAAAGAGAATCCACAAATCCTCTGTGCATCCCAGTTTTCATCTCTACTGTAATCGTCAGTCCAATGTGACGAAGAACATATTTCTGTGCGTCATTTGATTTGTGTTGGATCTAATATTATGCTCTTTCCACAATACACCATTAAACATGAGCACTTGTTACTAGATGAAATCCATCTAATATGTTGCAGAAATATGTTGAAACATGGGATTCCCAGATTTTATCTTGAACTCATACTCCTTGTGTTCTGTTGTTGTCATTGACCTTGTAAGCATAACTTTCTCTTACGTATGCCATGGACTGCCCTCAAAAATCACACATTGGGACATTGAAACACATTAACAATACAGTAACAGTTATTTGTTTATTATTAAACAATCTGGAAGATGTAGACATGGCAGAATACCAAAGTTATTGCAGATCATTTCAAACCCTGACTAATTAAACACACTAAGTAAAACACATTAAGTTGATCCAAGGCATAGACATTGATTTTGATCAGTGGGAACAAAACCTTTAGACACATTCACTTATTCTCTATTGTCCATATGGCTCACAGTTTAAGTCCATTTTGATTGAATAATTCTCAGTCTTCGTCAGAGTTGTGAGAAGCGTGTCTGCTGGAGGCTCCGAAGCTGAACTCTGAGCCGGTGATTCTGTGGTACATGTCCTTGATGTCCTGGCACTCGCCCTCAAAGTGGTTTGTGGAATCATAAGAACGAGACACAAATATCTGCAGAAAGGAAACTTCAATAAATCAATTGACTTTACCTTACTTTGCTAAACATCAGATCAAAAGCAAGAAACAATAAGGTATTGTTATTGTCAAGTTGAAGTTAAGGTATTTTTCCCATTGTCTTTGTATTTGACTCATTCTTATTCTTCTGAGATGAAAGTGGCTAACATACTTTTTTGATCATGATAAAAAGCGGACAAAGGCAAACTGATCATTTATATACATTGTGTTACTAGTTAGAAAATAATACAAGTGATGATTGTCCATGCCCATTCACTCTTGTTAGTTTTGTTCACTTTAACTGGACCGATTCATTTTGTGTGTATAAAACCACCACACAAGTGTCTTTGATACATATATGAAGCATTTCCCAAGTGAACCAGACTTGGTCTAGTTAAAATGAACCAGACTTGGTCCAGTTAAAGTGAACCAGACTTGGTCCAGTTAAAGTGAACCAGACTTGGTCCAGTTAAAGTGAACATGTGTAAAAAGGAATTGGTTTGTGTTCACATGTTCGACGACTCGCTTCCGTCATCACTGTGTGTGGAATGATTGGAACAATATCTGAACTCTGAACATTGTAAAGCGCTTTGTGTGACCTTGGTCTGTAAAATGCGCTATATAAATAAACACTACTTACTTACTTACTTCGCGCTTCATTGGACTTTTATCAACAGCACAGACTTTTTTTTCTTACCTGACTTCTTCTTCCATCTTCATTGGGAACAAGTAGATTACTGATTGAAATAAACCTAGAAAACAACACACTTTTGTGAACATTTCCTTCATATTAACTTTTGTTAATAATGTATTGTGCACTGATAGAGAAATAATGCAGCACTGTTACTTTGGGTAGTAGTAAAAATGTATTGGTGAAAAATATCCAAGTAACAAGAGGCACTGTCTGGAGGAAACTTCAGGTGCAAATTATTTTTATGTTGATATACATTGGAGGAAAATGAACGAGAATCCATGGCCTTGGCTCCCAACCAGGAAAAGGTTCCTTGCTCTCCTCAGGTGGGGGAGAAGGCAAGGCACCACCATGAAGTGACCATTCACCTTGTGCTATTGGAAGTAAACATGTTTTTTTACGAGATGGGAATATTAAAAATGTTGGAACGCTTGTCTGGGGCTGATCAGCAGAATCATCCATAGTGAAATGCTACTGGGTTTTCTGTTAATGCTACTGCTGTAAAGTCTGGCAGCAGGCTTCAGTGCGTCATTGGTGTTCTGTGACTGTAGGAGATGGTGGACAATACTACTCCTGCTGTCATTAGGTTTGTTCATAGTACCCGTACAGTTCTTACTTTTGCTCAATAGGTTCCAAAAGTTCTATTCCAGGTTGCACCTCTTTCTCTGGATTATTTGTCTCCACATTTGTGCTTATTGTGGCAATGTACATTCCAGCTGAGGCCACGTTGTGAGTGTAGGATACCACAGATATGAAAATGTCTGAGGGGGAAAAAAGGAAAAAAATTATCAGGAGGATGTGCAATGAACAAAAGTCATGAGACATAACAATGATGCATTAAAAAACAAACACAGCCACACTTTTCAAAAAATGTGTGCACATAATTTCAATGGAATTAGTACTGTGACGTGAGACCGGGTGCCACAAATCAGAAGCCTCGCTTCTTTCAGTTTGTCCCAGTGCAGCTGTAGCTATAGTGAATAAAGAATGCCATGTGAAGCTCTATATTTGTCTATGTAAGTCCTATGAATAATAATAATTATTATTATTATCCCTTGTGACTGGTCACTGACTGCAGCACTGTCATGTGTAAAATAGTCCCAAATCATTCATCGAATCTCCTAACCAAAAATGTAACTCCACTTGAAAAAAATCCATGTGTAATGATATCCTGTAGAAGTACCTGATTTGCGGTCGAGTTGTGTCTGTGGGATAATGATCTGGCAGGAGCTGGCCTCGTGGGTGTGTTTGATGGGGTGGTTTAGTAAACAGATGACTCTGATCACACGGCCCACTTTTCTCACTCGACTGGGAACGTAGCTTGGGTCACAAACCAGCTGCTTACAGTAGAACAGCTGCACACAGAGTACACAACTGCAGTATGTTCCAACACCAGTCAGAGTGATAAACCAGTCAGAGTGATAAACCAGTCAGAGTGATAAACCAGTCAGAGTGATAAACCAGTCAGAGTGATAAACCAGTCAGAGTGATAAACCAGTCAGAGTGATAAACCAGTCAGAGTGATAAACCAGTCAGAGTGATAAACCAGTCAGAGTGATAAACCAGTCAGAGTGCCTCGGGTCTATTTGCCTTCACATTGCAGTAAAGGTAACAACTTGTGAATACCTGCAGTATACTTTATGTATCCTGGGTTATAACTCATAATCGTTTTTATTAGTCTTTTATTCATGAAAACAGAAACCAAAACTGCACTTTGCCTTTTACATAATAAAAAGGTATACAGTATACAAATAACAATGATGCAATTAGGATGAAATATACAATCATTTACATATATACATATTATGTACATTTACCTTTCCCTCTGACTTTACTCCTTTCACTTTACCGTTCTCCATCACAATCTCATCAACCGGTCGGTTCAACAGGAGCGTCCCTCCATACTCTGCATTCAACCTGAGAGAAACCGTGATTTATTTCATGAATAAATTCAGAAAACACATGATAGAAGTACCTTGCAAAGCCCTGTGCTATTTCTCCCAGGCCGTACAGGGGATAGAGATACGGACTGCCGCTGTGCCGGGACTGGGACTGACAGTAAAGTCTGATCATCCGGATGGTCTCTCTACACGGCTCGTCCAAGTAGCTAAAGACAAGAATATAGTATTTATAATCAAAATGGACACAGATGTCAATGTAAGCCAATGAGAGCAGGACTTGATCAGTAAACCAAAGTTGCCGTATGTAACTAAAGTTCTATGAATATGTTGCAAAGCCCTTAAGGAGAAGATCAAACGATCAACCGCTCCAATCAACTTGACGTCCTGGCGTGGGCCAGTCCCCTATATAAGGGCCCTGCACCACAGCTTGTCTCCTTTCAAACTCAGCCGAAGAATAGAGGGCAGGCCTGCTGGGCCCGAAGCGAAAGGGCTTCGCAACATATTCATAGAAGCTTAGTTACATTAGATAACAAGAGTTTCTATCTCATGTTGCTTCAGGGAAACCATTCCAATGTACTCCCAGCAGGCATGAACTCCGGTGATTGGAGCAAACCTGGGACCAACATGCTCATACCGCAATCAAGCAGCAAAAGACGGAGGTCTACGAGTCATCAAAAAGCAGATGCAGGGCACTTCTCCTAAAAGTGCCAGCGCATCCCCAAACTGCAAGGCAGCAAAGACGAAGAACCAAACCTGGGCAGACAGCTTCTCACATGCGCGCCTAATCTCCAGGTCAGGAAACCAGCCTCTCCCAAGAGCGCCGAACACATCTCCACACAAATGAGCGGCACAGTGGCTGAGTGGATAGCACTCTCAGTACTCGCAAGAAAGTCCTGCAGGGTTCGAATCCCGGTCGGAACAGGGCCTTTCTGAGAGGAGATTACTTGTTCTGCCCCTTCCTGCGTAGGTTTCCTCAGGGTGATCCTACCACTAAAAACATGTACAATGTAATGAATGACCGTGTGTGAAAAAAACAATATCTTGCTTCTAAACATTGTAAAGGGCTTTGGGTGACCTTGGTCCACAAAATGCGCTCTATAAATAAACATTACTTACTTACAATCCCTTCCTCCTGACCGGCTGCCACAAGGAGCAACAAAGTCAGAAGCAACAGCCATTAGGTAAAACTGCACAAAAGTCGAGGAGTTTGCCGCCCCACACAGAACTGTCCTACAGAAGCATTGGCTCCCTGGGGGAGAGCGAGGCAAAGCCAATGGGCCAAGTGCTGTGGGGACAGAGTGGCACCCTTATTCCGGGTGCCAAAGGGACAAGCAGGACAGCTGCTACACAGACCACCAAACCTCATTACCGATCACCAAAGCCAAAAGCAATGCCATTTTGTAAGACAAACAGGCAATTACATTGACCAAGGGTTCGAACGGGGGCCTCGAAGGCCAGACAGGACTACCCGAAGGTAGTGGCAGCAGGGTTAGGTGTAACCCAACCTTGATGGGAGGGACACCTGACGGCCTAAGCCTGCGTAGACCCTGTACGCTAGCGCCAGAGATTTGCCTGTCAGAGGCCTATCCCACTCACGTCTGAAATAGTGTAAAAAAAAAGGCTCTAGCCGGGGAGTGACAACGTCATGTCGATGCCGCCGGGAGGGATGCGTGGGGGACTGAACGTAGTCCAACGAAGGGGAGGCGCGCTGGGCTGGCATCACCATTTGCATTCTGACCACAGCCGATATGGTCAGATGCAAGAAGCTCGCAGCTCATGGGAATAGAAGGACAGGGCGTCCTTGTCAAAACCCTAACAAAATCCTCTTCACCATAGTTCACCCTAGGTCCAATTTCGGAGCTTGACAATCAGAAGCAGCAGCGTAAGTAGAGAGAGGCGCACCATGAGGGAGCCACCCTGGGGATCATTCATGGTGGCATTTAGTAAGCCATTACGTAAACACGCTCCTCCCTGTGGAGTCCAAGGCAGGCCACATATGTGACGCTGTTCTCCATGGCATGACGCCAATCCAGACAGAATTGGCGTATGCCATGGAGAACAAGCAGGATTTATGGCGGTCAGCTTGGGAGCGTGCCGCTAGATACGAGTTGCAAATCCACAGCCTGACACCGGAGGTTGACAAGATCTCAAGCACAGGAGGAATCTTGCGTGAAGACATCCTAACACAGATCAAACACAGCTCTTCTCCTTTCTCTCTCAGCTTGCTTAAGTGAAGCCGCTTAGGCAAGCTGAGAGAGAAAGGAGAAGAGCTGTGGTGCAGGGCCCTTATACAGGGGACTGGCCTATGCCAGGACGTCAATGTGATTGGAAAGGTTGACTGTTTGATCTTCCCAGGGCGGGAAGTGGTGCTTCTGAGAAAAATGCCATAACAAAGCCTAAGGGCTGAAGCATGAGGTAGAAGCAGTTTAATTTACTTATAATGTAATGTACTTAAATAGACATTAAATAAACTATGACTAATTCTGTACATACAATTTACCATGGTTTGTCCATATTACTGCAGTATAATTCTAGCTAATGTAATGGAAGAGTCTCATTTAAAGGGCTTTATGTACATTAGATACATTATGAAGATTATCAGTGTTGGGCAAGTTACTTCAAAAACATAGTACTTGTTACTGTTATCTAAAAGTAATGTGTTACAAAACGATATTACTGTCTCTGAATTGTAAAGCATTAGACTTAAACAGCCTTAATTTTAAGTTACTTTCACCAAATATATACATTACTAATACTATTAAATGCCATTGTGTGAAGTTCATAGAGCTTTTGGATTCACACAAAGTGCACTTAATTGTTATCTTCCACATCTTTGTTTCCAACAAACTCAAAATAATAGGAATATTGTCCAATATTTAGAAAATATACTATTGCCTGACGTAGTGCTTCAGCTGCCGCCATCTTCTACCAGAAAGGAAAAACAGTTCTTGGCGGCTACTATTGGCACAGATTTTTTTCCCCTCAGCTGATCTCGCGGTGGCATTGTATAAACCAGACACAATTTAATTTTGGGGTAAAATGCAATGTCCCTTTGTACAGAGTACAATGTTCCTCTATTTTTTCTTTTATAATACCATGTAACAGCATAAAGCAATACATTCCAGTAATACATTACTTTTGTTTCGCTTTACTCTAGACACGGGTGATTATACACATCCAATAATAGCTTAAACATGATTCATATTTTTTTTTACTAGAAAGAGATTCTAAACAATCTACTGTGTAATATGATGTCCTTGGCTGATTACTTATTATCATTGAGTATAACAATATCATGTTCTGTTTTTTTCTTCTCCAAAATTCACCAAATCACATATTTCTTAGTCAAGATGTATTTTCATAAATCCCAAACTTAATGTTGGAATTGTCATAGAAAACATGTTTATACATAAATATAAATGAGACCCCAGACCTGGTGTTGTTGCGTAAGGCGATAGCATGTCCTGTGAACTCCATCACATCGAGCCCCAGGTCAAAGCGGGAAAAGAGGTCTCGGGATGTGGTCTTGCTTGGGTCTACATCCTGGTATGTCCTCGGGTTTTTAACATCAAAGTTCAGGGCAAAAAGAAGCAGCTTCCTGAACCGTCTTTTATCAAACATGCCCATAAGATCTGCAAGATAAAGCATACAATAAGTGATAATACTGAAGACAGAACAATTTACAATTACTGAAGGTAGTGCACAAGGAGGGAGAAGGTCTAATATTGATATGAGCAAAGTGTGGCTAAATAATAATAGGATTAGTTACAATTAACCCATAATGTTCTGTAGAATAGAAATAAAACTGTACAATAACAACAACAACCTTACCTGAAACTTGAGCGTCTTCGTCAGTAGCTGGAACTTTGTACAGTTTTCCACTTTTGTAAACATAACTGCCTTCGACCACTTTAAAGTCGAGATAACGTGTAACATCAGTGTAGACCAATATTTTCACCAGCTCCTCTGGTCACAAAATAGACAGAGGAGCAGGATTAAAAACATTCTAAATAAGTAAAAAGCTTTATTATAATCTCACCTCCTGCCAACAAGAATTTAGGAATGAGATCCACATTCCACTCTTTTCCACGACACATGGTTTTCGCTGGACCCGGAATTTTAAATCTTTTGTATAGCTTTTTCAAAGAACATTTTAGTCAGGAGCTTGGTTTGAACACAAATGTGACAGAAGCTTACCTCCTCTATGGGTGAAATAGATGTACTCCCTCCTCCATGATACGGGTGGTTATCAATGTGGAGAACCTTTTTTCCATTAAGGGACATTAAACCAGACAAGATACACTCCTAAAACAAAACGACAACGATACATATACTCTGTGTCAAAAGATGCCAATGTTCTCAGAGAATTTCACATTATTATACTGGTTGAGATTAATATATGGTGTGGTTGTTATCACAATAATGGCCTTTCACTTCTGATCAAACAAAACTGATTTTCAAAACAACTTGACGGTAACTCTTTGTTGCATATGTGCCTTGGGGCTGAATGACGTAGGAAATACATCACTTAAAGATCACAATCAGACACTGGGAGTGAAGTCACTAACCATCTGTACAATAACACAGTGTCCACACAATGTCCTGAACATACCTCCTAAACAGTGGAGGTAAAAAAGATATTTGTACAGATCTGCAGGTTGAAAAGCAACCTTTTTCCACCTTTCATTTTCTTCCCTTGCCAAAGCAGCAATCGGAATCTCTGCATAATAATGCTTTATATTGTATAATCCTTCTCATCACTCTCAAAGCAATCTATAGTATATGACCCGGTCCCACTATGCAGTTTGAGCCTTCAGCTATGGGCCTCTGACCCTATGTTCTCTCCTTCACCATCTAAATCTATTCTAATGCACCAACAATCCAACACATAATCCACCAGTCTTGCACCAATACCCACATTCATGTTTGTATTCTAGTTTTAGCATTTTAACTTGTTTGATAGGTATTTTGAAAAGCTTTCCACGATAGGGACATTCCTGGAACAGATTAGGTAAAAAGCATGATAATTAAAACAATAGTAATGTTTAAAAGTGTCATGTGTTTAAATAATCCAATTTAGCATAGACATGAGCCTATAACTATTGACCTATTTACCTATTAACCAATCTCTTTTTAACAGATTGATGAAAAATATATCTTACCTTGGGTCCAGTTCCCAGCACAATAGTGTCATATTCTTCCATCTTCACCTGTCCTGTGTTGTTTTGCTCTGGTTCAATTGCCGCTGCTCCAAGTGATAGTCGATGAGTCCCTCTGATATAATCTTCTTAAGGCAACTTTGTGTGTATATCTGAACGTGAGGTTTGTAATGTGAGCTGCTGCCAGAGAAGAAATACGACCATAAAATTCAACTATAGATTGCACAGAAACTTTGCCAATAGTTTTCGCAAGTTTACTAATAAAGGAAAATAAAATATATTTCATGAGCTTAAAATGTCTTTAAGTAAAAACAAAAGGCTATTATAATTACAATAAATGCACCCAGAGGAGCAAAACACATCCAGCATTGTCCACAGAATAACAACACAAAATAATATTTGAGGTTCTTATATGTGTTGCGTGTTTTCGCTCCGCCCTCTCTTCGCGCAGCTGCGTCAGAGAGAACCCGGAAGTGTCCTGTCTGCGGCAACAACTCGGCGGCAACTTTTCCACTTGGCTGAAGAACTAACGTGAAATTATAATAAAATTGTAATATATCAATGGAATAACTTCACTCATCCCAAGATGTCGTCTGCACCACCTGTAAGATACATTTTGGCCGAACGAGTCATTTTTATCCTCTAAGTTGCGCGGAAACCTAATGTACAACTAATTTCATTATAATGATTTATAACAACGTGTGATAATTTCCCCAATTAAGAAAATAACTTATCAAGGGTGGACTGAAGAGGATAATGTTCATGTTTTTATGTGCGCCCTGCGATTCCATGCACGTAGTTTACTTTTTATTGAAGTAAATAATATTCATGAAGCTACGCGTTTTGTACTTGGAATCATGTATCATTTATTTTGGTTTAGGATGAGCCAAACTTATCTGTGTTAGCGGTATAAATTCTTTCAATAGTATTTACTTCATGCATTCTGGACTTTTCCTCACCCATCCACTGTTTAATTGCTTTTTACTTTTTTTTGACCCAGTTTTCGGACACGCCCTTGAACCAGCACAAGAGACTGTCCTCCAAGTCCAACCCTGGGTTTTTGGAGCGACTCAGTGACACAGCAGGCGGGACATTAGTCGGTGTTGGACTCTTCTTCCTGTCCATTTATATACTATTTACCAATGAGGTAAATTCAACATTTTCCTTTAACATGAGATTTACCCACAACAGATGGTAGATTCGAGACCCGGTCATCTCCTTGTCCTATCAGTGCAGTTGTTGACTAACCTTTTTGTCCAGCTGACCACAGGGTTAGGGTTGGAAGATCCTGAAGGATGAAGGAAGTTTTTTATTAGAAAAGGGTCAATGATTGATCATATTTATCTATTTTTTGCACAATACAATGGTTGTATGTGGGCAGGCAGCAGGAAATAATTGTCAATGTAAAGCAAAATGTTTTGTATGAAAAGTGCTTTTGAGGATGGGGTATTTTGTACACATTGTCAGGATGTCTGCTTTCAGGGTCGTGCGTTGCAAACAAAGTTATCTCTGGATGAGGGATTGTCCCAGGTTGTGCCGTTGGACTCTTACTTTGGCCTTGACCCTCAAAACAACAACCGTTTGGTTCATTTGACAGCAAAGCTTCACACAGCTCAGGTAAAACAATTGCTTTCAATTATAACCTGCCACGTGTTTTAAACATGATATTGTCCATGTAGCCTCTGCATGATCCAAACTATAGAGTGGTGGTTCAAGCCGTAAAGCTGAGACGGGAAGTGGAGATGTATCAGTGGGTGGAGTATTCGGAAAGCAGGTGAGTTAGTCTAAAGTTAATTGTAAATGTAATCATTTAGTGATATAATACAGGAAATATTGCTCTACTTCCCCTCATACAGAGCGTTGCCCTTCCTCTGGTCTCTTGTGTACGTAATCACCAGGGTTTGTTAGTTAGCATTGGTTTAGGCTACTTTTCTTTTGGGGCATTATTTCAACTGCTAGGTCTTGCAACAATCTGGCTAAGAAATTAAACAGTGATGTAGTACCATATTATAATAATAATAATAATAATGCATCAAACATACAAAGCGCTTTTTTGGACACTCAAGACGCTTTACAAAACACATAGAAAAAAACATTGAAAAACAAAAATTAAGTAAAGGCAAGCTGAAACAGGTGGGTTTTGAGAAAAGATTTAAAGTTCTGTAGTGAGTCTGAGTTTCTGATTTGTTGAGGGAGTGAGTTCCAGAGCGTGGGGGCGGCTGCAGTGAAGGCTCGGTCCCCCAAGGTTCGGTGTTTAGTCCTGATGGGAGTGAGGAGGTTGGAGTCAGTTGATCTGAGGCGGCGGGTGGGACAGTGATGATGGAGGAGGTCAGTGAGGTAATAGGGGGCCAGGTTATGGAGGGATTTGTAGGTGAAGAGGAGGACCTTGTATTGGATGCAGTATCGAACAGGAAGCCAGTGGAGATGTTTGAGGATGGGGGTGATGTTATCTCTGGAGCAGGTGGGGGTGAGAAGGCGGGCGGCGGAGTTCTGGATGAATTGTAGTTTTTGAAGATGAGTGGAAGGGAGACCGAAGAGGAGGCTGTTGCATATCCAAATAAATGTTGTTTTCCTTAACTGTACAGTTACCCTTTGCTGATGGAGCGAAACCAAACTAATCCAAACTCCCTTGAGCCTCCAGACTTAGAGTTAGGGTAAATGTTGCTCATCAGAATCATAGAAAAGAAAGTTACTGTCATCATCCTACTAAATGTGGCTATTCCAATTGAATATCAGCTCCACTCACTAATGTAGTATTTAGGTAATTGTATCTATTTCATTTTTCAAACAAAATTGGTAGTCTTTGACTGATAAACTTTGAAAATATGCGAATGCCATTTACAGGGACTACCAAGAAAACGGTGAGACAAAAACCGAAACGACCTACACGTACAGTAAGTTAGTTTTGATCTTCATCTTCTGTCCTCAGTTTGGCACAAAGTATTACTTATTTTATTGCAGATACCGAATGGAAATCAGAATTGGTCAATAGTCGTAACTTTGACAAGGAAATTGGTCACCAGAACCCAAGGTACTGGATACTTAAATTATTTTAATTGATCAGCTGTCTGTAATTTGTCTTGTACAATTTAATCTCAGTGCTATGGCTGTTGAGAGTGTGACTGTGGTGGCCCCTGAAGTCCGAGCTGGGCCTTTCCTTTTGTCAAAAGGTATATTCTAGCATTATTACTATAATTGTTTGAATACATGACTCATTGAGATGCTTATCTCCTTCAGGACTTATTGAAAAAATAAACAACTTCCAGACATTAAGTTTAAGAGATTTCAATGCCATAAATTTAGATCCTTTTCTCACAATTTTGGATGACTACTTCTACCACACTCAATATCCACACAGACCAGAAGTGAGTACCAGAAGTGAGGAAGGTCAAGGAAATGCAAAAACTGCAAATTTTTTGTTTACTCTTTAGGTTGGAGATGTGCGCGTAAGATTTTCTTTTGCCGGACTCAGTGGAGAGGAGTCTTGGCTCGGGCCACCTGTGGGTGATGATTGTTAACAGGTCTAATAATAAATGGAATAGTCTGTAAATTTTCGACCATTTTATACAGGTGAGTGTTGTGGCAATGCAAAGAGGAGCACAGCTGATGCCATTTAAAACTAAATCGGGGGATATTTTGGAGTTTCTTTACTTGGAGAGTCTATCAGCAGAGGTATTTACATTTTCTCTTGCTTTTATAATAACTTATTATTTTTTGTTTTTATAATAAATTCATGATTTCCCTGCTAGGAGATCTTTGGTCAGGAGCACCAGTCCAACAGCATGAAGACCTGGGGGCTCAGAGTGGCCGGTTGGGCGCTCATGTGTCTGGGTATTCAGCTGGCCATGCGCATTATCTATACTCTGGGTAAACAATACTTTTAAAATGTCTTTCAGTTACCAATTTTCCATTTTATTTACTGATTGTGTCTTTCCAGTGGACTGGGTTCCTGTCCTGAGAGAGCTGGTGTCAGTGGGTATTAAGATTTTTGCTCTGTGCTTGTCCTGCTCACTCTCTCTGCTCGTCATTGCCGTTGGTTGGTTGGCTTATCGCCCCCTTGTGGCATTTTCCTTGGCCGCAATAGGGTTGATTCCATTGTTAATTGCGCGTTCAGGATTTTCATCCAAGAAAGATGAATGACTATTGAACTGAATGTAGTTTGGGTATATGTGTGGAGTCTATGTGTAACAGTTTTTTACTGGAATATTTACATTCTTTGTTATATTCAAGGTATCATCGTTTTTTGTTGCTTATACCTCACTTGTGTGTTCCATATTAGCATGTAAGTAGTACAATTTAGGGGATAAATGTTCTACAATATTTATTTGCAAATGCCAAATAAATGCAACCTATATTGCAGATGATTGTAAAAATTGATAAAGGCAATTGTACTTGTTATTCTTGTGCATAAACCATTTCTTTAGCTGCTTGTTTGAGTTCCCGCCCAGGAAATGAGATGTCACAACTACACTATAACAAACACAAATGGAAGGTTGATAAATGTGAAGCATATTTATTGTGTGCAATGCCTTCAATGGCATCCTTTTTGCAGTAGAGTAGATTAGAATTTTTTTTTTTTTAAATGTCCACATACACAGAAGTTTAAGAGCATCAACATGGACCTTGAATTGAGTTGTTAGTCCCATTACATATATGTACTATGGAAAGCTCTTTACAAATGTATTACACATAAATTTGCAATTTTCCAAAAAGCGTTTCCAGTTTCAGTGCGCACCAAAATTTGAGTATGGAGCGCACCAGCATTTATTTTTCTGTTGCAGACATATTTGAAGGACTATGGTCACAGTGTACAGGTACTTCACTGTATTGGCTGCAGAAACATTCCTTAGATCAGCAGTGGGGCTCAAGCACTTAACTGTAGTTGGCAACTTTGACTCGACAGTCCCCAGGCCAATTTCCATTAGAGAAATAATTGTGGGGAAAAAGTCAATATGGCAGATTTACTTCTAGGTTTAAGTACAAAATGTATATTGATTACCTCAAACTTGAATACTGGCAGAACCTGACAACTGGCTTAAGACAAAAAGTAAAAGCATTACACCCTTAGTAAAAACTGGGAGAATAGTCTGTGTGGTTTGGGGCCATCTGCCGAGACTTGACTCAAGATGCGGCAGGGAGCAGTCCACCTTTTACAGCAGGAGACATTTGTTGGTCTTCTTGCACTTCTTGGCTTGTAGTGCAGCCCTAGTGGCCATCTCGAAAACTTCCCTCACGCCATCTTTTGATTTTGCAGAGCACTCCATGTATCCAGAGGCATTAATTCTGTTTGACATGTCCCGGCCGTCCTCTGGTTTCACTGGTTCCTAAATTAAACACAAAAAGTCACTTTCAGTGTTGACAATTTCACCACATGGTAACTAACATGCCAATAACAATAATTCTGATATCTATTATTTATCTTGACTATTCCAAAAAATGATACAAGAAATTCTTGATTTAAAATCATAAAGTTTCAACTTTCAATTAGATTTAGTGTACTCAAGTACTCATAAATGCAAAAAGACTTCCCATGGCTGTACCCTTATGGATCATTTATTTACCTGCTTCATTTTGGCGAGTTCCCTTCGAGTGTGTTCATCGTTGCGAAGGTCCTTTTTGTTTCCCACCAGTATAATGGGGACATTGGGGCAAAAGTGCTTAACCTCTGGGGTCCACTTTTCAGGGATGTTTTCTGGACAAGTAAATTAAAATAAATGTTATGTCACTTATTAACTTTTGTGTGGATCTTTACATAATTCAATGAGTATATAGAGTTATATTCACATAAGTTCAGTGTTAATAGCAGATAAGAGTTTACATTTTTATAATGGATTGTAAGTTTTTACCAAGACTGTCCGGACTATCAATGGAGAAACACATTAGGATCACATCAGTGTCTGGATAAGAGAGGGGCCGCAGTCTGTCATAGTCTTCCTGACCGGCTGTATCCCACAACGCTAGTTCAACCTGCCAAAAGTAACAGCAAGAAACAAATGTATCATGTTTAACACATTCCTTCAAGACCTTTCTAGGGGTATTTATTTAAGCGACTCTAATTATCCTTAATATGTTATAATAAACAAAGAAGATCGAAATTGGGAAAATGCACAAAAGCTTTATAGAAACAAAAAAATGAGAGCTAAAGATGGAAATCCGTGTTTCTATGATCACGTATTATTATAGGCGTTACCTGTTTTCCGTCCACTTCAATGTCAGCTACGTAGTTTTCAAAGACTGTGGGCACGTACACTTCAGGAAATTGGTCTTTACTGAAGACAATCAGAAGACATGTCTTTCCACAGGCACCATCTCCTACAATCACCAACTTTTTCCGAATTGCTGCCATAACTACAAAAAGAAAGGTATGTCACAAACAGTGTGAAACAATATTATTCCAAGACACCAACGCACGCATGTTTTCCCCTGTATAATAACTGTCTTGTTGACAGCAGACTCCTCTGACATCAGCTGTTTCAACTAGAGCTACTGATGAAAGTATTCACTTTGGCGTTACACCAAGAGACACAACTATATAACAAGAAGAGGCCTCAGTCCTTAAGTATTCCTGCAGATGCGCTGAACACAAACATCGTTTTTTTAACCTGCCACTGTAATCAATAGATCGATATAAACAACACTTAGCTTGTTTAGACATATACCTGCATTTATTCGCAACAAAGTACGAGATATGTCTTAAATATAACAACAACGATGAGCAAACAAAGTAATGCTTCAAAACACGGAAGGGCAACCTGAGACTTAGCATTGGGCTAAAAGGAGGTATTTGCTAACGCTAGCTGTAAGTTATCTTTTTCTATAAAACACAATCCGACATTGCTTCGAGATGTGTTACAACGAAATAACAATATAGTTAAAGCTGTAACTAAGGTACGCCGCTGTCCAAACAAACGTACATACGCGAATGAGGACTTTTAAGAGCAGAAGTAACAGACCGGCTTGCTGGAACTTGATTGGTGCTATCTTAGCGTTAGCATGGTCAAAATAAACGGAAGTCGACTTCTGGTTAGCTTAGCGCAATCGCAAAACCAGGTCGTTAACGGTAGAAACATAAATATGAACGGAAATAAGTGACAGTTAACTCAAATGTTCATACCCACCGTTGACTTATGAAAATGATACTCAAAACAGTGTGTTTTGTTGCCCTCTGTATGAGTTGGTGAACGGGCCCTACAGCTCCGGATGAAACAGCAGCAGAAGTGGGAGCAGCGCGAGGGGAGGGGCTACGACTCCACTGTTATTACCAGACATTACATTCATTTACGTGAGGCATTATAAGTCCCAAAAATAAGTCCACGTATAATTTAACATAGCTCATAGACTTTTTTGGTTGTTCCCTGGTGTGACAGAAAAATAACATGTATCACATTTTAAGCGATTAAGTCGATGCCCCTAATTATTAGCCCATATTAGGCTTTACTTTTTAGAACAAATTCTATAATTTTTTTTCAAATATAAATGTGCAATAACAGTATAAAGCATACCATGCTGATTATTAAAAACGTATCCACGCTTTTGTCACCAAGGCTTGAGTACTGTAACGCTTTGCTGGCAGCATGCCCTAAAACCTCTTTGAAGAGCTTCCAGTAGAATCTTAACATGTACCAAAAGGATGGAGCACATAACTCCAGTGTTAAAATCACTCCACTGGCTTCCCGTGTACAGAATAAAGTTTAAAATCCTTCTTTTAACATACAAAGCCATAAATGGCTTGGCTTCTTCTTATCTTCAAGACACATTTCGTCTGGTGGTAGGTCTCAAAAAGCACTGTTGGCGGCAGAGCATTCAGCTACCACGCTGAGAGGATTTATGGTCCAAACCAAGCGTATTAGCCAAAAATCCACTGGAGGAATGCTGACTTTTTGAAAAATGCTAATGAAGCATTTAGCCTTTTACTTCGGACTAGAGCAGAGAAAATTGTCCGAACCAAGCGGGTACTCCACCTTTTGATCTGTCCAGCTCCACCCAGAGGCTACTCCATCTGTGATGCTGTGACCCGTCCTGCTCCACCCAGAGGCTACTCCACCTCTGCTGCTGTGACCTGAAGGGCTGTTGCTGATTATTACTATTGTTATCTTTTAGAATGATCAATGTTATTTTTATTTTGAATTTCTCCGACAGGGATCAATAAAGTATCTATCTATATCTATCTACTGCATCCGCTGCATCTTTCAACCTTTGTTACAAACTCAAACTATTTATCATGAATTACACACTTTCTTTGGTGCTGTAACCTGGGATAGCCTAGCCGTGGCTGCTGTCTCTCCTTTGGTCGGACACAATCTCTACATTCAACGCAACAGTGCTCTTCAGTTTAGCATATGGTTAGGAAGGTAAGACTCGGGATCTCCCAGAGGGTTCTCCCTTTGGATTTTTGAGTTTTTTCTTTGCCGATGCAGGAGGACAAGATGGACTGAGGTGGTGATCCAGGACACTTTAACATATGGACCAATACCATGTGTTCTATATTTTTTGTGTATTAAATGTTGATTCTCTGATCTGTGTTGGCGATTTTTTTTTTTGCTGATACACGGTATAAATGAGTGTCCAATAGTGTTGTCTACATATCCTGGTCATAATTTTGTCACTTTGGTGCAAATTAGTTGAAAGTTAAAGTGGTTCTCACCCCCGCTCCTCGGAGCTTACGTCACTCACATTTCCTGTTCAAATCTTCCTCTAAATGGGCGTAGCCTGGAGGACTAAAGGGGGCGTGAACGAGACTGGGCCGTTTACATTGCTCTGGGCGGGGGGCTGCTGACGTCAGGTCTTGCTGCCGCGCCAGTGTTGGCGCCAGATTCAAAATTCAAATGTAGTAATACAGGTCGCCAGCAGATGGCGCCTCACAGACGGTTTTAGGCAGAAAGTTTAACTTTCAACTAATTTGCACCAAAGTGACAAAATTATGACCAGGATATGTAGACAACACTATTGGACACTCAGTTATACCGTTTATCAGCAAAAAAATGGATTTGAGGGTGAGTTGTCCTTTAAACTTTCTGCCTAAAACCGGCTGTGAGGCGCCATCTGCTGGCGACCTGTATTACTACATTTGAATTTTGAATCTGGCGCCAACACTGGCGCGGCAGCAAGACCTGACGTCTGAAGCAGGGCTGGACTGGCCATCGGGCGTACCGGGCAATGCCCGAAGGGCCGATGCCCATATTTGGGCCGGTCTGTCTGCCTCATACAAAACACATGTTTGTGAAAAGTGTAAATCCGTTGAGAAATGTTTGAGGGGAGCGCGCGTGTCCGCGGGGCACCTGCTGTATGTACTCGAACGGGATTCCACCACCTCAGTGGCCGCAGTGTTCCCGCATCCAGCGGCTCTGAGCTGGACGCAGGAACCGCTCACCGGGAACCGCTCACAACACAACACGGTGAGCGCGTAGCCGCAACGTGACCATGTACCCAAGACCATAAACGCGCACAGGACCATGCGTGTATTTGCGTAATTTGTGCACCCAATAAATACACCGCTGCAAAAAACAGTCCGCGTCTCCCTTCTCCTCAAAATTAAAGCTCGGGTACCTAAATTTTCCATTGCATTAAAAGTTCATGTTTGAGCCCAAAAGTAAAATGTTGTGAACAGATTAAACATATTTAGAGCCAGCAAATGGCTGACAATATGCATTTCAGAAATGTTTACCAATTCTCATCCCTGTAACAAACAATATTGTCTGTGCCCACCTCCCTCACTCTGAGACATGTTTATTACTCTGTTTAATGTAGACTATTGCACTTTATTTTATTGTTAAAACTGGAGCGATCCTGATCCTCTACAGTATTTGCTTCCACATACTGTATAAACCAGGGGTCGGCAACCTTTAGTGCCCCTAAAGTGGCTCCAGGAGCCTTTTCAAAAATGTCTGATAGTGGAGTGTGAGGGCTATATTTTATTTCTAGTTTGAATGTGGTTTCTGTAGGAGGAAAAACGTTCTTAACGTTTTTCAATGCTGCAAAAACTTGTATAAGTAATATTCAATTTTAACTGTGTGTGCGCATGGATCCCAAAGATAAAGAGAGTCGATAAGACTGGACTAAGAATGAGAATGAACATTTGCTTTCAGTCAATGAGGAAGGACTGCTTCATGTTTGCGATGTAATGAAAAGTTTTGTTGCAACAGGAGGAACAATGAAGCTTTAAACACCGTTCACTGAAAGATTCATTCATCATAAAGTCAGAGCACCTATTTTCAGACTTCAAAAACCTTCTCAAAGACGGTGAAAGAAAAGGCCATTAAGGACATTCAGCTCCAGAAAACTTCAGCCTGTGATGGATATGAACAGACAGTGATGCAGGTGAACTCGGAGCCAAAAAACAGATTTATTTACTGTATTTGTGCAGTTGCAAGAAGGTTAAACTTAAAGCAGAGTCGTCACGTGGTGCATCATTCTCTCCAGGACACGCTGCAATGAAAATACACATCTGATAATCATGAATGGTTTTTATGTGTTTAGCCTTTACTTTATCATTTAGATATTAGGCTAATGTAGCTAATATAGCTAATGGAGCTAATACAGCTTCAGCCCCTGTTACCTTCATATAAGCCTTATACAACGCTGTTTTTTTTTTTTTTTGTCAAATAGGGCTCCTTGAACCTTTTGAGTTGCCTGGGCCGCTAAAAAGGAAAAAATGCCCGGGCCGTTTTTTTGTCCCAGTCCAGCCCTGGTCTGAAGCAAGACCTGACGTCAGCAGCCCCCCGCCCAGAGCTCATGGATCTATTATATTAACTGGATAGGGTATTACTAGCTTGTAGCTGAATAACTCATGTGCTCAGGGGATTTTCGCGGTACTGCAGACTGAACCAGACTAAATTCCCGTGGGCTACCCAGAAATTTTCCCCATAGAACTCAATGCAAATTAAAACAGCTCGATCTCAGCTGACAGAGAACCTACAGCTTTCATAAAGGTCGGATTTTGTGGGGATTTTAGTGTCCCTTGTCATCCTGAACATTTTTTCTTCTTAAAGGAATAGTTCACCGTTTTTACATACTGACATATGTTCTTACCTTACCTTAGACTAGTTAATATGTACCTGTCTGGTCTTAGTCCGTGCGCTCTGTCGTGCAAACGGAGCCAAAACGGGAGCACAAACGCAGCCTCCTCTGTATACTGTATAGTACCCAAAAGGTAGCTCCCGCTAGAAGCTACCAAACTCTTCCAAGTGTTCCCTATTAAATGTATATAGTTACGTGACGTGTTACACTGCAAAGTATAGTAACACAGAAATGTAACTGTCGATTTTCTCAGCGGATAAAACGGGTACTATATTGTGAGGCGTAGTAATCTGAGGAGCGCTACGTCCGCGCACTAACTTCTCTCCGGAGACTTCTCTCTCGCTCACTTCCGTCAATAGAAGCAGCGTGACTTGTAGTACGGAGAGAAGTTAGTGCGCGGACGTAGCGCTCCTCAGATTACTACGCCTCACAATATAGTACCCGTTTTTATCCGCTGCGTAGAACCGGGAGGACCAGACGATGCCCAAATACAGGTGAGTTTCCCATAGATCTTTGCGAGTTTCAGGCAACTTCCGCTAATCTTTCAGCCCCCATGCCGTCACAAAGCGCCACTGAGCACAACCATTCATTTGAATAGGGCGCCATCTTGGATCGCCGGGGCTTGCCAGAGCTATATAAACGGCCCAGTCTCGTTCACGCCCCCTTTAGTCCTCCAGGAAGATTTGAACAGGAAATGCGATTGACGTAAGCTCCGAAAGGAGGGGCAAAAAAAGGGGAGGTTGACTTTCCAATTAGGTATAGTAAAGCAGAAATCAAAAGCATAATAAAAGTAAAAGTGAGAGAGCAGTGGCAAGAAAGGTGGCAAGAGGGGTTAAAAGGAAGATTTTTGTATGAAATACAAAAGGAAGCAAAGCTTAAGATGAAGGATTGGGGTTCGCTAAATAGAAGGGAGGAAGATATATGGTCAAGGTTGAGATTAGGGCATACAGGACTAAATGATACATTGAGAATACTAGGGAAGCATGAGACAGGCAATTGTGATGTGTGCAGGACAAGGGAAAATGTGGAACACGCCATTATTCAGTGCCCCAGATATAGAGAGTATAGGGAGCCATTTAAACCGAGTACTGAGAAGTATGGGGTGCCGATTGTAAAAATTCTGTTAAAATTTTTTAGCTGAACATTTTTCTACATTTAGCTCACTTTCCTCACATTTAGCACATTTTCCTCACATTTAAGACATATCTATATCTAAATATTATATCTATATCTAAATGTTAAATGTTATATCTAAATATTATATCTATATCTAAATGTTATATCTATATCTAAATGGTTAAATCTAAATGTTAAATCTAAATGTTAAATCTAAATGTTAAATCTAAATGTGTCGCCAAGTGTAAAGCTAAATATATAGAAACCACGCCCACTGCAGTGGCTTCAAATCCAGTGGGCCCGCCTTCCGTGCCGTGTGGAGAGAACCCTACAGGATTACACAGGAATCTCACGGGACTCCACGTGGCTTAGTTTACAGTGAATACACTCTGGCTCCAGCAAATAAGCAAGAATCTTCACAAAAATGCTAATTTTGTGCCGTGGCCAAGGACGATGGCGCCGGAGACCCAACATGCCTTGAGCCGTGACGTCGGTCCACGTGTATTCCTATGTTCAAAACCGGCACCGCCCCCACTCACCACACGGCATGGAAGGCGGGCCCACTGGATTTGAAGCCACTGCAGTGGGCGTGGTTTCTATATATTTAGCTTTACACTTGGCGACACATTTAGATTTAACATTTAGATTTAACATTTAGATTTAACATTTAGATATAGATATAACATTTAGATATAGATATAATATTTAGATATAGATATGTCTTAAATGTGAGGAAAATGTGCTAAATGTGAGGAAAGTGAGCTAAATGTAGAAAAATGTTCAGCTAAAAAATTTTAACAGAATTTTTACAAACGGCACCCCATACTGGTCTTCATGTTAATATACTCTATTGTTAGTCCTTTATCATTCTCATAGAGCTCTAGATTCATATTCTTGTTTTCAATCCAAATAAAAACATGTGCTTCATTTTTCACTCTTTTCATTTTATTATCCACAATGTTGTTTCTGAGAAGACAAATGTTCATGCAAGACTTAAAACAGCACAGACACTCAATAATGCCTCATTATGTACAGAAGAGAGACAGCGGGATCTGGATCTTTGGTTGGAAATGACAAACAATATGAAGAACAGCATTGACTCAAGACAGAGTAACAAAACGGATAATAAAAAAGGTCAAAACTGAATACTTTTAGTGAATAAAAAGGTGCAAATGCTGGAGGTCTATTGCTCAGGTCTATTAAACACCCTCTAAGGCACCTTTCCCTTTGGAGAGACTTTCCTACAGTTTAACACTTAATACTGACGGATTCAGAAGTTCGAACACAGCGATCTTCACAAGTCAAGAAAAATGTAACGAATCTCCAACTTACAATCAACCATCAAACGAACATTTGCCAACATGTTGCAGAAGAGAATAGAGCTGGATACAAATGTTTTATATCCAAGTTTCTTTGAGTGCACTCTGGGTTACAAGGTTTAACCAAAACTGTAATACTTTCAAAGCAGCAAATCAAAAGTCTTATATTCAATACAATGAGGAAATATACTTTTGAAAAGATAGTGTCCTTTGCCTGAAATGTTTCACAAATGGTATAACGTAGCATGGGCTAAAGTAGAGAAGATTCAGCAAGAAAAAAACTCTTTCCTCCTCCCTTTAAGTTTATATTTTGAGTGACAGGGTAACTCCAGGTTTGGTCAAGTGAAATAAAGTGTATCTTTTTATATATTTTATGCCCCAAAAGTGACATTTATGAACATTGGTCATTCATCCCTTATGAACCAATGGCGATATGTGTTGGTTATCATTGCATTTCCTCTGTTTGAACCGTTTGATTCTCTGATCTGCGTTGACAAATTGACAGTTTTGCGAAGTCCTTCAAGAGAACAACTGTTGTGATTTTGGGCCATACGAAAAATAAATGGAATTGAAATGAAAACAATTCAATACTAACAATGGCAAGAAATTAGATATTTTAGCTGGATTCGGATGTGAAATGTCTGCTCAGACTGCTGCCTCTGCAACCCAGGCCCAGGTAAAGCGGAGGAAAATAGAAAGAAGCACATACAAGATCTTACAAAAGGTATGGACCATTTTGTGAAACATTCCAGGAGGCAAAACATCGAGCATCCTCACCCAATATTTGTCTTTTGAGTGGATCGATTTCTCTCTTGATCATCCATAAACCATCTGAACCACTTTCACTTTCACTTTCTTCTTCAGCACAATATTGTAAACAATTTTTCAAAATAAATAGTGTTCTTCTGTTGTCCCTTAACGTTTCAGGAAGCAATGCCTCAGATGTATTTGGAACATTAAAAATATACAAATCTGAAGAGTTATGACGAAACTAAATCAATTCCTACAAATACCAACGCACAGAGGTCGCTAGCTACAACTTAGGCAACGGTTTTTCTAAACAGCTGAGCATTTGTCTTTATCGTGGACTGATAATTTGAAACAGAAAATGTATAAATTAAATACAGAATAGTTACAAAAACCCCATGAAATTAACAGTTTTTAACCAAAGTTCTGCAGATTGTATGGCTTAAAGTGAGGGAGGGAGTTCCTTTGCAGCCATTTCTTTGGTAATACTCTGTAAATAATAATTATATTTGATAACTGTGGATACATACCGTGTTAGCCCTGTACTGTGATCATAGACAATATACTAGGAGTGTGACATCACCATAGTGTTAGCCTTAATGCAGAAGAAGCCAATTCAAAAATAAGCTAGCTGTAGCCAATTTCCTTATATCGGTTCCAATGTTAGCAGGGGCAGATGTGTTGCTAAGACGGTTGCTAAGGCAAGCTGGAGTTTCCGTGTGAATGAAGGCACCTGATTGGTCCATCCTTAACCGGGTCATATCTGTATTTACAAAAACATAGTCCAAAATTAAACACGGAGATCACAAAGATTGCTACACCACAGATTTTTAAGCCCAAAATGGTGAGTATGACACAAACGGTTACTGACCTAGAGGAGTTTTTACTTTTACATGAAAGTCAATGAGAACCAGAGGCAGTTTGAGCAAAAATGTGTCCATAAGCACTTTCCTTTCGGGCTTCATTGAGCTATAGCGTGGTTAGCATTGTCCATCTATACAGACTATGGCTATGATGAGAGTATGTATGCAAACTGTGGTTATACTATAGTGGTATATTGTAAAAAGGCAAGTACTTGATTTCAATTTCAGCTTTGATTTTGGACCTTCTTTCTTTATAACAGGTGTTAATTCCATGGGGTTTTGAACTAATAAAAACACACCATTATCTACTCTACTTTTATTCATAACATATAAATCACACGTTTTTGAAACACCAACACAATTTTTTTCTTCTTATCCTTCATCTGATACAAATAATGGAATTGGAGAGACTAAACATTTCGGTCAAAAGGTGCTTGTACCTTTGCATATTTTTAACTTCATGCTTTGACATAAACATGCGATCTGCTATTTCCTGACAATAATACTTTTAAACTTCAGTGGGAGAAGTGTTTTTAGGGCAGCCATTTTGTCCCCTGCTGCCTACACTTGTATAAAGGAGAGGAATGTGGTTTCAATTAGGTTTGGTTCAGTTTCTTTTTGTCCAAATCTCAGCTGGAGAGCAGGTTTTGACGCTTTTCAGAGACGGAAAAAGGCATAGGAGACAATACAAAAGTAGAATAATCATAAACTCAACGTCTAAATTGTCCAGAAGGCTTTTGAATTGTGGAGGACTGGAGACAGAGACACAGCAGAAGAGTGCAATCGCTCAGTGAACAGCAGTTTAAGGGACAGAGGTTGGAAATGTAAGGCACTAAAGTCTGGGAAAGGAACAACATTAGAGTTTCTCCGTCTGGACAGACACAGACATGGCAGCCGCTTTCATGTTGCTTTAGGACTTAGGGATAATGTAATGCAGTGTTTTAAGACTGTTTTTGTGCTCCATGGTTCACAGGTCTAGGTACAAACTATGCCCATTTCTTATTCTTACGTTTCCAGTCATATGCACTTCAGTGTTAGTTTAGATCTCGGGACAAGTTTTGGTAAAACTTTGGATTATCCCTCACTAATTAACAGCTAATTAACTTTAACCCTAACCCACAAGGGAAAGTGTTAGCTAGAAGTTTAGTTAGATGTTGAATACGGACTTATAAGTGCTTAATAGATACCAATTAAGAGCTAATGAACCACAATTATACACTAATTAGCACATAGTTATATGTTAATCATGAGGGCTAAACTAAAGTGTGACCCAACTTATAAATAGTTCAGTCTCAGCTGTGACTGGATTGTACTTGAGAATTTTGGCAGAATGACTTTAAAAAAACATGGTTGCATCCAAATTGTGAACAGAATTCCTTCCTTGTTCTTCCTTGCTCTTAAAAAATGGCTTGATCAGAGACAAGGGAGCTCCAAGTAATATTCAAGACCATTTAAAGATGTGTTAATGTCTCAATGTTTTTGTAAAAGAAGAAGGAATAACAAGGCAAGGTACGAATTTGGATGCAGCCCATAAAGCCCATACAAGTCAGCAGTCACTTATCAGAAATGACATTAGCGCTCCATCTACTGGCTGCCGAGGGAAATGCATCGATAGGAGTCAGAGCCAGTTGGAGCTAAACTTAGCATTGTCCATCTGTAAACAGTCTATGGTTTTGCCGTCGAAACATGTCAAGGTAAAAATGTCGTTATCTTATAAGCGTCTGGTGTGAATGAGTGAATCTAGTAAGAAGATGAAACAAGAAGGACGCTGCTAAAGGCTTGCCATAAATACCAGAGTTATTACCCAGAAAGCAGTGTGAAAGCGGCAGTGAGGACAGAGCGGATGGGAGGACGTGAGCCTCTCTACAAGCGGGTGAAGGGCCCCACGTGCAGAGGCCCCCGGATCTTGGGCGAGGAGCAGGCGTTTGAGGAGGAGGTGGACAGGTTGAAGGAGGTGGAGGAGGGGGAGGAAGAGTACGGAGAGGAGGAGCCTGAGTCGCTGCTGCTGCTGCTCAGGCTGAAGACGGAGGAGATGGCCACGTCCACGATGCCCTGACAGAGCTCTGAGTACAGCCTCCTGCAAGAGAAATCATCATTTGGAAAGTAGAACATATATTAGCAATATAGATTCTACAAGGATCCGCTAGCTTCTTCACATTCTTATTAAAAAAACATCTAAACCTCATCCCAGATTGGACTAATGTGAGTGGAACTGAGTGGTTTGATAGAAGTAAGCCTTTGTATGCAGAAACAAAGGATTCTGGTCTTGGCCTGAGTGTCCAGAGGTTGTGTGTGTGTGTGTACTGACTGTGCACAGGCCGGAGCCCCGTTGATCTCAATGAGCCAGACTTTGAAGCTCTCGTCCACCATGAAGTCGAAGCCAAACAGCTGGAAGCTCTGGTACGACAGGTGTTTGGTGCTGATGGCTGGTTCTATCACAGACAGACAGCTCCTGACACACACACACACACACACACACACACACACACATACCCGTTTGAGACGTTGTAAGGACATTTTTTCTAAAATCCCTTTAAACCAGACTGTACATAGGTATACGGGGACACTGGGTTCCCGTGGTGCTAGAGCCTCAAAAATCATATCAATGATCATGAAAAAAATCACAGAACCTATACACGGCTTAAAATTTAAAGATTTCCTTTGCTGCACTGAGATATAAAAAATGACTGTTTTCAAGACTTTTCAGGGGTTTGTAAAGACTTTTCAAAAACACGGTCTATAAGGACAGTGTGGTTTACAAGGTCAGTGATGTCATCATACACACACACACTATGTATAACCTGGTTTGAAAGGACACATGGTCTGTGAGGCCTGGTCCGCACACACATACACTGTGTATAACCTGGTTTGAAAAGACACATGGTCTGTGAGGCCTGGTCCGCACACACATACACTGTGGAAAACCTGTTCTGAAAGGACACATGGTGTGTAAGGCCAGGTCAACACACACATACACTGTGTATAACCTGGTTTGAAAGGACACATGGTCTGTGAGGCCTGGTCCGCACACACATACACTGTGGATAACCTGTTCTGAAAGGACACATGGATAATGAGGCCAAAGAGACTGAGGCACATCATTATAATAATCAATAATCTATGGAGGATTGCTTTTTTAAGAGTTTGAATTGTCTCTGCAAACACGTGTAGAGCTTATTCTTCAGTCTACTGCCAAACTTTGTCATGTATTCCCTTGATACCTTCACTGAATTCCAGTTATTCCTAGTTTCAACTGGCTTCACCGTCTCTATCCTGCACTTAAATAGATGGTACATCTATAATCACTCCATTCTAAAAGAAAAGGAGATCAAGCAACAAAAGGTTTACAGACATAACTGCCTCTTACCAATAGAGACGTGTCAATCACACACAAACTATATCTGTATCCACCAGAACTCAACTGCCAATCTGCAAGCATGCATCACATCTAGGGGTGGGCGATATGGACAAAAATAAATATCTTGATACTTTATACCCAACTCCCGATAACGACATTGTCACGATATCTTTAAAATCAAAAATGGTTACACAAAATGATCTGCAATGTTTTGCTTGCCATGGCATCTATAGATAAGAGACAGTGTAGATCAAAAATGAAGCTTTTTATTTTCTGAAGTGCTACACACATCTTTGCAAAACATGCACTAACATATATTAACATTAAAAATCAGATTCAAGAAACACAGAAAAAACACATCCAAAAAGGCTCAATATTTACTCAAATGTACAAATAAAGCAGTGATTGGCTTTTTAGGCACACATTAGACCAATGGGCATCTTTCCTTCTCTAATTGTAATATGTATTGGAAAATAAAAAATAAAGCATATCTTCAAATTGGCTTTCACGATATTATTGTCTACGATATATTTTGCCCACTCCTAATCACTTCCCCACCAGGTGTGTCACTGGTCTAAGGCGTGTCCAGGTGTGTCACTGGTCTAAGGCGTGTCCAGGTGTGTCACTGGTCTAAGGCGTGTCCAGGTGTGTCACTGGTCTAAGGCGTGTCCAGGTGTGACACTGGTCTAAGGCGTGTCCAGGTGTGTCACTGGTCTAAGGCGTGTCCAGGTGTGTCACTGGTCTAAGGCGTGTCCAGGTGTGTCACTGGTCTAAGGCGTGTCCAGGTGTGACACTGGTCTAAGGTGTGTCACTGGTCCATGGCGTGTCACTGGTCCATGAAGTGTCCATGGCGTGTCACTGGTCCATGGCGTGTCCAGACGTGTCATTGGTCCATGGCGTGTCACTGGTCCATGGCGTGTCCGGGCTTGTCATTGGTCCGTGGCGTGTCACTGGTCCATGACGTGTCACTGGTCCATGGCGTGTCCAGGCTGCTCACACCCAAACACGTCATGGCCCATGACACGCCTAGACACGCCATGGACCAGTGACACGCCATGGACCAGTGACACGCCGTGGACACGTCACGGAGCAGTGACACGCCTGGACACGCCATGGACACGTCATGGACCAGTGACACGCCTGGACATGCCATGGACCAGTGACACGCCCAGACACGTCATGGACCTGTGACACGCCCGGACACGCCATGGACCAGTGACACGCCTGGACACGTCATGGACCAGTGACCGCCTGGACACGCCATGGACCAGTGACACGCCTGGACACGCCATGGACCAGTGACACGCCTGGACACGCCATGGACCAGTGACACGCCCGGACACGTCATGGACCAGTGACACGCCCGTACACGTCATGGACCAGTGACACGCCCGGACACGTCATGGACCAGTGACACGGCGTGGCGTGTCCAGGCGTGTCACTGGTCCTTGGTGTTTCCAGGCGTGTCACTGGTCCATGGCGTGTCCAGGCGTGTCACTGGTCCATGACATGTCCATGGCGTGTCACTGGTCCATGACGTGTCCAGGCGTGTCACTGGTCCTTGGCGTGTCACTGGTCCATGGCGTGTCTAGGTGTGTCACTGGTCCATGGCGTGTCCAGGCGTCTCACTGGTCCATGACGTGTCCGGGCTGCTCACACCTGGACACGCCGTGGACACGTCATGGACCAGTGACACGCCATGGACCAGTGACACGCCATGGACACGTCATGGACCAGTGACACGCCTGGACACGTCATGGACCAGTGACAAGCCCGGACACGTCATGGACCAGTGACACGGCGTGGCATGTCCAGGCGTGTCACTGGTCCATGGCGTTTCCAGGCGTGTCACTGGTCCATGGCGTGTCACTGGTCCATGACATGTCCATGGCGTGTCACTGGTCCATGACGTGTCCAGGCGTGTCACTGGTCCTTGGCGTGTCACTGGTCCATGGCGTGTTTAGGTGTGTCACTGGTCCATGGCGTGTCCAGGCGTCTCACTGGTCCATGACGTGTCCGGGCTGCTCACACCTGGACACGCCGTGGACACGTCATGGACCAGTGACACGCCTGGACACGCCATGGACCAGTGACACGCCATGGACCAGTGACACGCCTGGACACGTCATGGACCAGTGACACGCCCGGACAAGCCATGGACCAGTGACACGTCGTGGACACGTCATGGACCTGTGACACACCGTGGACACGTCATGGACCAGTGACACGCCCGGACACGCCATGGACCAGTGACACGCCATGGACACATCAGGGACCAGTGACACGCCGTGGACACGTCACGGAGCAGTGACACGCCATGGACACGTCATAGACCAGTGACACGCCCGGACACGCCATGGACCAGTGACACGCCCGGACACGCCATGGACCAGTGACACGCCCGGACACGCCATGGACCAGTGACACGCCGTGGACACGTCATGGACCAGTGACACCCCTGGACACGCCATGGACCAGTGACACACCTGGACACGCCATGGACCAGTGACACGCCTGGACACGCCATGGACCAGTGACACGCCCGGACACGTCATGGACCAGTGACACGCCCGTACACGCCATGGACCAGTGACACGCCCGGACACGTCATGGACCAGTGACACGGCGTGGCGTGTCCAGGCGTGTCACTGGTCCATGGCGTATCCAGGCGTGTCACTGGTCCATGACGTGTTCGGGCTGCTTACACCTGGACACACCTTAGACCAGTGACACGCCGTGGACACGTCATGGACCAGTGACACGCCTGGACACGCCATGGACCAGTGACACGCCATGGACACGTCATGAACCAGTGACACGCCTGGACACGTCATGGACCAATGACAAGCCCGGACACGCCATGGACCAGTGACACGCCGTGGACACGTCATGGACCTGTGACACACCGTGGACACGTCATGGACCAGTGACACGCCTGGACACGCCATGGACCAGGGACGCGCCATGGACCAGTGACACGCCGTGGACCAGTGACACGCCGTGGACACGTCATGGACCTGTGACACCCCGTGGACACGTCATGGACCAGTGACACGCCTGGACACGCTATGGACCAGTGACACGCCTGGACACGCCATGGACCAGTGACACGCCCGGACACGTCATGGACCAGTGACACGCCCGGACACGCCATGGACCAGTGACACGCCTGGACACGCCATGGACCAGTGACACGCCCGGACACGCCATGGACCAGTGACACGCCCGGACACGCCATGGACCAGTGACACGGCGTGGCGTGTCCAGGCGTGTCACTGGTCCATGGCGTGTCACTGGTCCATGACGTGTCCAGGCGTGTCACTGGTCCATGGCGTGTCACTGGTCCATGGCGTTTCACTGGTCCATGGCGTGTCCAGGCGTGTCACTGGTCCATGATGTGTCCATGGCGTGTCACTGGTCCATGACGTGTCCAGGCGTGTCACTGGTCCATGACGTGTCTAGGCGTGTCACTGGTCCATGACGTGTCCGGGCTGCTCACACCTGGACACACCTTAGACCAGTGACACGCAGTGGACACGTCATGGACCAGTGACACGCCTGGACACGCCATGGACCAGTGACATGCCATGGACACGTCATGAACCAGTGACACGCCTGGACACGTCATGGACCAATGACACGCCCGGACACGCCATGGACCAGTGACATGCCGTGGACACGTCATGGACCTGTGACACACCGTGGACATGTCATGGACCAGTGACACGCCTGGACACACCATGGACCAGTGACACGCCATGGACCAGTGACACGCCATGGACCAGTGACACGCCCGGACACGCCATGGACCAGTGACACGCCGTGGACACGTCATGGACCTGTGACACACCGTGGACACGCCATGGACCAGTGACACGCCTGGACACGCCATGGACCAGTGACACGCCTGGACACGCCATGGACCAGTGACACCCCCGGACACGCCATGGACCAGTGCCACGCCGTGGACACGTCATGGACCAGTGACACGCCGTAGACCAGTGACACGCCGTGGACACGTCATGGACCTGTGACACACCTGGACACGCCATGGACCAGTGACACACCTGGACACGCCATGGACCAGTGACACA